CTACCCCTACGTTTTCGCATCAGGGTAAATGATTCCCTAGAAAATGACTTCGCTGAAACCATGGTCTGACTTTGACCTGCCATAGGTCAGCGACCTTACAATGTACATCTTAATTTCTTATACCAAACGATCCGCTATTCGATTTTCAACAGCTATGCCGAGTTTGGCGCAGCTGCGCCGCGCCGTTCGGAAATTATTCTGGAAAACCCTCGGGGTAGGTCAATTTGACCCCTCCCACTCTTTGTTGTTGTTAAATGGTGTTTTCGGGCGCGTCGACTGCAGTAGTCATTTGGGCCCCATAACGTGTTTTGTTTTACCTAACTCATGAACCGTGTAAAGAATCCCGAAGTCGATATGTTTAAGGAATAAAAAGACCTGTCAAAATTCAAGAAAGCCCGAGTTATCTCCTAAAATGTCACAGAGCGTCAGGGGTGAGTCACGCCGCCCAAGGCAGCGTCGACATTCTTCCTCGAGGGGTGGACACGATATGAACGCATGACGAACGGTGAGAACAGCCCCGCATCAATGACAGATAGATCTTTCGGCTCCTTGCAACAAATAACAGTGAGTTGCATACGTGCTCGCAATACGCAGTCTGCAGAGCACCATCTCTTCTTGTCTGACTGCAAGAACATGATAACCACTGACCCAGCTTGGGTTTTATTGCTCTGAGCTTATTTTCATTTGTCCCATCCCCACAACGCTGTCATTCCTTCTCCACAAAGGTTTTTATTGCAGGGTAAAAATATCTAGCAAGGATAGGAAGATAACGTACACATGGGGGTGCTCGCTTTGTAGCCGCGTCAGCCGCCTCGTTGCCGGCGATTCCAATGTGACTGGGGATCCAACACAAGATGGCTTTCTTTCGGGCCTGATCCAGTTGAGTCAGACGTCCTAAAATATCCTGTACAAGGGCACATGGTGGATAAAAATACCTCAGACTAAGAACAATGCTCAGAGAGTCTGTCAAAAACAGATGTGAAGGTTCGTCACTGACCTCAATGAAACACAGCGCCTTGGTGACTGCTACCAACTCCGATGTGAACATCGGCGCGTGTGGAGGCAAAGAAAACGACCGGATGACGCCACCGCTCGCAAACGCACAGCCCACACCGCCAGAAGTTTTAGATCCGTCCGTGTAAGTAAGTGTGTAACCGTCATATAACGCCATACGCTCAAGTGCCCTCGACCTCATTATATCTGGCAAGACGACACTGTTTCGTTTCGACCAAAGACGTATCTATTGATGGCGGGGTCAAACTCCGGGGGGCAGTGGACAGATGGTCCACCCGGTTCAACCTTCGAATGGGAATTTCGCTTTCCCGCAGCGAGGCTTGTATTCGGAGGCCAAAGGTTACAGCATATACCCGAGGTGCACTGCGACGAAAACGCACAGCAGGCCGTGAAAAAACTGCGTTACATGCCGGATGGGAGGGGAACTGTCCGCAGCTTACGTGCATAACGCATACCGAGCATTTTCCCCCTCGCTGACAAGAGCGGTTCGTGTGATTCCACCATGAGGCCCGCGGCAGGTGATGTGTGGAACGCCCCTGTGATTACACGTAAGTGGTGTGATGGACAGTGTCCAGGACGCGTGTGGTGAATTCGCACGCGCTGTCAAAAATAAAACATGCGTAGCCCCGCTTAGAACGCATGATTGAGCGATACAATAGCAAAAGCGTAATTCTATCTCCCCCATACGAGGTGCGAGAAACGCATTCTAGCATGTTCAAAGATTTAAAACAACTTTTGCGTTGCCTTTTAGGATGAACTTTTTACGTCAGTCGGCGGTCAATGTATACCCCAAGGTATCTAGCCACAGGCTCCGTTGATGCTCCGAAGATGCGTTGGCCACACAGACGGATAGACATATTGCCGCATTGCCGACTACGACAAAAATGCATGGCTACAGTCTTGCTGCTAGAAAACCTAAACCCGTTTATGGTGCCCCACTTCTCGATACGATCCACAGCCAACTGAAGATGCCGCTCCATCGATGAAGCTCTTGCCGCGTTGGTCCAAATGGTAAAATCATCAACAAAAAGGCCACGATCTACAAACTGTGGCGGCCTAACCCCGATGTCTTTTATCATAACGATGAACAGTGATACGCTCAGGACACTACCTCGGGGCACACCATTATCTTGATGGTGCCTCTCAGAGCGCGCGCTCCCAACACGGACACGGAAATAACTGTCAACTAAAACGTTCTGAAGAAAAGTGCCCATATTGCCCCGTATACCATACCTACATAGTTTGACAAGAATACCATGACGCCATGTGGTATCGTAGGCGCCCTCTATGTCAAAGAAGACTGCACCAGTGTGTCGATTTGCTTTAAATCCCTCACGAACATAGCGTCAAGATGTAAGAGATTATCAACTGTGGTGTGATTCTTTCTAAAAACCACCCTGCGCGTTTGTAAAAATGCCGTGATGCTCCAAAACCAGGTTAAACGGACGTTAACCATCTTCTCAATCAACTTACAGAGCGATGACACAAGAGAAATGGGTCTATAATTTGAAGGATCTAGCCCACTTTTCCCGGCTTCAAGAGAGGCACGAGGGTAGAATCCCGCCAAGAAGCTGGAAATTCACCTCTGGTCCGAAGCGAATTAAAGACCACTAATAAAACGCGAAGCACGCGAGGCGGCAGATGCTTCAGCATATTGCTGTGCATAGTGTCCGAGCCTTCTGACACGCTGCGAAACTTGGTTATCACCGATTTCGACTCAACCAACGTGAAAGGTCATTATATGAGTGCAATTCACTCGACGAAAAAGTTCACTGCAGATTGCTTACATCGCGTTCTAAGTCGCACAAACTGTGGGTTTGTGTTACCACCTACGCTGCGTTGGGCTAGGGCCCGGGTAACCTCATTCGCAACATCCAACGAGCGCGTCACAGCCTGGCCATTAACGCATAGCACCACCGGAGCTATGGGTGAAAACTGACCCGAAATACGCTTGATCCGGGCCCACATCTGCGATGTCGGCGTAAACCGGCCCAGCATGCTCACGTTCGCACGCCCGGAAGCACGCTTTGCTTCCTTTACCGTGCGACGAACAAAAACTCTCGCCTTTTGAAATGCCATTAAGTTTTCTATGCTGCTCCTGGAGCCAAAACCTCGAAACGCACGCTTATGTGACCGAATGGCGCTCCGACACTCCTCTGTCCATCACAGAACAGGGGTGCGTCGGGGAGCGCCCGAAGTGCGTGAAACACACCTGTTGGCACACTCTAAAAGTTTTTTAGTAAAATCCTCAATAGAGAGTGGCGCCCTCCCAGGGTCAGATAAGAACCATGCCTGAAACCGAGTCTCGAACTCGCACCAGTCGGCCTTTTCAAATTCCAGCCTTGTGGCCTTACACCCAATGTTCCACGTCTCATAAATCGGATCCACACAGGAGAGTGGCCACTTACCATCGGGTTATCACCGACACTCCACTCAAGGTGCTGAACCAGCTGGGGGTTGGAGAGGCTAAGTCTAACGCCGACGCCTGACCGGACGACATTGTGAAATGCGAACGAGTTCCCGTGTTTAAAATGTATAGTGAAACACCATGGATAAAATTCGCACACGGCCTTCCGCGAGTGTTCGTAGTGTCACATCCCCATGCGGTGTGATGTGCATTGAAATCACTTAGAAGAAAAAGTGAACATGGAGGGAGTTCACCAGAAATCACCTAGAAAAAAAAAACATGGACGGAGTTCAGACAGCAAATATTGGACGTGTACCGACAGGAAGGCAGTACCCGGTGGAAGGTAAAGCGAACAAACAGTGATGTGACGCCGATTAAGATAAGCCGCGGGCCACAGCCTGAAGCGTGGACCGCAAGTTTAACCTCCTTGCTGGCCCACTATGATGAACTGCAAGGACAGCGCCACGCGCGATGCTCTGCGTCAGCACGTTGTTGCGAAACGTCACATATCCCTTCAAAGACCAGCAATGCTGAGACGATAGCTTAGTCTCTTGCAGCGCTACGTCTGCGGGACAGTGTTTGCCGATAACGGCCTGGAGGTCGAGGGTATTCGCCCTGATCCCTCTACAATTCCACTGTGAAAAGGAATGTAAAGGGGGCGTATTAAAAGTCAGCTAGGAGTCCGATATTAAAAACGGATACATTTTAAAAGAACTGGGCTGCGCCAGTTGCAGGAGTAGACGTTTGGGGCTGGGGGCCACGTCCCAGCTCTGCAGGACCATGCCCCACTCAAAGACGGGTCCTGGGACTCCCTCCGTCAGATGGGGACGGGGGACCGGCCGGGGCACACTTCACGCCAGCGTACCCCGGCCGGGGTGGCGGCGGGGGAGGGCCCATCAGTGGGCCCCTACCAGACGTCTGGGGACCAGCGGGGGCCTCCACCGGCCTTCCGGGCGTTGGAGTAGTGCTGCGGGGGACGTACTTCTTGCCCGCACCGGACAAACGGTTGGAGGCCTTGACCTGCTCTCGCTCGGCCAAGCGCGCCCGCTTGGCATCGCGTGCGCCTCTCCGCCTCGTGACGCTCCAACGCTTCTGACGCTCATCCACGCGCATTTGCCAGCGGCGTCGGGAGCGACGAAGGCAGCGCCGTGCCCGGAACGGGAGACGAGGGCAGAGGCTTGTCCAACATGGGTGACGACGGAGGCCGCGGACCGCGGCCGTGCCGGACCACCGTCCACCCCCCCCCCCCCCCCCCCCTCTCCCGAAGGTACCAGCGGAGCAGGCGATGTCGTCAGGGTGGCCGCTGCCAAGCTCCAGTCTGGTCTGGAGCGCGGAGACCCTCACCGCAGGCGCCTCAGCGAATCTCTCCGTGACCACGTGGACCAGCGCGTGACCCTTCTATGTCCTCACATACCTGTCTGTGGGCCTCTCAGCGACGCTGACCACACATATCCACCAGCGAACCCATCGGTGACGACAGGAGTCTGCCTCCCAGCCCCAGATGACACCACAAACTCCTGCGGGAGGATCTCAGAAGCCCCACAGAGCAGCCAGCGGGCCTCTCAGTGACACCACGAACCTGTCTTTGAACCTCCCGGTGACCAGCTGCCGTACAGTTTCGAACAGCTCGGCTCTCGGTCCTGGACTGGAGAATCGGCGGCGCAGAGCCAGCTGGTTCAGATGGTGCAGCCGGTGCGGGTCCAGCCGACACGAGTTGGTGTGTACCCGGCTCAGGTCGAACTGGGGACACGCTGGGCTCAGGACTCAGCGGCGCCGCACCATCCGCACCGAACAGACAAGACGGCTCGACACGAGGTCAAATTGAGTTTCAACACAAGCCAAACATACCACCCGTGCGCTGGTGCATTCTGGTCCCCGCGGCTGGTGAGCGCATCCATCTGCCTGTCTCGCGACGGAGCCCAGATCCCGATACGCCGGGTCGCTTGATCTTCCTGCTTGGTCAGATGCATAAAGGAAATGCATCTTACATATGAGCATCCACACCACCCTGATCGGCATCTAGCAGCAGCATTTTGTCTGGTTGCGTACCGATGCCGACCGGTGGGCTTTTCCACCGCTGCTCTATCCTGCGCCAGGCTGTCCTGCCCGTGCTTCTCGCGCGCCCGGTGCCCGCCTGCCGTGAGCTATCGCACCTGTTCGATGAGCTGCGTGAGATCCGTGAGCGCAGTGTGCTCCAGCTGGCGGAAGCCCGCCCGCCGTGAGCTATCGCACCTGTTCGATGAGTTGCGTGAGATCCGTGAGCGCAGTCTGCTCCAGCTGGCGGAAGCCCGCCCGCCGTGAGCTATCGCACCTGTTCGATGAGATGCGTGAGGTCCGTGAGCGCAGTCTGCTCCAGCTGGCGGAAGCCGCCGCCGGTCAGGCACACGTAGTTGAGCAGCGCCTCCGGCTGGAAGCCGCGCGCCAGGTGGCTCTCCACGCTGACGTCCGAGTGCCGCTTGCTCAGTTTGGTGCCGTCCGGGTTGGTGATGAGCGGCAGGTGGGCGAACTGAGGCGGCTCCCAGCCGAACGCCCTGGCAGCCGGGCGGCACGGCCCGTCAGTCGAGACGCGCACACGCGCCGCTCTGCACCGGATGCACAGCACCCGGATCCAGGGCTGAAGCCGCCACTCCGGTGAGCAGCACCGGACCGGCCGGCTCACTCTGAAGCCCGTCCTTCGCCTCTTACGACCAGGGTCATTCCGGCAGGGTGAGGAAAGTGCTACACCTCACCACAGCAGCAGTTCCACCCTAGAGAGTGAGGAAGCTCACTATCACAACCTGAGAGCGATGCAGCTCACTATCAGACCGCGAGAGACATAGCTCACCCCACACTCACAAGAATTCCACACACACAAGAGTAAGGTAGACCACTATCACACTCCGAGAGAGACGTATTGCCGCCTCACACCAGTTGCAAGTGTCGCCCGGCAGGTGTGGGTGTGGGCAGGTGGGCGGGCCCACGGGTATACAGCGCCTTACCTGTACAACACTAGGTGTTTGGACGTGGACACTTGCCACTCGACACCGCGCAACACGTGCGTCACCCCCATCATCCGGTCGTCCACGACGCTGGCCAGGTGGTAGGTGGGAAAGCCGTCGGCCTTCAGCAGCACGGGGTCGCCCTCCTGGGCGGCCACGTCGAACGCCACCGGACCGTACACCAGGTCCGGAAATGGCGCCGCCGTGTCCTCCAGCTGGCGGCGCGGTACCGAGCGGCGTCACCGTCTGCGGCCGCCGCCTGCCGCGAGCCCAGCCGCTCACCACCGGAGCCGCCAGCAATACTGGCACACGCAGCTTCGGACAGCCCCAGCACTACTGGCACACGCAACCTCGGACATTCCCAGCACTACTGGCGCACGCAGCCTCGGACACCCCCAGCACTACTGGCACACGCAGCCTCGGACATCCCCAGCACTACTGGCACACGCAGCCTCGGACATCCCCAGCACTATTGGCACACGCAGCCTCGGACATCCCCAGGCACAGCCATCACCACGCAGGTTATATTCATCCGGTCAGGTTTGATAACGTCATATTGCATGAAGCGTCACACAGCAGCCCACAGTTGCGATAACACCCGCAACAACTCACAGACGTCAGTGCTAATCACCTACAATTGGTCACAGCCACAGTCACAGCCATTCACAGGCGATCCGCAGCCACGGCTGCTACAAGGCACATCACAGGCGAGCCTTTACTCGGCTCACGGTAGTTCATAAACCGGATGGCCAGACTGCACTCCAACTGGTAACCAGTCACTTCACATTGAACCAATCACCTCCAGTATGCGTCCCACAGCTGTGCATGCGGCGCCTACCCTGACATCTCCAATCCGAGTCGCACAGCCGTGTACACACCTTCCCTAACCTCCAGTCCAAGTCACAAAGCTGTGTGCCCCCCCCCCCCCCCCTAACCTCCAGCCCGAGTCCCCCAACCGTGTGTGCGGCGCCCACCTTCAGCCTGACCACGTGCTTGACGCCGCGCTCCAGCAGGTGGCGCCGCTTGTCGTCGGTCAGGTGGCGGCAGCGGTTGTCGTAGCGCGGCTTCTCAGCGCGACTGACGGCCTTGCGGCGCAGCAGGTCCAGTCGGCCCCGGCTGCAGAAGCAGCGGTACGCGGCGCCACTGGCCACCAGCTGCTCCGCGTGCTCTTGATACAGCGCCGTCCGCTCCGACTGCACGTACGGGCCGCGCGCGCCGCCCACCGACGGCCCTTCGTCCGGGCACAGACCCATCTGGGGCCAGACGGAGCCAGTCAGACCCCCCGGCCCCTCGTCCGGACGTAGGCCCATCTGGGGCCAGCCGGAGCCGGTCAGACCCTCGGGCCCCTCGTCCGGACATAGGCCCATCTGGGGCCAGCCGGAGCCGGTCAGACCCCGATGCCGTCAGCCAGGCGCGAGCGAGTGCACCAGGAGAGAACGTCAGTGCCACAACACGAGGTGTCACGGAGTTCACTCGCACGGACCCCGACGCCGTCAGCCAGGCGCGAGGGAATGCACCAGGAGAGAGCGTCAGCGCCACAGCACAATCTGTCACGAGACTCATTCAGACAGCAGACTCCTCGTCCGTCACTAGATACTCAGCACAAGGTGTCACGAGGTTAACTCAGACGGCAGACTCCTCGTCCGCCGCTAGATGCTCAGCACCCGCCGCTATCAGGCGACTCAGACGTATCACCAGACCATCGGATAACACCCACGTCGCTGAGACATCAGACGGCTCGACCACCGGAGACCGTGAACACCAGCTGTCGGTGGGACACAACCGACCATCGGCCGATGGCTGTACCGTTTGCAGGGTGCTCAGGAGCCGATCTGTAGCGCCAGGCACGGTGCGGCTTCGGTCCGTGTCCTCAATGCGCAGCACGAACGTTCCCCCGTGTGAACGGGCGAACAGATAGTTGTAGAGTGCTGAGCGCAGACTGCCTAGGTGCAGGTCACCTGGTGGACAAATAGGCAGACTGCAACTGCACTGATATTGTACACCCCATGCTCAGTCCCAAGTGCTTCACCTTGCTTAATTCATATCTGAGACAGGTTTGATCCCAAAGGACTCAACACACCAGATAAAGAACAAATATTTCACAAAGGTATTGAAAAAACAATGGTACACAAGTACAGTATGAGTTGCATAGCAAAAACAATGGCATCACAGATGGAAAATTCTTGGCAATAACTGGGTTGAGAAGGTGCCAAAACAAACATTTTCCAATATAAAAAATGCCAGAATTGCTCACTTCAATAACAATTGATGTAGTTGCCACAGTATGTGCCATACTGCCTCCACTACCCATGAATGACACCACTGGCATTTACACACTTTTTGGGCTTGCATGCAAGATTTAACAATAGTTTAGCCTTAACCATTTGAGTGAACTGATTTCTGGGACTGCACCCCTGCTAAACCACGCTTGTTGTGTGAGCTCTCTCTTCACTATGTAATAATGAAATTGCTGGTCAACAGCTTAACTTAGTGGCTAAACTTTAACACACCTACAGGTGGGTGAGCCTGAATTCAGGTAAACTAACCAACTGAGCAGCCTAGGCAGTTCTTGACAGAATAATGGGGATAATTTCACACTGGAATTTCCCTGCCATTTCACATGGTAGCAAACCAATTGTCACCAATTATGCCAGTATCACAATTATGACACCATTTAAGAAGTTTTTGTTCTGAGAAACATCTAGTTTCTGGGAGACCTCTGAGAAATTTCAATACTGGGATGAATTCACAGCCGTGGAGCAGACCTGAGCACATCTGCACTAGTTTTTACCCTGCCTCTCCACTGCTCTGCGACAAAAGACAATTTCAAGCAAAAATATATCTAAAACTACAGGCACATCTAATGTGAAAATTCAGCACAACTCCATATAGCCAGAGTTTGGCACAAATGAGTGCCAGGTTCACCACACTGTCACATGGGTGCCCTGTGTGGATCAATTTCTGCAGACTGGAATTTTGGCAGCATAAGACCACAAATATAATGCTTTGAAGGCAAGGTGATCTTATGATGTGATCAGCATTGATTAATGCTTGCACCACCTTTGAGAAAGTATATACAGATTTATAAAACAACTGTATATGACTTATTTAGACCACACTATACCAGCCAGTACTGAGCAATGCATCATATTTCCCTTGAAAATAAAACTATTATAAAAAAATACCATGACAGCAATCTGCAGTGCACCACAGTGTGAGAGATGACACTGAGACCAGTAAATGGTAGAAATTCAGCTTAGTGTGTTCAACAAGTCAGACAACCATGAGGTGAAGCCCTGTTGCTTAGCAAGAAAAAAGGATAGAGATTTGAGCAAGAATAGGGATAGGGGTACAGTCAAGAGTAGGGATGGGAATATAGGTAGGATTGGGCATGGAGGCTGGAACATGGGTAGGAGTCAGGAAGGAATTGGAGGAGTAGGAGTAAGAGTAGGAGTAGGGGCAGTGGTAGCCCAGGTTAGACTAGGATAATTAGGTTATGCCTAGGGAGATAGTCAGCCCTATAAGAACAGAAACATTATTTGTTATTACAGTGTTGTGCTGCTCAGAAAAAAAGAAAATCCTACTCTGTTGTTGCACATCATGCATAGTGTGGCTGTGCAGCAACTGGCTTGTGGACTATGCCACATTGCTTATATTGTTCTGCTGTACTTGTTATGCAATTGTTTGGGGAAAATGGCCTGGTATGCTGAAGCAGGTGTGCATAAAAAATAAAAAAAAACATTGTAAGCAGTGTCATTTGAGAGTTTTATCATCCCTGCCAATTTCATCTGAAGCTTTATGCTTCAATGATGACCTGAAACTAGTTCACACCATTATAAAATACCAGGGCAAGGTAAACTTATAATAAATAACAAAGCTTCATTACAAAGGTCTTGAATGGATCAATGCATCATGCAGGATTCCCTGCCCTGTTGGAACTTGGCACCACTATTATATTATTTGATTATATGATGCAAAAATACTTGGCCTGCACTGACCTGTTGGACTCGGTGCAAATCTTGTGCGGACATTCTGGCATATTGCACTAGTTCTCAAATGCCTCACGGCCAGCTGGGACAATCCAGAAGTGACCAGCTGCACTGACAGGCAATTCGGCATGTTATGCTAATCTGCAAGCTAAATTAGTTAAGTGGGTGTGCGATGCAATCCAAGTCCTATTCAATACAAAAACACCACTGTGTGGAAAGCGAATAACACTTCTCTGACGGTATTCCTCTGTTTTATGGCCTTGGGTATTCCTCGGTGATGACCACCTGAGCCCAATAATCCCCCCTTCGGCGCTTTTTAAACCAAGTTACATATACTTAGTCAGCATAGCAAGTTACATATAAACGAACCAGTTGCGCCATTTCCACAAGGCAACGAGCTCAGCTGATTAGTAGTAGGAAAATTTTGAATGGCCATGTGATTTGAATGGCCATATGAATGGCCATAAATCACAACCCATGTGATTTATAAGCTATTTCGTATACATTGGTTGAAAAAATCTTTGCCGTCTGATTTTTCTATGATGTTAAAAACACCACAAAATACTCTTTTACAGGACATTGTTTTTGTCTTCTAATTTACTGCGAGCTTGACATGACTGGAGGCTACTATGTATTTTGGTAAAGCCACATTACCTCATAATGCGGGAAACGGTAGGGAGGTAGGGAGAGCTCTAGGCATAGTGTGAAATCAGGTCAACATTGGTGCAAATATACCCAGTGCTGAATCGTTCAGAAAATTATAATGTTTCCATCAAATACACAGCAAGTACACTTTTTGCCTTCTGTGTACGATACGCATCACACAAAAACACCGTCCCTCCCTGTGTGTTGCCTGCAAGCAGGGACGCAGCCAGAGCCTTACGAGGGAGGCACGGGGTTGACAAAGGGCCTCTCCCAAAATAGCGGGATATGGCCCATTTGTTAATGAGGGCATGTACGGTTTATGTGGTTTATGCACGCTCGCATACTTTGACGACAAAAACCTCGATGCTAGGCGTTGCAGTCTCCATATGCCGGGCAATGTCGGCCCCGTGGCTAACACTAGGCCAACAAGTGGACGAAAATGATGACGCATTTGAAAGAAGTACCTTTGAACGGTTTTGGACACCAAATGGTTCATGTAGGGATATTTCGGACGTATATTTCACTTGTGTGGTTTTTAGATTGGTGACAATAACCTATTGGTCTTTACAGCACCACTCTGCGGTGCTGGGACCTGGTGGTGGAACAGGAAGAGTAAAGGTAAAATGTCAGTGTTCTGTGATGCTGTCGCCATCAATCCTTCCAAGAGGACAGCCTCAAAGTTGTAGAAAAGGTTCGCCAAGTTTGATTTTGGAACTGTGCAAATCAATTTCGAAAAGCATTTAGAAACATTATTTTACAACGGTCATTGTTGCGCGCTCGGCAGCCGCCCCCCGGCGTTACTTGTAGCGGCCAACGCCGTTCAATTTTACGAAAACTGCAACCCAAGCTGTCGCTATCCTTTCTCCCGGAGATTGTGGGCGTGTCATTGGGGCTTCATAACGCACTCAGTTACTGGAACTGTATGGCGCCGCCAGCCTCTCACCCTGGCGGGAAGGGCGAGCACCTCGGGGACTCGAACCCCGTACCTGTGGTTTCTCAGACGCGCAGTGGTTAACGCAGGCACATTCACCGCTGCACCATCGGCATCCGGCGCGTAGGCACAAACGTTTTGGCGTTTTTTTTCACTGGTCGATTCTGCGAAATAATGAGCGTTTTCTGGGAAACATGGGATGACCTTGTGCGTTTTGCACTCATTTCGACCCACTCCACTAAACACTAACGAGACCACTTTATTTCTTTCCGGTAAAAGGACCCTGTTAAGTACAACACTACTAGGCAAATTGCTGTTCACAGTCAAGGGCTGAAGGACCATTCTGTCCCACCGCGGTGTGCTTTCCGGCCGTCACTCTGGTGCCACGGGACGGGATCCTCTGGATGTCCGTGAAGTTAACGATTTTTTCAGCGATTTTTCAGCGATGAGTTCCGATTTCTCCGAAGAAGGTCCCATGGTCAGTTATGGCACGAGAACACCGAAAATCATATTTAGTTTGCAATATCACGTGACCTTTGTAGATCAAAAGCTGGATCAAAGAACGAGGAACTCGATATTGCCCAAAAATTACCGTCCGATTTTTAACTTACAAAAATCAGAGTATTTACCACAGCAAGAACTAGCGTCCGTCAAAAAATTTCTAACCTTTCAAGGTCACCCTTCAAGGTCAAACGCGGGCTCAAAGGACGGGAAGCTCGATACCACCCAAACGTTACCGGCTGATCTGAAACTTGCAAACATCAGAATATTCCCCACAGAAAGAACTAGCGTCCGTCAAACAGTCCTGACCCTTAAATGTCAAACGTAAGCTCAAAGGGCGGGGAACTCCGTATCACCCAAAAATTGCCCGCCGATTTTAAACTTAAAAACATCAGAATATTCATCACCCGAAAGAACTAGCGTCCGGTCGGTGACATTAAAATCCCCGTCCTTTGAGCCCACGTTTGACCTTGAAGGGTGACCTTGCGTGGTCAAAACTTTTTGACGAACGCTAGCTCTTGCACTTGTAAATATTTGGATGCTTACAGTTTTCAAATCGGCCGGTAATTTTTGGGTGATATCAAGTTTCTTGTCCTTTGACCCAGTTTGTGACCCCGAAGGTCACATTATATTGCAAAATAAATATCATTTTCGATGTTCTCGTGCCATAATTGACCTCCGCATCTTCTTCAGAAAAATCGGAACTCGTCGCTGAAAAAATCGCCGAATAAATCGCTAACAGCACGGACATATCCTTTGGTCAGTACGGAGTCCCTCAGGTGTGATGTGGAGTTTTGTGTATGCAAGCATATTGCTTACCGACCGAGGAAGTGTGCAGTGTTTTGATTTTTGAGGAAGGAATATCATCAAACAGGAAAGCATTGATTTCAGATCGGGAATCTCAAGCCAACATGGAGACGAAGGGGAGTAAGTCTATTGGCGCCCAAATCCCGTCCTGCAATTACCTCGTTTTGTTTGGACGCCTCTGGTTTAGCGGAAAGTCAAGTTAAGTCAACGGCTGAGTCAGCATTGACCGTGAGGCGGTGAGGTGTTATGCCAAGTTATTCCAAACGGAGTGAGGGAATTATTTCACTGAGTTAAGGTTTAGTGGGTCGCGGGCTGAATTTTATTTGGTCTAGAAACCAGCATTGCAGCTGACTTCACTGGGGAAATATGCAGTAACCACTGATGACATGGGTGTAGGAACAGGGGGCCAGGGGCCAGTGCCCCCCCCCCCCACACACACTTTTCAAGGTGGGGTCAGCAATGTTAACTGGCCAATGCCCCTCTCCCCCACTTTTGCGGATAGAAGTTGCGTTTTGCAACTTAAATCCTGCTTTTGTTGTTTTTGTGCTGCCATAGATATGCAGCATGCATGCCGATTCACCTAGCTCCCTACCCATCTTCCTGCAGTTGCGTAATCTTTTGCTTTTGCCCATTGGCCATCGCTGAGTATCGCAGCCGCGCAGCCGACACCGCGCGGCTTACGGAGACTGCAACGCCGGGCGTCGAGGCTCTTGCCAAGATCTACGAGCGCGCATGTTCAAACCAATGTTACATAATTTGTCTCAGTAATTATCCTGACTGAATACAAAACATAATACAAACAAATCAGCTAGGGTTCTTATGCTGATCCGGGGTCAACTGCGCGGGTCAGAAACAATCCTGCGACAGCGCACAGTGTAGCTCAGATTTTACGCACGCGTCGCGGCACACAAAATTGTAACCTCCGATGCATCACCCTCGCTCACCACCGTCCTATCGGCCCGCTCGCCGACGTGGGACCCGAGCACCCAACACTAAGCCATCGCTTAGAGTTGGGTGCCTGGGCCCAATTATAAGCACCCGCCTTATATGAGTACAACGAACACCTACCTTCCCGCACATTTCCTCGAAACCAACTCTCAGCCCGGCTGCCTTTGTGGCGCGACCCTATGTCGAACACAGTCTTCCTGTCAAAATACAATAAACAACTTAACGTGTTGGAAATTGAGGTATATGCACCCTTCGCAAAGTTTAAGGCAGACCATAACCAGCACACGTTTCTTTATGCTGACTGCTCCAGACACGACGGCTGTACTGTGCCCACCTTTCGCACGCCATAGTTAATGTAAATCATCCCGCCTGTCATATCACGACTAAGTTAATGTAGCTAAACTGACAGGAATTCTGTCAGCTCCCTGCTCGACAGCGCAGTCACATGGTTGGACTGCTATTCCTCGGGACAAGCTCTCACCACTTCGTTACTCATATCACCCAAATGCATACGGTATACGTCGAATGTTCTGCTCTCTTCCTGCACAGACTCATGTAATATTGTTCTGGTCACACTAGTATACATGGAAAGGAGACACCCGGTGATCCCGTCCCCATCTGGCATGTTTTGCTGCCACGTCTGGAGCCGAAGTTCCCCATCAGGAAGACACGAGCTACCATTGTCACCGGAGGAAGGGGTCGCCCTGTCTATGACGCTAATCCGCCCACCAGGTGACGACGACCTTGGTCCGCACGAGCTTTCTGCTTGTGAAAGAAGGGGAGGCGAGTGGACCAGACGGTCCACTCTGACCTGCAGACACGGTAGGTGTATCCCCGGGCTCACTCTGACCTGCAGACACGGTAGGTGTATCCCCGGGCTCACTCTGACCTGCAGACACGGTATGTGTATCCCCGGGCTCACTCTGACCTGCAGACACGGTAGCTCTATCCCCGGGCTCACTCTGACCTGCAGACACGGTAGGTGTATCCCGGGCTCACTCTGACCTGCAGACACGGTAGGTGTATCCCCGGCTCACTCTGACCTGCAGACACGGTGTGATCCCCGGCTCACTCTGACCTGCAGACACGGTAGGTGTATCCCCGGGCTCACTCTGACCTGCAGACACGGTAGTTATCCCCGGCTCACTCTGACCTGCAGACACGGTAGGTGTATCCCCGGGCTCACTCTGACCTGCAGACACGGTAGGGTATCCCCGGGCTCACTCTGACTGCAGACACGGGTATCTCCGGGTCCATCTGCCTGCAGGCACGGTAGCTCTATCCGGGCTCACTCGACCTGCAGACACGGTAGGTGTATCCCGGGTCCACTCTGACCGCAGACACGGTAGCTCATCCCCGGGCTCACTCTGACCTGCAGACACGGTAGGTGTATCCCCGGGCTCACTCTGACCTGCAGACACGGTAGTGTATCCCGGGCTCACTCTGACCTGCAGACACGGTAGCGCTATCCCCGGGCTCACTCTGACTGCAGACACGGTAGGTGTATCCCCGGGCTCACTGACCTGCAGACAGGTGGTGTATCCCGGGCTCACTCTGACCTGCAGACACGGTAGCGTGTATCCCCGGGCTCACTCTGACCTGCAGACACGGTAGGTGTATCCCCGGGCTCACTCTGACCTGCAGACACTGTAGGTGCATCCCCGGGCTCACTCTGACCTGCAGGACACGGTAGGTGTATCCCGGCTCACTCTGACCTGCAGACACGGTAGGTGTATCCCCGGGCTCACTCTGACCTGCAGGCACGGTAGGTGTATCCCCGGGCTCACTCTGACTGCAGACACGGTAGGTGTATCCCCGGCTCACTCTGACCTGCAGACACGGTAGGTGTATCCCCGGGCTCACTCTGACCTGCAGACACGGTAGGTGTATCCCCGGCTCACTCTGACTGCAGACACGGTAGGTGTACCTCCGGGTCCACTCTGACTGCACACGGTAGCTATCCCCGGGCTCACTCTGACCTGCAGACAACGGTGTGTATCCCCGGGCTCACTCTGACCTGCAGACACGGTAGGTCTATCCCCGGGCTCACTCTGACCTGCAGACACGGTAGGTGTATCTCCGGGTCTCACTGACCTGCAGACGGTAGCTCTATCCCCGGGCTCACTCTGAGTGCAGACACGGTAGGTGTATCCCGGGCTCACTCTGACCTGCAGACACGGTAGCTCTATCCCGGCTCACTGTGACGTGCAGACACGGTAGGGGATCCCCGGGCTCACTCTGACCTGCAGACACGGTAGGTGTATCCCGGGCTCACTCTGACTGAGACACGGTAGGTGTATCCCCGGGCTCACTCTGACCTGCAGACACGGTAGGTGTATCCCCGGGCTCACTCTGACCTGCAGACCGGTAGGTGTATCCCCGGGCTCACTCGACCTGCAGACACGGTAGGTGTATCCCCGGCTCACTCTGACCTGCAGAACGGTAGTCTATCCCGGGCTCACTCTGACCTGCAGACACGGTAGGTGTATCCCCGGGCTCACTCTGAACCTGCAGACACGGTAGGTGTATCCCGGGCTCACTCTGACCTGCAGACACGGTAGGTGATCCCCGGGCTCACTCGGACCTGCAGACACGGTAGGGGTATCCCCGGGCCACTTCTGACCTGCAGACACGGTAGCTGTATCCCCGGGCTCAACTCTGACCTGCAGGACACGGTAGGGTATCCCCGGGCTCACTATGACCTGCAGACACGGTAGGGTATCCCCGGGCTCACTATGACATGCAGGCACGGTAGCTCTATCCCCGGGCTCACTCTGACCTGCAGACACGGTAGGTGTATCCCCGGGCTCACTCTGACCTGCAGACACGGTAGCTCTATCCCCGGGCTCACTCTGACGTGCAGACACGGTAGGTGTATCCCCGGGCTCACTCTGACCTGCAGACACGGTAGGTGCATCCCCGGGCTCACTCTGACCTGCAGACACGGTAGGTGTATCCCCGGGCTCACTCTGACGTGCAGACACGGTAGGTGCATCCCCGGGCTCACTCTGACGTGTAGACACGGTAGCTCTATCCCCGGGCTCACTCTGACCTGCAGACACGGTAGGTGCATCCCCGGGCTCACTCTGACCTGCAGACACGGTAGGTGTATCCCCGGGCTCACTCTGACCTGCAGACACGGTAGCTCTATCCCCGGGCTCACTCTCACCTGCAGACACGGTATGTGTATCCCGGGGCTCACTCTGACCTGCAGACACGGTAGGTGCATCCCCGGGCTCACTCTGACCTGCAGACACGGTAGGTGTATCCCCGGGCTCACTCTGACCTGCAGACACGGTAGGTCTATCCCCGGCCTCACTCTGACCTGCAGACACGGTAGGTATATGCCCGGGCTCACTCTGACCTGCAGACACGGCAGGTCTATCCCCGGGCTCACTCTGACCTGCAGACACGGTAGGTGTATCCCCGGGCTCACTCTGACCTGCAGACACGGTAGGTGTATCCCCGGGCTCACTCTGACCTGCAGACACGGTAGGTGTATCCCCGGGCTCACTCTGACCAGCAGAGACGGTAGGTATATGCCCGGGCCCACTCTGACCTGCAGACGCGGTAGGTGTATCCCCGGGCTCACTCTGACCTGCAGGCACGGTAGGTCCATCCCCACCCCCTCCCGGAAGAAGTGGGGGGTGGCAAGCAGACGACGGCTCTCGTCCACTCCCTATTCTTTCCACTCGACCTGCCAATTCTGCCTTCATTCGCTGGCTGTCGGATACGACAGTGCAGTTTTGGCCTGTCGGTATTCTGCTTGTCAAAATTGTCGGTCCGGCTCATAGGGACCTAGGTCGCTGATGCACGATATGGAAAATGTAAATGTGACGTGTAGGACGGTGCTGCCTGACAGATAATCACCAAGGCGCATCGGCTGTACATGCTGGCAGCTGTGGCTATGATAACGGCAGCCTCGCAGTGGTCAGTTCGCAATCGCAGGTTACAGGACCGTCCGTATCGCAGGTTATAGGACCGTCCGTGCGCGACTGTCAATGACATGCATGACAGTGCGTCACGCTTAAGCTTATTGGTTTGTGCGGTATCACGGTTAATGTAAACCTGAGGTGATCTGACACATGACCTGCGGCATAACCCACTGTTTTTCCAGATCGACCCATGCATGTACACAGGTCACGTTTGCAGCAGTTTGGGCGATCTGGCAGTCGATCCGCATCAGTCAACCCGTACCGCACGGAGGCGCGGTAAGGGACCTGGGGCAGTGATCGGCCGGGCGGTCGCCAGCCGCCCAGACCGTTTTACAGTGCGCAGTTCGGTCCCAAAAGCGATAGAGCGGTCGGTACAACTCCACAATCTGCACATGCATGCATGCCGGTACACATGTCATTTTTGTACCCCTCCAGACGGCCCTGCCGATCGTCTGTGTGGAGGTGCGTTTACTAGATATGGATCAGTTATCCAGCCGGACGGCCATCAACTGCCCAGATGGCTTCTTTAATGGGAGTTTCAGTCCTGGAAGCGATAGAACAGTCGGTGCAGCTCTACAATTTTCTCTCACATTTACACATGTCACGTTTGTACCAGATTGAGCGGTCTTGCAGGCAATCTGCAGAAAGGTGTATGATGGGACCAGGGATAATTATGTAAAAGTTCTGGTTTAGGATGTGAATTTCTGACCCGAAAGCGAGATCACTGTACAGGTCTCCAATTTGCACGTGTATGCACACTTGTCACGTTTGTGCCAGTTTAGGTGGTACTGCAGCTTACCTACAAGGACTCATGTTACTGGAACTGGGGCAATTTTCAGTCTAGTGGCTGTCAACCACCCAGACCGCTTTCACAATAGAAATTTGAATCTCGAACACGATCGTGTGTTAACATGATCTCGAAAGTGATCAGAACCTCTTGAATCAACGGTCACAAAACGTTTGTGATCCTGTTTGCCACCCTGGTATGATGGCGATCCGCAGCATGGCTGAGACCCGTCGGGTGAACAAGGCTCATCGGAGCACCGTGACGGCGGCAGTCTGCTCTGCGTTACGCTGCGCTTCTCTGCAGTTCGCCGAAGCTTGCACCTTGTCGGGAAGGTTTCCTCAGCGAAGCATACAACATTCTCAGTAAGAGTGGGGGCACTACGCACGGATTTCCTCGAGGTCGCTGTAGGAGCCGACCAAGGTATGCGGGCGCAATGTACACGCAAGTTTCAAGTAAACGATTCGAAACGTATTTTTGATGTGCTTCGCATGGACTCGTCGGGACACCCTTAGCAGTGTTTCGACGAGTCGATGTTCTTGTGGGTTTCTGCTTGAAACATTTGACGTATTCCATGGTCTACATCGTTATAACTTGAATGGCATTTCGCGTGTGTCTCCACGGGCTCGGATTTTTTTGTCGCCTCAGTTGTCCGGCTTGACCAGTGGTCCGAGGCGCCGCTGACAACCGCACTAACAGCATGGCCATGACACAATTACTCTCATACACCCAGAAACCCAACGGCGTCAGATCGCGGCGAACAGAGAGTGCCCCGGAGTCAGCTGCGACTCGACCGGTGGTGCGGCAGCCAGTCAGAGATCCCGTGAGAGCAGGACTTTATTGGCGACACGTTAAAATACAAATAGACATATAGCAAGTGCGTCGGCATCGCCGCAACAATTACACAACTCCAACGAGGGACGTTCTTGAGAGCGGCTACGAAGCGGGAGCTCGAAAAACCGGTTTGATCCGCGCTCCAAAGCCGGGCGGGGACCGATCGGCGCCGAAATCAACGGTGATATGTGGAAGCGAAGCGGACCAAGGAGGGCGGGAGGGCGCACCTCGGCGGCGCCAACCGGGCACCCGAGGGCGCGGACAGAGAGCGGGGGCGCTCGCGCTGAGCACCACGACAACGCACACTGACTAGTGAAATCGGACTGAACACGGACAAGACGGACGCTCACTCGGCGCGGGCACGTACCGCTAACGAGAGCGCCGCCGAGGATGGAGCCGCGCGCTCGGGCAGTGGAGGCGGAGCCAGCACGGCGCGCGGCACGGTTAGTAAGCAAATGGCAGTGACGGGGGAGACGGCGGGACAGTGCGCGGAGGGCGCCGCGGACGCAGGCGGCGCCGGCCGCCCTCCCCGCACCGCCCAGGTCTCGTCGACGAACCGAAACGGCGCGCTCAAATTAAAACAAGCCAACTCACCGTCGCTCGACTCTTGCACTCGTCCTGGTCGCGGAGCGCACAAGCATTCAATATAGTAAAGTCGCCCTCAATTCAATCGGGCTTTGGCACATTCTTCTGACGAGATTCGACTGGAGCTCACCACTACCCCGTGCACGACAATTACCACCAAAATAGACTCCAAAGCTGGACAAACGACCGCGGTCACCCCGGAAGGCACGATGCCACGGTCCTCTCCAACCCCGCCCGAACGCGGCAGGGCCGAGCCGCCGCCGGACACTCCGGACGGCGGCCTCGCTCAGTTGTCCAGCAGGTCCGACCAGCCGCCCTGCAAGTAGTCGTTCTGGTCGTTCTTGTATTGATAGTCATAGTCGTCCATGTTGAACAAGTGATCCGTGCCGTTAGAGATCTGCTCGCCGGTCTCGTACGGCGGCTCGTCATCGTAGTAGTCGTACTGGTCGTAGTCGAGCGGCAGCGGCGACGTCTCCTCACCGGGCAGCACGTCGTCGATGCCGAGCCCGCTGCGGCAGAGGGCGACGCTCTATGGAGAAGCACGACCGACGAGGCGACGTGCTTGGGACAGAGCGGGCGGCCAGACAACGAGCTTGAGACAGAGCGGGCGGGCAGACAACGGGCTCGGGACAGAGCGAGCGGCCAGACAACGGGCTCAGGACAGAGCGTGCGGTCAGACAATGAGCTCGGAACAAAGCGGACGGCAGACAACGGGCACGGGATAGTGCGGGCAGCCACCAAACGGGCTTGGGACTGAGCGGGCGGCAGACAGTAGGTTCAGGACAGGGCAGACGGTCAGACAACGGGCTCAGGATAGTGCGGGCGGCCAAACGTCGGGCTCGCGGCCGCCAAACACACCAGTCGTTTAATCTCACCACCAACAGAACGCTGCCTCACCAATTGTGCCGTAAAACACAAATGTACAAATGTTGAGGACAAACGTAAAGCACAAATGTTGTACGCAGCACGTGCACAACACAGCAGTTTAAGGTCTTGAACGTCTCAGCCTGATGCAAATGACGCCAGCCTCAGCAATCTGCATGTCACGGTTCTGCTTGTCACATCGACACTCGTCCAGTATAGTCTATTGTCCACTTATCGTTTATTATCACGAATTAGGCAGTATAAGCTCTTTACAGCTTTACAGCTTTCCACTCACTTCTAGCTTTGCACTCACAGGCGGCAGTATGGAGGCCTTTATATCTGACACGGGCGAGACACCCACTATCCCCGAGTCGGTCTGCGGCGGCGCCCACAGTCGGTCGCCGGCCCACTCACCCGTCACAAGCCATCAGGTTGACCCCGCCCTGCAAGTCGTTGGCCAGGTTGACCTCCTGGCCCTGGATGGCCAGGCCGTGCACGCAGCCGACCAGGCCCGCCGAGAAGCGTCCCTCGGTCATCAGGTCAAAGTCGGGCAGACCGCCTGGGGAGCGTCACGCCCGGCCTCAGACTGGCAGCGTTGCCAAACGGAGAGGCGCCTCGCCCGGCTCCATGAGTCGGGACTGCGATCAGCCGGGTCAGCACGCGCACAAATCGGGCAGTACTTGGACCGTCTGACATAAACGCACAGCAGGCTAGAGAGCAGCTAGGTGATGGGCCGGCCGTGGTTCTGGTTCACAGCACGCGGGTGTGAGGACAAAGACGGTGGCGAAGACACTAGAACCAGGCGGCCTGACCACAGTACTGTTGGCTAAAGGCTTTCATGGGTGCTCCATTTCCTCAGCTGCAACCAGCGCACGAGGCAGCGAGCATCCTCATCGAAGCCGTTGGCCATGGTGGTCGTTGAAGCCAGGAGGAAAGCCACACCGCGCGCGCTCTAGAAGAGCGATCTTCCACTCACCAATGTAGATGTTGCCGTTGGTGTTCATCATGGTGAGGTAGCCGGGCGAGGCGTCCGACTCGGCGCGCACGCCGTCCAGCTCGAGCTCGCCGTCGCGACCGGTACGGCGCGCCACCAGAGAGTGCACGAGGCCGTCGTCGACGCGCTGCGGCAGCGTGATCCGCAGAGGACCCGAGCCCAGCTCGAAGCTCAGCTCCGGCCGGCCACCGCGAACTGCCGGCACCAGCAGAACGGTCACGACGGGCGCGCGGCGACAGCGCCTGGGCTCCTGGGAGGGCCCTCCGGCTGCCGGCTCCGAGGGCTCTGATGTCGCCGGCTCTCAGGGCTCTGGAGTCGCCGACTCCCAGGGCTCTGGGGCCGCCGGCTCTCAGGGCTCCGGGCCGCCGGCTTCCAGGGCTCCGGGCCGCCGGCTTCCAGGGCTCTGGGGCCACCGGCTCCCAGGGCTCTGGGCCGCCGGCTCTCAGGGTTCTGGGGCCGCCGGCTCTCAGGGCTCTCGGACAGCCTGCTCCCAGGGCTCCGGGCCGCCGGCTCCGAGCGCTCCGGGGCCACCGGCTACGAGGGCTCTGGGCCACCGGCTCTCAGGGCTCTGGGGCCGCTGGCTGCGAGGGCGCAGGCAGCATCGGCGGTGCAGGGTGATGCTCGGCTGCTGCCCGGTCGCAGAACAGTGGGGCGGACCGAGGACCTCTGGCCGACACCAGGGCGCAGCGCTGACCGGCGTTTGGATAGGCAGGTCATGGTCTGGACCACGACAGGAGCTCAGGGCCGCTGACACAGTGATCATGAGGCATGCCAAAAACGCGGTCTGCAATGGTGGTTCGGTCGCCTTCATCAATAAAGTTAGTCCTAACGCAGGGGGGAGGCACCTGGCTAGGCGACGGTAGCAGCCATAAAGTGGCACCTGAGCACGAGCTGCCAAATACACTGAGCTATCAATTTAGTTCTGTCCAAAATAGTCCCTCCGTTTTGCGGCGCTTTTTAACGGGAATGTTCCACGTTTGAATATATGGAAGCAAAGATCAGGTATGATGAAATATGGTCACTTGTAGCTATTGCTATAATTGTAAGCGCAAAAGACTGCGCCAGACGACACGATTTTCTATTTAGCAAATGTACTTCTTAATGCGTTATTGTTTGATTACGTGATCGTACCTTACACAACATTGACTGGAAACCAATTGAAGGCCGTTAACTGTTATCCGTTATCGTACATTGGACATCGTCCTCACGAACGCCAAACATGAACGGCTCGACAACCATATTTTGTTCACCTTGATCCCCGCATGACTAATAGAATGACATGATTTGAATGGCGTTACCATCGCGTCGCGGATGTCAAGGTGACCTTGAAATAGCCCCCGTGAAATAGTCTGGACATATTCGCGGGCGTATGCCTCAGAGACCAGAAGGGCTTAGGTCTTAAGAACGACAGGGTAAACTGCAACGAATGATCTTCAACACGACTAATGCGGATCAAAACCCTTTAGAATATGGAACACTTCCTTCAAACATGCTGAGCCTCAGTGACGATAGAACCGTGTAGCTCCTTCTGAACAGAGCGATACAGATGACCGACTGCTGCGCGGTCCTGTCCCAACAGGCAGGTACTGACTGGCGATGGCTATGTAGTCCTGGCCAGCCCCAGGCTCGCGAGCCGTCTGGCCGTGGAAGAAGAGCAGGCCGTCCTCAAGCGTGGAGAAGGTGATGTTGACCGTCTCCGGCTCTGTGTTGGACTGGTGAGGCAGCAGCTCCAGCGGTAGCTCGGCGTACGAGTGCATGTCGAACCACAGATGCCTGCCCAGCTCCACCTCTGCGGGCGTCAGGGTGACGTCAGGCGGCTCGGCGTACGAGTGCATGTCAAACCACAGCTGCCTGCCCAGCTCCACCTCTGCGGGCGTCAGGGTGACGTCAGGCGGCAGCGGGACGGCTGGCAGCAGACGAACACGAGGAGACAACGCGTTCGTCCTCGCACTCGCTCGCTCGCACACGATATTCTGCTCCGGCAGCAAACATGGACTACTAACCAACTGCGCACTGCAAGCGGCGCGTGACCAATCCCAAATTGGTCTGAGGTACACTACAAAAACACAGAGGCGTGATCAGAGGCCGAGGTCGGTGCTAGCGTCGTGGCACCTACCGTCTTCGCAGTAGGGGCCGCCGAAACCGATCGGACAGTTGCAAGCGCTCACGCCAGCCCTCTGCACGCACTCTCCTCCGTTCTGGCACGGGTTATCTGTGGCGCAGTCGTCTTCGGACACCTGACGAACAGATCCAGAAGTGACTGACACCGTAAATCGCAGACCGCTAAACACGCGCATGCAGACACGCAGGACGGTGGCTCAACAGGCTCGTCACGAAGAGCTGGTGTCAGGCGGTACCAGCACAAGCGCAGCCAAGTAGTCTGACAATTCACATCAAGGATTTTCTCACCGCTTCCCAGACAAGAGTGCAGCATGGTGATGTTTTCCGTATGAAGGCGGCGGAACGGGAACATATATACGAGGAAAATGAACTGTCTGGCTCTGCAGTTGGACGTAATGTTTGGGCCCGTTGCAAGGGCGGGAATAGCTGTTCCCACTCCCACATCCTGCAACAGCCGACTCATCGATGACTAACAAGCTCGGACCGAGGGATGGATCTTCCCGGACCCAGGTGCCCCCTTCGTTGAACGGAGGACGACCACCTCGCTCCCATCCTTGCGAGACAGCAGAGCCGCACCTTTGACCATGGACGCGGTCACACCGATACGCACCTCGCAGCGTTTGCCGGAGAAGCCGGCCACGCAGTCGCACTGGAACTGGTCCGGCTGTCGTCCGATGTCGCGGCAGGCGGCGCCGTTCTGGCAAGGGCGCCTCTCGCACGGCAGCGACGGCGAGCACTGGCCCACGTTGGCCGCCTCCTGCCGGCCGTCGATCAGCGCCAGCTCGCGGTCGTCGACACGCAGCGAGCCGACACAGCCGATGAGGCCGCGCTCGACGCCGACGGCGTCGCTGACGCGCATCACCTGCGCGTCGACGCCTCCCAGGTACAGCGGCGTCTGCAGGTTGAGGCCGCGCGTGCTGCCGGGCGACTTGCCCTGCACCAGCTCTCCTGGGGGGTGGACAAACGGCCGGACAGTGCCGGCAGTGCGGTGTGGCGTGCTGCCAGGGCCTGCGTCCCCGCGCCCGCTCGCCTGCGTCGGCTGGGCACAGACTCACAGGCGCACAGCGGCGCACCAGGCGGGGCGGCTGTGACTCCGAGACCGTGAGTGCGTCTGCCCACTGTCTCGACTAGGAGACAAATCTCTCTAAATCATTGCCTCTCGAAAGCTTATCTAAACGCTTTACGGCCAAAGTTGCAGGACAGCAAGAGATCAAAGAATGGGAGCTCAGATAGCCTGTAAGTTTATGGATTACGGGAGTTCACAGACCGCGTCCGTTCCGTGGCGATCAGGTGCGCCTGCGCTGACTCACCATCGTTGACTCTCAGCGTGCCGTCCCTCATCTGCCGCGTGCCGGCAATCTTCATCCACTCGCCCTGTTTGACCTCTTCGAGGCTGCGCAGTACGGCGGCTCCCGTGCCGGTGTCATACCTGACAGCGCCAGCGCAACACTCAGCCGCACACGCTCAACGGCAAAATGGCAGCACAGGCAGTGGAGCGGAGGAATGAATGATTCTATTTGGTATTTTGTAAGCAGTTGTGTTATCTAACATGATCCGCATTCCGCCAAAACCAAGCTGGAATGTATTCTTTAAGACTTTCCTCCCAAGGGCAAGGAGACAGCAGGATGCAGATGCGAAAATGGGAATGTCAGATGGCAATGTAGATTGATTGAGAGCCATATGAAGGCCATGGCTGTAGCAACAGGGTAAAACAATTCTTAGCTGACCTCACACCGTCTCCAAACAGCCCGCATCTCTCACCTGAACTCCACGTGTCTGTCTTTGATAGTGAGGGCCACGAAGTCGCCTTGGCCCTGGTCATTCTGGGCAGCATACAGCAACAGCCCGTCCTCGACCTTCTCAGGCTTCAGCAGCATCTCAAACTTGACCCTGAATATCACGCTACATTTGTTTCGTGGTTCACATTTACCCCTCATCCTGCGCGTGTGGAAACAGGGACTTCGGTTTCATTTCGTTTCGTTTCCTTCACTGGAAATATCCGACTGCCCAGGTAGCCTTACATTCACGCCGACACCTTGCATACAAGAAAGCACTAACTTTTCAACTGACGCAAGAAAGCATTCGGCCCATTCATTTTCGGACGCACAGTTGAGAAAGGTCAAACGCACCCTGCTACAGAGCATGGCGCATGACTTCATATCTGATCAACGACGGCAGCTACGCACACCTTACAGCCAGTGGAACCATCGTCGTAAACATCGTTCCTCCAGTCAGTCGAGCCGCCTTTCACGGTTGCTCTCATCAGGAACATGCTAGAGGGGAAGGGGGGGGGGGGGGCGGCGGGGCACTGCCGCGACTCACTGTCGTATGGCACGCGGCGTGTCATAGGCGATGTAGCTGTCGCCGCCAAACTGCGGCTCGGTGATGACGATGTCCTGCTGGCAGCGGGGGCCTGTCTTGCCAAACGGACAGTAGCAGTCGAAGCCGCCAGGCGCGTTCACACAACGGCCGGCACCGCACGCGCCTGCGGGTCAGGTCAGGCATCTGATGAGCTGGACCTTGCCGCCGGCTATAGACAGCCAACTCAATCACAAGTTTCTGAATCGGGAGTGTAGAGCACATTTCATTCGCAGCCACCAGGCCCATCTGGTCAGCAGACCCGCTGTGGCCAGCAGACCCACCTGGGTAGCAGACCTGGCCGGCCTCGTCGCACGTGGGGCCGGTGAATCCGGGCGCGCAGAGGCAGCGATGGCCGCGCTCGTTGAGCGCCTCCTGACAGAGGGCGTTGTTCTGGCAGGAGGTGTCGGTGCGGCACACCTCGCACTGACGCACGTCTCGGCGGTCGACGGCGTCCGACTGCAGGCTGTAGAGCACGCCCGACACCGAGAGACGGGCCACGCAGCCTGGCCCGGCACGAGACCGTTAGAGCGGCCACCGGCGGGCACCGACCGGGGCCGGACAGTGCTAGCGTGCGCAGCGCGGAGGCAACGGCAGCATACCTGCTCCGGGCAACACTGCGTGCGAGACGGGCCTCGTGGTGTTGCAGGCACGTGACGGTGGCATTCTCCCCAGCGCGTGCATGTCATCAGCCAAAACCAAACAAACTAAAGCACTCGCCGACGCACGACGGTCGTAACCCGGTGAACCATCGTGAAAAGTCGCTCTTGGTGTAGATCAGCCACTGCTTATGGACGAGCTCCGATCGAGACGGCTTTCCGGCAAACATTTGTTCATCGCTAAAGCCCCAGGGGAAGCCACTCTCAGCGTGGATCAGCTCACCGGTGAATCCCTGGGAGAAGCCGCTCTCGGCGTGGATCTGCGAGAAGTCGGGCACGCCGCCGATGTAGAGCGGCAGCGCCAGATCCAGGCCGACATACTCGCCGTCTGTCTCGCCCGCCACCTCCGACTCGCCGTCCACAGTCAGCTTGCCTGCGGGGTGGGGGCCCCCGTCAGACGGCGCAGCGACGGGCTGATGCCTGAGCGACCCGAGACGCCGCCGCTGCTGCGGGTGCTGCGGCTGCTGCAGACGGCTGCTCGAGCTCCGACACATGTCGCGCGTGCATGGCGCAGAATGTTAAGAGTAAACTGCGCCATGAAAAATGGGAAAATACTGAAAACTGTAAACTGAAACATAACCTATTTTGATGGCTTTTCGACATTGCTAGCACTTTTAAGTGAAAAACGCGCGATGCCACGGAGACCATGCGTGTAAACTATGCGGACAATCTCCACCATGAAATAGCCTATCCTCTGTGCAGGTATCGTCACGCATGACAAAGACGTCTTACAAATACGCAACTGAGTGTCATTATATGGGAATAGTCCGAAAAGTCCTTGGAGCAAAGTATCCTTCGCAATTATATCCCTCTCTATCAGTGGCTCACTACGACCTTGCCCACTCTGATCAAATAGTTCTTCCGTGTTACACGCTGGGATCGGCGCGGCGCCGTAGCTCTCACGCTGATACTGCACTGCAGGCAGACCATATGCCAGGTATCCATGACAACGGCGGGGCGCCGTAGCTCTCACCTTGATGTTTATCACGCTGCAGACGGACCGTATGCCAGGTATCCATGACGACGGCGCGGCGCGACCGGATGATGGCCGGCGAGCCGCCCAGATTGAAGCGGAACTCCGGATAGCCGTCGGCGAGGCCGAACGACACGAAGTCGCCGCTGCCGCCGTCCTCCTGGCCGTTGTAGAGCAGCAGACCTGCGGCGGCGCGGCGGACGGTGGGAGAGGACCGCGCTGGCGCACCCGGGAGCAGCCCCAGCCGGAAGCGGCGAAGCGCGGGCACGCGCGCTGACGCAGTCAGAGCAGCACGCCGCATTCGCAACTGATCCAGCGGCGACGGGCTCTGATGCCTGTCTTCGTGCTGCCGGCGCCTTAACCCACACGACGGCTCGATCATCATGCCCCAGGGGTGTGCAAACCGCCCTGGGTCATAGCTGCAAACCGTCTTACTAATTGGGCTAGGGCGATTCCTTTCAGAGCACAGGCGACTAAAACAGCACCTGAACAGCGGGGCATGAATGTCTCTTTCGGCTTCCCAGCAGTTGTACTCCGTTCCAAGTCTCCGATCCTATCAACGGGCAGCCTCTTGCTGGGAGGCTGCGCCCGTCTAACCTCCTGTTGATAAGATGGCGAGTAGTAACAGTGCTACGTCCCTCAAAGATACTGCGCCGACGAGACCTGATGCTTTGCAGTGGCAGTGTAAGCAGGTACAGCATCCAAGCCATCGGCACCGAACCATGTTCTGGGGAAGTCTCGGACCTCGCACCAAATCCTATTCACAAGCAACATAAAACTGGACGCCACCGGGGACGTCGTCGTGGCCGCCACCACGGCAGACGTCACCAGCACTGCCAGGAATGGCCCACCCACCGGTGTTCCGGGCAGGCCGGAACGACAGCTCCACATCGAAGCTGAGGTAGGCATCCGGGATGGTCTCCAGGCTGACGTAGGAGTTGGGCGAGGCGCCGAAGGACGGCACCACGTCCGTCACCAGCAGCACCGTCGACGTGTCCGTCGACGACAGTGCGCTCCTGGACGTGCACACGTACATGCCGGCGTGGTCCACGCGCACCACGTCTATGGGCAGCGTTTCCTGCAGCAGGCGGGCGCGCGGCGCGTGAGGGGAGCACACACGGTGAGGGGGGACGTGAGGGGAGCACATACGGCGTGCAACGTGAGGGGAGCACACACGGTGAGGGGGGGGGGGACGTGAGGGAGCACACGCGGTGAGGCGCCAGAGTACGCTCTGGCGTGACGCGCTGTTCTGCGTCCAGCTCGCCTGCAGATGGCACGCCTGTTGAATCCGGAGCAAAGAATGATTTGTAGAAGAAATGTCGTATCTCCTCAGAAGTTCGGATGCGATACCTATTTAGATATTATGAGCTATCACGAATAAACCTGCCGCTGTTCCACCGTCAGACGCAATTCGCAAACGTATGACTGAAAGTAAGTGCAAATCGCCCCTTCGAAACACTTCTGTCATTCAAGATCCAGCCGGTCAGCTACTTCGGCCACGGCGTCCGTCTGAGCGTCAGTGGAGTCCCTCGGGGCCCACGCACCCGACTAGTGACCAGGCCAGCTGGCATGGGGCCGTCCGTCTTGGTCCATGTGTAGCTGAGGGGGCCGGGCAGCGGGCTGCGGCAGCGCAGCTCGACCGGCGCCGTCAGCCGCGCGCGCACCGTCTCCGGCACGGAGCGCTCCGGCACGAACTCGTTCAGGTCCGGCTCCGCTGCAACGGCGCGCGGCAGCGGCTGTCACCGTCACGCGCACGGTGCCGAGCACCAGCACCAGAGCACCAGCGCCGACTCGTTCACGTGAGTTGTCACAGCACCACGGCGGTCCGCGAAACCAGCCCGGAGCCACCCAGATCAGCCAACACACAGCGACCGAAGGGCAGCAGGGATGTCGGCAAGCCACCGATCAGACAGACCATCAGGTTGTTCACGAGGGAGCCCACCAGGCAACCCAGCACACCTCATCAATAATGATGCCCGACCCCGTCCGCTCCGATACAATGCCGTTTGCTCTAGATCCTGGAAAACCTCTGAAACAGCGGGCCAGCACACACCATCTCGCAGCGCCGCGCGCACCGCCCGCCACCCACCCTGTATGGCGAGCACGTAGTCCTCGTTGTACTGGGCGCCGGCGGGCGTGCGGACCGTGCAGCGGTAGAGACCGCCGTCGGACGGCTGCAAATCGCCCAGCCGCAGAATGTCTCCCCGGGAGATGGCGCGTGCCGGCAGGGCGGCGTTGACGCGCTCCCAGCTGGCGCGCGCGCCCTCCGCGCCGGTCACCTCGCACACCAGGTCAAGCGTGGAGCCGACGCGCGCCACGTCACTGGACGGCCGCACGCGAATCGACAGGTCGTTGACGGCTGGCGGCGGTTCAGGTCAGGTCAGGTCAGGTCAGGTCAGACCAGGGCTGATGGCGGCAGCGGGAGGGTTCTGAGTGACGTCAAACATGTTGCAAGGGTCTGTTAAATCCACGCTTAGGGCGGTGGCGAGCTGCAAGATAACGGTAATGTCGAATATATCTTTGCTCTTCCATTGCTCAAATTGAGTGGGAGCTTCTTTCTATCAGCGATGAAAAACAATCAAGTCCAAATTCGAGAAGGTGTTTGAGTTTTGACACTTTACATTTTTCCAAAAGTAAAGCGAACAGCGTTTTGCGACCGCTTCCAATAAAGCGTTAGTGGAAAGAAGCACATATTGCACATCAAAAGCACACCAAAAGATTGGAATAGCTTACAAGGAAGAAATGCAACGTACCTGCGACTGGCTGCCCTCACCCCAACATGGCGTTCATCGCTTGTACCAACTGGATCTCGGCGTAACCCATGCAGTACCAAACATGCGCTTCTAGAATACTACGAACTTTATTTTCTATAAGCTAACCTAAATGTTACACCGTATTGAAGCAGGCAGTGGCAGCAAAGTTAATGACACAACGAATCCCTCGAGAATTCAACATGGCAGTTATTTGTAAGCGTCGGTTGCTCTCGTTCCATTTCTTCCGTTGCTACTGCTTCGGCGCCTTGGCAGCTCTGAAAGTCTTGCCGCGTCTGCCGCTCTTCCTGCGCTTCTGGCCCTTGCGTCTCCGGAGGCGCCTCTTCCTGCCGCGCGCTCGGCCGGCCCGGGCCGCCGGCGGCTGGGGCGGAGGCGGCGGCGGCGGCTCGGCGGCGGTGCTCGCCTCAGCGGGCAGCGGCGGCGCGCGGCCCGCCTGGCGGGTACAGCGCGCCTCGTCCGAGCGGTCGCGGCAGTCATACTGGCCGTTGCAGAAGGCCGACAGGGGCACACACTCGCCCGAGCCGCAGGGGAACGCGCGCGGCGGGCAGCTGGCGGCCGGCGGCTGCGGGCCGCGCGCTGAGAGCAGGTCATGGTCACCTGTTAGCCAGCTGGCGACGGCGGCGGGCCACACTGCGGGGGACACCAGCGCCCGCCTGCACCCCGGCCACAGCGACACTCCCGCAGCCGGCCGGGTCGCGGCGCCGTGCGTTTACGTGAACATTGTGTGTCTGTAGGCCGGGTGTTTGTGAGCGAGATGCTGGTGTCCCCGAGCTTGCCCAGCGGGCGAACGTCAATCACCGGTTAGAGCATGACACATCTAGCTACCACCGTCTACAAGCATAGCATTATTAGGGCTACATAAACCCCATGAAAGGTATACTTATGCGTGATATCTATCAGAGGGAACGAAGTATGAAAACGTATAACAATGGGGCATCATTCCACGTCAAAACAGCTTCTGATTGTGCTTCGTCAGGTTTGGAGTCATCTTGAAGCATCAAGTTACAAAAGATGATCAGAAATATAGAAGAATAAATGATAAAGATTTGCCACTGGCTGCAGATGACGCTCGCCGGACTCGAATGACGTTATGTAAAACAAGGTCAGCCGACTGCTTCAACAAACACCAGATGGCAGACGTCATACGACAATTTCTATAGTATTCAATGCGTTATCTCTCTTCTCTCGAATCGACGTTTTCTTTGAAGCACATCGCTATAAGGTCTGTCCACTGTTAAACGGGGAGACCGGACAGGCCCGATCTGACGTGGAATGACACCGCATGTAACAATGCTAGCTAGCGGTCAGTCAGTTAGTACTGAGACCAGTCCTGAGCACCACTCGCCGGCCGGGTGGCCGCCGGCGCGCGCGGCGCTCGCGCCCGGGCCGAGCGGCCGAGCGGCGCAGGACTGCGCCAGGTTCCCACCGACAGCGGACCGCACCGGAAGCAGGCATGCGCGCCGACCTCTACGGCTCCATTCACGAGCTACGTGTGGACCACGCGCGGCGATAGAGCATGCCTGAGGCGGGGGCAGGGGCGGGCCGAGGGGGCCACTCACGCTGTACGGTCAGGCGCACGCTGGCCTGGCCCGACTCGCCCGAGAGCTCGCGGATCTCGCAGAAGTACGTGCCCGACATCGACTCGTCGACGTTCTCCAGCCTGCGGCACACAGCGCGGGTCGGGTGAGCGCCACACGCGGGGTGGGGGGGGGGGGGGGGGGGGGAGCGTCGGGTGAGGGTCAGGACGGCATGGTGGGGCAAGCAGCCCACTGAGGAGCGATACACTGTGTGACACCAGATGGACGGTGCTGCACGCACCAGGCCTATTCGTGGCTGTTAAGCACGATGACGGAGAGAAAACGAACACGTCGGGGAGTTCTGGAGCTACGTTTTCTTTAGCTGTCTGAGAGAGTGACAACCATTAAGGGTGGTCCATTAAAAAACCTGACGCTCTCGTCGGCGTCGCAGCCGCCCGGTCCGTATGCGCACGAGTGCTGCCGTCGACGATCTCTTTTTCTGGGTACAAAACCAATAAATAACACAAACAGCACCCGAGAGTGCCTCCGAGCTGTCGCTGCCGGCAGCACGCCGGCATCGCACAACGGATGCCGTTAAAACACTGTCGACCAGTCCGTACCCAAGCGTGTTGCCGCGCCGGTCCATGCGTACCTGAGGCTGTTGCCGTCGTACACGGCGCCAGGCGGCAGCGGGGCGTCGCTGCGGCGCCAGGTCAGCCGGCCCTCGTAGCCGGTAGTGTCGCAGCGCAGTGTCGCCGTCGAGCCCACGTACGCCGTGACGTCAGGGTCCAGTGACGTCACACTGGGACCGTCTGTCGGCGCGGGCCGGGTCAGGCGCGCAGGCCTGTGGCGTGGACGGACCCTCCCGGACCACAGCGGGATTATGCGGTCGTCAGCTGGCCAAAATTCGCAAGCAGTCGTACTCTGCAGGTCTTGTGTGGAAAGAGGTCGTCAACCTCCGTGCATTCTTCTTCAGTCCCTTATAGTTGCAGCATTCGAATTCCTCATGACTAAAGCGATAGCGGCATGTATGGGCAGCTGTGCGGGGCTCAGTTCTGCTCACCGTTGACGATGACCTCGGTGACGCCTTCAGAGCGGCCGGCCGAGTTGACGGCCGTGCAGAGGTAGCGGCCCGCGTCCGACACCGAGATGCCACGGAACTGCCAACCGGGCCACGTCTGTCACACAGCTGCCATTGCCATTGCGTAGCCATGTCATTAAGAAACTTTTCCGTCGTTGTGGGAAAGTGAACCAGCGTTCCGATCACCCAGGCAATAACCCGATCATGCTCGGGAAAGGAAGAAATGTCGGAGCCGCGGTGCTATTGTCAAACCTGCTCAGACCGTTGCCGATAGTCGCACGCGCTAAGGAGGTCCAAAATAAGCACTTCTTGAAAAGACGCATACGTCATGGGCGAAATAATTATCTATCTTAGCAGGTGAAGTGAAGAAATACATACTAGTTCTAAACGCCCAACCGGTGTGTTTTGTTCTCATCCGGATAGCCTGGTCGCCGCCGCGGGCTCACTGCCTTCAAATCAAACCAAGTCGCACTGCCTCCACTTCCAGACCCAAACAAAAACATCACACGCATTTCAACCAGACATCAGTTGCGCAGCCCTATCAGCCCACGTGCGCGCGCTGTTATGAACCGCAATGCCGTGCACAGCGGCGCGATCGGCGCTCACGTTCAGCTCGCCGCCGCGGACGGTGGCGGACGGCGGCAGCCGGTCGTTGACTTTGTCCCAGCGCAGCGTGATTGGCTGGTCGCCGGTGGCCGAGCAGTAGATGATGGCGTTGTCGCCGGGCCGAACCACTTGGCGGGCCGGGTTCAGCTGGATCCGGGGCGGCGCTGCACAACATGGGAGAGGGGCCCGTCAGCGGCGCTGCACAACATGGGAGAGGGGCCCGTCAGCGGCGCTGCACAACATGGGAGAGGGGCCCGTCAACCGCTGCACAACATGGGAGAGGGACCCGTCAGCGGGCGCACCCGCCGCCGGGGTCGGATCGGCGGCCAGGTCAGAGCTGACCGGAACACAGCTCTGCCTGGGCGTCAACAAAGACGGATGCAGTCAGAGGGCATGATGAGAACGCGTAAGTCTAAATACAGCTGCTAATGCCGTACGGCGCCATGGAACGAGACAGTATGGTCCATTTAGACGCGAGATGCTTGGAGTACGACAGCCTAATGTAATAATTCATCAGGGCTTGAAAAAAAGCTATCTGGAACTCTGTCTTACCTCTAGCTCGAATAGAGCAAGGTTTTCCTACAAAAGTGTGCAGACATGTAATGTACAAAATCAACGCTGAGATGTTTTCCGAATCACAATCGCAATATTTGCAGCATTTCGTTGGACTCTCCTGAAGCGCTTCATTTTCAAACTTGCTGATAAAAAGCCAAATCTCCCCTGACTCAAAATCTCGTAAACTTAACACCAGAGTTAAATGAATGATGAAACATTCTGCAAGTGTCATTTGTTCGAAGGCCAATAAAACGTTCAATCTGTGGCCGTTGTTTCGGAAACAATCACAACTACTAAGATACTGTAGGTATACCACAAATGTCGGACGGCCTTAAACGCTCCCAGCCATACGGGCGGATCCAGCAGCGAAACGACACGCACCGATGACCTCAGGTCAACCGGACACTGGAGTGGACCACGCCGGGCGGGGTACTGACCGATAACCTGCAGGGTGGCCTTGGCCTCAAAAAGCACGGTGCCAGAGACGCCCAGTCCGAGGCAGGTGTAGGTGCCCTCGGCGTCCTCCTGCACCTGGTTGATGTACAGCGTGCCGTCCCGGATCAGGTGGTCGACGGGCATATCGCGACCGTCCGACCGGATCCAGTTGATGTACACATCACGGTTGGAGCCTGGCGGAGAAGCGTCGGGCGATCACCGCGGGCGTCACCACGACGGCTGTCGCGGAGGTCAGTGGAGGGGTGACCGCAGGGACCACAAGAAAGGCGCTAAAATCTCGCCTCAACAAATCAAGTAACGCGTGACACAAGAGCCCAGCAAGCCCCCCCCCCCCTCCAGCGCCGCTCGTCGCGAGTTGGTTCGCGTCGGTTCAGGCGGTCGACCTACCGGCGACGTAGCAGACGAGCTCGGCACGTCCGTTGAGAGGAACACGGTACGTGTCCTCACTGGGCTGCACGCCGCCGTCGCCAGGCTGGGGCGAGGGCGGCCTCGGCCGCGGCCGCGGCTGCGGCTGCGGCTGCGGCCGCGGCTCCGGCCCCGGCTCCGGTCGGCGGTCGGGCCGCTCCACCACCATCTGCAGCCGCTGCTCCGACTGGCCGGCGCTGCTGCGCGCGCGGCACGTGTACACGCCGGCGTCCTCCTGCGTCACAGCGCCGATCTCGACCAGCGCCACGCCCGGCTGGGCACGGTCGTCCCTGGCCTCGCTGAAGAACGGCGTGCCGCTGCGGCCGCCCTCCCAGGAGACGGACGGCGTCGGGTCTCCGGTGGCACGGCACTCCAGAGTCACGCGCTGGCCCTCCCGCACCCTGCCGCAGGCGGAGAGCGTCAGGCGCGCTGCCGGCCCGTCAGGCGTCTGGCCCCAGCACGGCGAGGGCACCAGCGACAGCGCCGCCGCCGGAGGTCAAGTGCCGCACTTGGTGTTTGTCGAAGATGTCATCCTTGTTCCGTTCTTACTTACCTGTTGTCATTCGATGGCATTTGTGGCTTATCAGAGAGATGACTTCCGTTAATTCCAGAATCGGTCCGTTTAAAGCAAGTGCCTGATGGAGCTCCTCAGTCAAGTGGGTGCTATTCACGCCCGTGGTATTTCTACGTCTGCCAAACAGGCAAATGTGACAGCACAGACAACGAAATGTCACGCGTTACCTAGGCCTAGACAGCAGTAGTAACCTAACACTGCTCCTGTGTCTGTGCTGGGACCTCCCAGTGCGGCGGTCACCGCTGCTCTTGCCTTGCGGCACAGCATACAGCACGGCGCCTGCCATCGTGTCCGTGCCGCGACATGCACGCACGCAGCCCGCACCTGTACTGAGACGGCTGTGTGAGCGTGATGACGGGCGGCGACTCCACCGAGAGCGTGGCTGTGGCGCTGGTGGTGCCGGCCGTGTTGGTGGCCGTGCAGATGTACTCGCCCTCCTCCTCGCCCGTCACACGCAGGAATCTGCAGGCCCAGCCGCCCCGTCAGCTGAGAGGCCGGGAGATCGGGAGGCCTCGAGGCCTCGGGGTCGCTGCCGCGGGCACCGGCGGTGTCACGGGACTAGGCCAGCCTCTCAGAAGTCCACGGGTGGATAGCTAGACCGCACGGGAGGGTCCAACGCTTTCACGGTGGTAATGACCCAGGTAAGGTTAAGATTGACTACAAACAATGTCGTTTCTATGCACTAGCCTAAGGACATTAGTGATAGAATGAAATAACATCGAGCAGCGGATTTCGCGCAAGCAACAGGCCATGTTATAGGAAAACCATTTCAGATAAGTTGGTTCACACGTGATGGATTCAACACACTGAAGACTTTTGCTTGCACGGTGCGGGAGTTCTGAATGTCGCCTCTCCAAGCATGGATGGTCAAAACATAACACTAATTTTCACTTTTCCAATGTGGGATCATTTTCTAAGGCGTGTTAAACGGTCGCTACGTTTTATCGGCTTATTTTTCGACGAACGCTGATTGGTTGGTGCCGTGGCTTCCGGGCGCTGCTCACCTGATAACCCCGCCATCGAGCTGCTCGGCGGTGGCCGGCATCGGGCGACGGTCGGCGCGCGCCCAGCTAACGCTCGGCGCCGGCGCGCCGGCGTTCACACGGCACTGGAACAGCACCGAGCCACCCCGGCTCACCGTCTGCGCTCCCTCCGGATAGATCTCGATGGCGGGCACCTCGCGGCCTGTCGGAGCGGGGGGAGGGGGGGGGGGGGGTTAGTGGAACCGGCGCCGGGGGATGGCTTGCTGAGCTTCGAGGGCTTCGGGGCAGCTACGCGTCGCAGCAGGGGTGGTTAGGTCTGCGCAGTGTTAGTCACCTGAATAACTCTACCTTCATGCAGACCTTACCCACAGACTTGGCGGCTCCGGCACCAAGCCGCACGAGCTAGCGAGAACCGCTGTACAGCGTGGGCCGACAGTGAACACGTCGTCCTGGACACCGCTCGCCCTGGCCGTGAGCGTGCCCTGCGCCGTGTGTGGCGACCTCGAACCCCTGACACGGCGACTGTAGGCCACCGAGGCAGGGGCCTGAGGCAGGGTCCACACCCGCGCCCCCCTCGGCACGCGTTCAGTGCCCGCAGCCCGCCCGCTGCCATTGGTCGTCAGCGGGCGGGACGCGTGCAGGCGAGGCCCGCCTCACCGTCACCTGGCCGGGCGCCGCCGCAGCCGGCCTCATCCGAGCTGTCCGAGCAGTCGAACACGCCGTCGCAGACGAAGCGGCGCCCCACGCACTGGCCCGAGCGGCAGCGGAACTCGGTCGGCCTGCATGCTGCGGTACACCACAGTGGGCTGGTACATGCCGCACATGCCATGCCGCGTCAGAGCGCACCGGCGCGCCGCGCCAACACAGGCTCAGTGCATGCATCAATGAGACATGCTGGCTCTTGCGGCGGACGGCATCCTCACCGGTGCGGACCATGGAGCGCGCTAAGCTGCCAGTACAGTCAGGCGGCCTGCACGGCGTGAGCGGTAGTCCAGAATCACAACGCTGTTCCGCAGTGGCCTATGAAGATGGCCAACGCAAAGGGGAAGAGAACGACGGTTTGCAGGCGCACTATGCCCGTAAAATGACAGGCTTTGCCCCTGCATGTCAGTCAGGCCTCCACAGGGTAAAGCTTAGTCGGGTCATCATGGGGAATTCAGAGGCCGCAAAGATGCGCGCTCAGCAGGTATTTCCCGTAGCGATCGTATCCATTCTGTTTTACCTGAGCTGGGCGGCTCTGGCTGACATCACAGTACAGCTCGACAGAGTTATCCCTTGTGTTTTACCTGAGCTGGGCGGCTCTGGGCCGACATCACAGTACAGTTCGTCAGAGTTATCCCTGCACTGCACCACGCCGTTGCAGCGACTCGAGATGGGAACGCATTCGCCCGACAAGCACTCGAACTCCTCGGGCGCGCAGAAGTCGGACGCGGCGCCTGCAGGGTCGGGTGTGTCAGAAGCAGGGCGGCGGGCAGGCTGGCGGCGGCCGGCGGCACGGGCTGAAGCGGGCCACAACGCGGCCGAGAAGGGCAAAGCTCAGACCGCGGGTACAGACCGTGCTAAGCACTTGGTTGAGTCAGGCCTTTCGTGCTTTAAGGTGAATGGTAACGTAAGGGGAAAAACGCTGCAAATGGATACATGACGACTTCTTTGGCATGACTTTAGCCTCAACAATACCCGCCATCGACGAGACAAAATTTTGATAATTGTTAAGCGGTCTTCAATACTTCTACTCTAGCCATAGCTGAAGAGAAACGAGAAGAGCTTTGCCCTTATCTGGTGGAGGTAGTTTGACTCGCCATGTCCCAGGGCAGCTGTATATACATCTTCCATGTTAGCCACATGCTTCTGCTCCAGCACTACATACCACACGGATGCATATGAGCATGCTGCATGCTGATCAATTGTGTGTTTTTAGATCACATGCGAGCGGCGCACCGGGTCCCACATAGAAGCTCAGCGTCGCTCACCACAATGTCGTGTTACCTATTTATGAAACCAGCCTACCGGGAATGGGTGCACCGAAATCAACAACCAAAACGCACATGTGCAAACAAAATAATACTGTGGTGCAGCGTAGTCAGAATGGGCCAAAGGAAACCCTGCAGAAAGCAAGCTACATATGACCAACGAGACGACAGAGGCGAGGCCTCGTCCTCTATTGATGGCCGCTCGACGGCGACGGAGGCGAGAACCGAAAACACAGTCACGAGTGTGAGAACCGAAAACACAGCCACGAGTGTCTGCAACCCCAGCACGACGCCTCGAGGCGAGCGGGGGGGGGGGGGGGGCGACCGCGTCCAGTGGGTGGCAGCGCAGACCAGCGCGGAGCGGGGTGGGCGCCGCGGCGGCGGCGGCGGCGGCGGCGGACGACACTCACGCTCCACCTCGACGATGGCCGACGACTGGGAGGAGCCGGCCGGGCTGCTGGCCGTGCAGACGTACAGACCGCGGTCCGACACCTCGGCCGAGCTGATCACCAGAGAGCTGCCGCGCACCTGGGCTCGCTCCGGCAGTGGCCCTCCCGCCTTGGACCAGCGCACCTCCGGCGCGGGCGATCCTGCAGCCAGCCGGACGTGGCTCAGTCACAGGGCGGCGCTCGCGCGGCAGACGGCGCGCGCTGAAGTCAGGCAACTGCGTGCGTTCTCGCCGGAGGGAGATCCGGCATTGTCAGCTATTCCACGTGCAGATACTCCCTGCGCCGGGATCCTTCCAAGGCTGCGAGGTTGGTACCAATACATCGCCGCATGTCGCATGGATACATGGAACTTCTCTGAGAGTTTGTGGACGCCTGGCCGCTGTCAGCCCGGAGACGTTTGGCTACTGGCAGATAATGCCCGCCAGGATCTCACATTCTGAACGACAGACACACTGGGCAGCTGTCAGGCTGGGAAACGTGATCCCCCCATTTACTTCCTCGAAGTTTGAAAGTCTGAAAAGAGACCACAGCTAGCCACCCTCCCCTCCTCTCTCTCTCTCTCCCTCACAGATGGCGAGCGGCCTCTGAGGTGAGGTGAGGTGACCTCTGACCCACCGCCCTGCGAGGAGCGGGTGTCTGCTGTCCAACCGCGGCGACTCACCGTCGGCCTGGCAGCGCAGTTCGATGACGGTTCCCTGCGCCACAGTCTGCCGGTCGGGCTCGATGCGGGCCGTCGGCGGGTTGGACGGCCGTGAGGAGCCCACCACCTCCACCCTGGCGCGCACCTCCTCACTAAAACACCGCACGGGCGCAATGTAAAGTCGCATGACACTGCGATATCTTAACACATTTGGCCACGATAGGGAAGCCCATTAGAGGCGAAGTGGTGTTCCTAATTTTGACCAGGCACACCGCATGACATGCAACCACATGTCGACACACGTTGCAAAGGTGAATAGTTTGAACGACTATAAAGAACCAGAACACTCTTTGGTCACATAGTTCATAACTTCCTACAACCATCGGGTTTATAAGGCATTTAAGCGTGTTCGCGTGCTTGCCATTGTACTCTGTGTTTCTCTTCCTGTCGTCACTGACACCAGACAGGATCCGTGGTGCTCCACGCACATACCTGTATCCGCACATACCTGTGCTCATCGCACGCACATACCTGTGCTCATCGCACGCACATACCGTGTGCTCCCCGCTCACCTGTATCCCGACGAGATGGTAATGGTGCAGACGTAGATGCCCGAGTCCTCTGGCTGGGCAGCCGGAATGATCAGCTCACCTCGAATGTCACTGGCCCGCTGGTGGTCACATGTCAACGACGGGTCACTGGACACAGCCCAACTTGGCCGCCGGTCACCGCCGCGGCATAAAAGTCAAACACTGGCACATCAAGAGAGAAAGGAACTCCCATGGTGGATCAGCTGTTACTTCAGATAGAGGTGGTGTTACTTTGCGATGCCAAGCGCTCTGCCCATTTTGTAATAAACTTTAGCGGTATTTTGACCACATGAGCGCCATTCCTGCAGACAGACTGCTTATCCACCAAGTCATGGTGAGGCTGAGAGGTCAGATATTTAGCCAGTCTGCCACAAATTCAACCCGGTACGACTCAAAGACCGTAAACCTCTACCCCTTCCAGTTCTGCCAGCGCCCACAGCTTCCACACTCACTGCCAATGCCTGCTCCCGCCCCGTCCCCGCCCAGCGGGTGGGGGCGGCCTCGCCATACCTGCGGCAGCGGCCGGTCGGCGCCGCTCCAGGCCACGCTGGCGCTCGGGTCGCGGGGGCGGCACGTGATCCGCACCGGCTCGCCGGCGCGCACCGACACCTGACTGGGCACCACCTCGCCCAGCCTCTGGCCCGGCTCGGGCCGTGGGCGCGGCTCGGGCCGCGGCTCGGGCCGCGGGTTGGGCCGCGGGCGCGGCTCCTCGCCGCCGCTGACATAGATGATGGTACGCGCCGCATCTGAGCCCACTGGGTTGGTGCCTGTGCACGTGTACTCGGCCTCGTGCACCTTGCGCACGGCGCCGATCACCAGCACGCCATTGACGACAGACACCTGGCGGAGAGGTGCGCGGCTGGTGAGCAGGCGGCGCGCGGCAGCCGGACGGATCATGCCTGGCGGACGAGGCCGGCATAGGTGACGGACGCACGGCAGCTGGGCTTGTGGCGGCCTGCCGCACCGGGCTGGAAGGTGGGACGCATGTGACGAATGGGAGCTGAACCGGAGGTAACGTAGAAGACTGAAGCTGAGCTGGCGATAACCTGGCCAGGAGGAGCTACACCTCTGATGAATGAAATCAGCCCTGGGAACACCAAACACCGGGCAGACAAATCCTTTACCCCGCCCAACACTCACGAGCCGCCACCAGCCTCTGCGGCGGACGCGAGGGCCGCACCCCTGCCGGGCACGACGGCCGGTACTCACGTCCGGCTCGAGGCGACCTCCCCGGCCGCCGCTCCACTCGAGCCGCGGCGCCGGGCTGCCCTCTGCCGAGCATTCGAACTCCGCCGGCTCGCCGGCCGTCAGCTGCAGGTAGCGCGGCGAGATGGTGACGCGCGGTGGGCTGGCCTCGCCGCCTGGCGGCGCGCCGCGAAAACGCGAGTTAGCCGACAAGCCGTCAGGGATACGTCGCGCGTTGGGTGAAGCTTGGCGCGGGTCAGCGGCACTGGCTAGATATTGTTCTTTGACGGATGGACAGCGTGCTGACATGGGACCCGGACGGCCTCGTCAGATTACGGTACGCGTGGCGTAGCTCGACGTGGACTAGGCTCTAATGACTAGATTTGGGACTCGGTATCAGCCTGCTGTGGACTTTATGACCTCCCTCAGAAAACAGCCTGACGTGTTGTCCTTTTACTTGACAAACGTATTATGCATATATACACAATCTACTAAATAGCATTATACACATTCAAGGTGCAGCATACACAGTATGTACAAAATACGTTTGTTCCATAAGGCATCAGAAACAATCTATGAAGCATCAAATGCAAAACTAAGTAACTACATTACGGGCATATACGGTTTATATTGATTCGCCAGTATTAGGATCATGCGGCCTACGCCCTAGGGTGGCAATGGACACAATGATTTAATCTATTTCAACCTGCACAAAACTAAAATACAACTACCGATGGAATAAAACAATCCCAGGTGAAAAACTCTGCATTTTGGAAGTAAAGCAACGAACCTGTTTACTTCCACACATGAATAGTGCATTGCATATATGCGTATGCCAAATATCCTGTGCACATTGTTCAGAGCACATTTGATCAACATGCTTATAAGAACGCGCGAAATAAAACATCCATGGAAAAAGCTAACCTGAATAAAAAGGAAAAAGCTCGAAACGAATATGCCGACAATAGGGGCTTTCACATGCATTTATCTCCAAAGAGGTCCACAACTTTTCTTACTTTGCGATTCAATTGAAGCAATCAAACACGAAATGGAGAAGTTGGAGATAACGGCATGTAAGAGCTTGCAGGTGCCGGCGTTTATATATAAGTATTATTTACCCTTCCTACCAGGGAGAGCGTGGGTGGAGTGAGACACAACGAGAGCCAGGAGCACACTGATCAACAAGAGCGTCGGATTGAGGAGAGAGCCAGTACCTTGCGCGCCGTTGCCCGCTTGCAAAAGGGCATCAAGTCACCACGTCGCATTCGGAATCCATGTCATCGCAACGTTTTTGAAATACAAACACTTGAAATATCGAACAGGCCATGGCTGGACGGATCAACTGCTTGTGTGTCAGGAAATACGAAACTTTCGGAGCAAGATGCTCGTGTTCCTCAAACTGGGGGATCGCACAGATGGCATGACCATACGACAATTACGTACCTCTCTCAGTGTGATAATTACTCGGTTCGAGTTTTCTTGTGGTCTGACGTATGCACGGTCGCATCACTCCGGCACATAATTCAGGCATGCTCACAGTTCGGGCGGCAAGTATTGTTCGAATTCCTAACCTCCGAAGCAGAACCTCCTATCATCAGCCCCGACTGCGAGATCACCTTCTTCGCAACCTCAGCTCCGACTCGTTGGTCACCTACCCTCCCCCCCCCACCCCCAGTTCTGGCTCTTCGGTCACATACTTCCCACCCTCAACTCCGACTAATCAGTTGCCTACCTCCCAACCCCAGCCTCGACTCTCCGGTCACCTACCTCCCACCCTCAACTCCGACTCCTCGGTCACCTACCTCCCAACCCCAGCTCCGACTCTTCGGTCACCTACCCTCCACCTCCAGCCCCGACTCCTCGGTCACCTACCTCCCACCCCCAACCTCGACTCTCCGGTCACCTACCTCCCACCCTCAGCCTCGACTCTCCGGTCACCTACCTCCCACACTCAACTCCGACTCCTCGGTCACCTACCTCCCACACTCAGCCTCGACTCTCCGGTCACCTACCTCCCGCGCTCAGCCTCGACTCTCCGGTCACCTACCTCCTACCTCCAGTCTCGACTCTCCGGTCACCTACCTCCCACCCTCAGCCTCGACTCTCCGGTCACCTACCTCCCACACTCAACTCCGACTCCTCGGTCACCTACCTCCTACCTCCAGTCCAGACTCCTCGGTCACCTACCTCCCACCCTCACCTCCTCCAATCGTTTACCTGCCTCCCACCCTCAGCTCCGACTCTTCGGTCACATACCTCCCACCCTCAGCTCCGACTCTTCGGTCACGGTCGACACGGAGTCACGCGCCTCGCACACGTAGACGCCCGAGTCGGCTGAGATGACGGCGCGGATCACCAGCAGGCCGCGACCGTCGTCCGTGGCGCGGTCACGAGGCAGCTCGCCCGAGCGTTTGTACCAGCGGATCGTCACCTGCGGCAGCCGTCACAGTCACGTCACGTCACGCCACGTCACGTCACGTCACACGGCTGTCATGACTGAGCCGGTCCGGCGCGAGAAGTCGTCAATGTGCGCGGCACAACTGCGTCACTGCTGGCAGCGGCGGGCAGGGCGGCGTCTGCAGCGCATATCCCGCCCACACTGACGCCACACAGACCAGGGAGAGGAGACCGCCACTGCGCATGTCGCCAACCCCTAGGCGCGACTTCCGCCGGTCGGCTGCGCCTCAGCGCGCAGCCTCTGTGCCCGTCGGAAGGCCCCACTGACGTCACTCACCCTCTCGCCGGTGCGGGAGCGCCCCGAGCAGCGGAAGCTGACCCTGTCGCCGACCTGGGCCACGATGACTGGCTCACTGATGGTCACCGAGATGGTCGGCGGCGGGCGGGTGCCCGAGCCGGAGCCGTCGTCTGGCGCAGGGAGCGCCCAGGTCAGAGCAGCAGCGGGTCAGGTCTCGGCAGGGGAGCATCCAGGTCAGGACAGGAACGGTGTAGGTCACGACAGAAATCAGTTAACGGGAAACCAAATACGAGTTTGGAAAGGTACAGGCCTATGCAAAGACAGGCAGCGGTCATGGGGAAGGGCCAGATAAGAGACACTTTAACACTAGAGGCTGAGTAAATACAACGAAGGATAGGGGAATGACCAGCAGATAATATACACAATCGCAGTCGGCGTTCATTCAATGAGACACGCTGAATGTGGGTCATGCACTGATGCCCTTGAGAGGGATTATCATTGCATCCGAACGAGCGGAAGACAACCAGCTTGGATGTCCTGTCCGCAACTTATCTCAGTACCCGGACCCCGCCCGTCGCCAGTGGCACGTTCTCCATGCGGACCTGGACAACCCTCCGCGTTCTCATCGGAGCGTCACGGCGAGTTGCGCGGCGAAGGCCGACTGCAGCACTCACCTTGCTGCTGGCAGTACTGTCCCGTGTAGCCGGATCGGCAGCGACACTGAACGCGCCGGTCCGGACCCAGGAAGCAGCTCTCCTCGTTGCCGTTGCACGGGCAGGGCCGGCAGGTGCCCAGTGGCTCGGTGCTGACCCGGTAGTGGCCCGGCGCGCAGTCCTGGCCGGCGCACGAGCTCGCCGGTCAGACACCCCGGCGCAGCAGCACACCGCGCCGGCTTGAGCGGTCAAGCCCCAGTTGCATTGCTGAATTGTTGAGGAGCAAAGACCACGAAGAGCGTGGGAACGAAGAACGCGCTCGAGAACGTTTTCGTTCCCGGCACTGCTTAACGTTGGCATCATGCATGTTCTGGGGCCGTTTAATTCACGATTTTACGACGTGAGAACAAACGCACCGAACTCGCAAGTCAATGAAGGCGAGGATAAGTAACATTCTCGTGGATATGTGTTGTGAGAGGTAGGCGGCTGTAGGTCGCTCACCTGGCACGACAAGCCGATGTACTCGCGGGGGCAGCGGCACTGCTCGATGCCAAGCGCCCGACCCTGCTGGGTGTCCTGTCGAAACACGTGCACACCGAAATCAGGCGACCATACCAACGAGACACGCCCGCTGGGTTCGGCGACTCACAGGTTTGACCCAGTCTCCATAGCCATAGCCATCTCCATAGCCAGTCAAACACGGCACCCACCCCACCCCAGCTAACACGAACTCTCCAATCTGCCCAGAGGCAGGGGGCGGGTGCGACGGCCTGTCCGACGCCACGCACCGTAGGAATAGCTGTGTCCATGACGACGTTGCTGAGGTAGGTGCTGCGCATACTGTTGGAGTAGGTGGCGCGCACGAGGATGGAGCCGATGCCGCTGAGCGCCGTCATCAGGTCCTCGCGGGTCGAGGGCTGCACGGTGCGCGCGGCGTCCAGCAGACTCCAGCCTGCCCGCTCCGACAGCTCCACCTCGAATGTCCCCGTCCTGTGGGATGCAGAGACGGCGGCCGTGCAGTGACGCCAGCATCAACTCCTCCCCCCCCCCCCCCTGCAACTGACTGTACAGTGTACAGCGCTGCGGCACTAAGATCGTTGGTGGTGCCTGCGTAGCCGTGTTTTATGCTTGAACGCCGAACGGGCACATAATGGCACGGTAGTTATCATACAAACTTCAGACGAGAGCCTGCACACAGTGGCTTTATCCAGGGGATGTAAAAACGCCGCAAACTGCGCTCCGTTCGCAACAGCTCAGGACTAAAGCCCAAGCTTCACAGCTCAGCACTGCAATGTACGCCTCTGTCCGCACTCGTCCTCCTGCCTGTCGCGAAGTGTGGGCTTTAACCAGAACAGGCCTGTGCGCAAGCCGCCCAGCCGTGCTAGAAGAGCGGCGGGCGCAGCCCCAGGGTCCGTCCGCGGCGGAGACACCGCGCTGCGACGCTGGCGGCTAGCCGCACCTGCCCGGCCTCGGCGGCGACGGGTTGATCCAGGTCAGGGTGACGCCGTTGCCGGTGATGATGACGTCCGAGTCGTCGTAGGACTCGGCGCCGGGTCTCTCCTCGTACCGCTGGCGCACCATCAGCTTGCCGCCGTACGAAGCCAGCTGCGCTCAGCACGCGATGGGTCAGTGCTCCGTCAATGTCGTCTGTCGCGCCACTCTGACCTACCAAGCAGTCCCGTAAAAACCGAACCGTCACCAATGAACCACACGGTGCCCTACCGCAACAAAAAGACCCCACTTGAAGTACTTTAGCTGCCTTTGTCTTTCGGATGAGGAGCCCATCGAGACAGATGAGACAGACGACGCCGCAGTTGGGGCGGGGTGGAGACGGCAGTGTTCTGACTGACCCGGTTTCCGAGGAAGATGTCCGGCAGGGACCAGTAGAGGCTCTCCCCGATACCGCCGTCAGGACCCTGTGGAAACTGGTTGTAGCCGATCTCGTTCTCGGCCGGGCTGACGCTGAAGCTCTCGCCGCGGATGATGTTGTTGCGAAGCCTGCAACCAAGCCGACCTTTGTAAGAGTCCGTCTTGGCGGCGCTAACTCGAATGAAACGCGCTTCCCGGCCGTGCGCGGAAACGGTGAGAGATGACAGCACTGATGGGGACGTTTTTGCGATTATTTTACGAAGGATACGCGCAATTGCTCACTCAACTAAACACCACACACCGATTCCAGTGAGCGAGAGAACCAAAGCGTAGCGTAGAACATCGCGAACCCATACAAAGGCGTTCATGGCAGCTATACACAGGGCTCGGGGCAACCGACGGGATCAAACCGTCACAAAGGGGCAGTCGCACATGGCAGCAACTCTCCCGTCACCGCCGGCCGATCTGTAGATGGGGTCTGTTGTCGGATGACCTGCGGTCCGGCCTGTGGCAGGGCGGTCACCGCCGGCCGATCTGTATATAGGGTCTGTTGTCGGATGACCTGCGGTCCGACCTGTGACAAGGCCGGGACCGTCGGTCGCAAGGTCGCGGGCCAACATCTGCACCCACCCCATCCCACCCACTGGCACATGCAACGCCAGGATTCCCGCAGGGTTCGCCTGGGTAAACGTCCCTGATACATATCCCGCCAGCCCATCCAGTCAGACGGGCTGCATTTGGAAAAGGACGTACATCACCTCAGCGGCCGGCCCATGCCGCCGCCCAACTCACCTGTTGGAGAGTGCGAAGCCGTGCTGATCGTCCACCACCTGCATGGGGATCTGGGTGCGGAAGTATGGCGCTTCCGAGCACTGCTGACTGACGCCGGCGCAGAAGCAGCGCGAGCAGCCGTCGGGGTTGCCCGTCATCAGCGCGAAGTAGCCGGGCCGACAGCGGTCGCAGTTGACGCCCTCCACGTTACTCTGTCGGCCGGTAAACGGCAATTCAGCGCGACATACCGCTACGGTACTCGACTCTGAACAAAGGGAGATGAGCGGGGACGCACAAGTGCCGAAACATCAGGTGCTGCGGAGGATATCGCTCAACACCTCGCGGCAAATGTCGCCGATGCCGCGTCGGGTGATACGCCCTCTGACCTTGCAGGGACACTGGCGTCTGGAGTCGCGGTCGGGTGACTACGCCCCGGCCCCACCCGCGTGGCGCCCTCTCACCTTGCAGGGACACTGGCGTCTGGCGTCGCAGTCGCGGCTCAGGCTGCCGCGCCGGTCGCAGTCGCACGGCCGGCTGGAGTCGGGCCGGCACGGCTGGCCATGCATGGGGTCGCCACGGTAGCCGGGAGCGCACACATCGCACGAGGCGCCGGCCGTGTTGTCGCGGCAGTTCTGTGGCAGGGGGGACGGTCCAGGGGACTGACGCACGGGCGAGCGCAAGGCAGCTGCGAATGCCGCCGAACGGACAGGACGCCACCGGAGACGACGAAGACGACCGAGCATCGTGAACTGCGCAATGCAAATCAATAGCCCCTATCGCTAACAAAAGCCGGAAAAATAGTCAAGGCGGCGAGCTGGAGCAAAACTGATTACATCCTCGTGCGGCAGAAACTGAGCAGACGACAAGCGCACCAGGAGGTCCATTACATCGGACCAGCCATACGCTTGTCGATCAGATTCACCCCAGGCCGGAGAACTGTTTCAATCTTGGGTTCAACATCTACAGGCTTGCGTCACCACACGAGTCACCAGACTCGGAGTCGTCCAGAGTCAAACCCACCAGGCAGGCGCCAGTATCCGGGTCGCACTCGTCGCTGCGTCCGTTGCAGTCGCAGCGCTCACACTGTCTCAGGTACAATCCACCCAGAGACCGGGTGTAGCCCACGTCGCAGTCCTCGCAAGAGAGACCCTGGAACGCAGGTCACAGGCGCCTGGTAACCACGCCGCGCAATGAAGGCGCATGCCTCATGCGCTGGGTTTGACGACTTTTGAGACGTTAAGAACTGGTGTAACTATCTCGGTGACAGGGTGGCTCCCTGTGGCCATACGATTACAAAAGTTGAATAAAGCAAGTCCCAGACACTTGCAAATTTCAAGGACAACGACGCTTGGCGTAGTACTGGCAAAGTAAAACCAACGCCGTCTGTTACCAGGGCGCAAGGACGAGTTAAGTAGTCCCAAGCACGCCGAATGAACAGTCGAAGGGCTGCGACAAACATGGCCCTCGTGACGGCTAGGACTTCAGACATGGTCCCCGTGACGGCTAGGACTTCAGACATGGTCCTCGTGACGGCTAGGACTTCAGACATGGTCCCCGTGACGGCTAGGACTTCAGACATGGTCCCCGTGACGGCTAGGACTTCAGACATGGTCCCCGTGACGGCTAGGACTTCAGACATGGTCCCCGTGACGGCTAGGACTTCAGACATGGTCCTCGTGACGGCTAGGACTTCAGACATGGTCCTCGTGACGGCTAGGACTTCAGACATGGTCCCCGTGACGGCTAGGACTTCAGACATGGTCCTCGTGATGGCTAGGACTTCAGACATGGTCCCCGTGATGGCTAGGACTTCAGACATGGTCCCCGTGACGGCTAGGACTTCAGACATGGTCCCCGTGACGGCTAGGACTTCAGACATGGTCCCGTGACGGCTAGGACTTCAGACATGGTCCCCGTGACGGCTAGGACTTCAGACATGGTCCCCGTGACGGCTAGGACTTCAGACATGGTCCCCGTGACGGCTAGGACTTCAGACATGGTCCCGTGACGGCTAGGACTTCAGACATGGTCCCCGTGACGGCTAGGACTTCAGACATGGTCCCCGTGACGGCTAGGACTTCAGACATGGTCCCCGTGACGGCTAGGACTTCAGACATGGTCCCCGTGACGGCTAGGACTTCAGACATGGTCCCCGTGACGGCTAGGACTTCAGACATGGTCCCGTGACGGCTAGGACTTCAGACATGGTCCTCGTGACGGCTAGGACTTCAGACATGGTCCTCGTGACGGCTAGGACTTCAGACATGGTCCCCGTGACGGCTAGGACTTCAGACATGGTCCCCGTGACGGCTAGGACTTCAGACATGGTCCCCGTGACGGCTAGGACTTCAGACATGGTCCTCGTGACGGCTAGGACTTCAGACATGGTCCCCGTGACGGCTAGGACTTCAGACATGGTCCCCGTGACGGCTAGGACTTCAGACATGGTCCTCGTGACGGCTAGGACTTCAGACATGGTCCCCGTGACGGCTAGGACTTCAGACATGGTCCTCGTGACGGCTAGGACTTCAGACATGGTCCTCGTGACGGCTAGGACTTCAGACATGGTCCTCGTGACGGCTAGGACTTCAGACATGGTCCTCGTGACGGCTAGGACTTCAGACATGGTCCCCGTGACGGCTAGGACTTCAGACAAGGTCCCGTGACGGCTAGGACTTCAGACATGGTCCTCGTGACGGCTAGGACTTCAGACATGGTCCCCGTGACGGCTAGGACTTCAGACATGGTCCCCGTGACGGCTAGCACTTCAGACGACGTACCTTGTAGCCGCGCGGGCAGGAGCACTGCTCAACGGCGTGCGCCCGCTCCAGACCCGTGTTCTGCGGTACGGCGATATCGAGGGCCACCTCCGACAGGCTGCCGACACAGAGTCCAGCCGCCGTGATCAGTCCAGCTCCGCAGCAGCCTGGCCGCCACACTCATGGCACCACAGCTCAGAGCTGCCCATTCCTGCAGACAGCCAACTGGGACGGCTGCAGACTGCCAGTTGGGACGGGTGCAGACGGCCAACTGGGACGGGTACGGACAGCCAGCTGGGACGGGTGCAGACAGCCAATTGGGACGGGTGCAGACGGCCAACTGGGACGGGTGCAGACGGCCAGCTGGGACGGGTGCAGACGGCCAACTGGGATGGGTGCCGTCTGTTCTACCCTTTCCTTTCAGTAACCACTGCAACGTACGTACCGCTCAGTAGATCCCGTCCCACGCCATCCTACTGCTCTACCCTGTGTTCTTCCCCATGCGCTTTGCTCTTTTTCTCAACGCCATTGCTCTGCTTTGTTCTGTTGTGTTCTGTTCTCTCCTTCCCTGGTCTACCCCGCTTTGTTCCGTTTCGTTCTGTTCTGTTCTGTTCTGGTTTATTCTGCTCTGCTCTGTCCTGTCTTGCTCTGCCCTGTTCCGCCCTGTCCTGTCCTGCCCTGCCCTGCCCTGCCCTACCACACCCCTACCCTACTCACGCCGCCTGCTGGGCGCCCTCGACGGGCGCCGCCTTGATGATGATGTACTCGAGGTCGGCCAGCGCCATCATGAGATGCTCGCGGTCCATCGGCCCACCGTCGTCCCGGGTCCAGGATTGCTCGTACATGTCGACAACGACGGGCGTCGGCCGGCCTGACTCCGGCGGCGACGCGAACGTGTGCCGCAGCAAGATGTCGTTACCCTGCGGTCAGGACACGTGACGGTACCTTGACGCGGACGGGGCACGATCCAGAGGTCAAGCCGGCACGTGACGGCACCATGAGCTCAGGACGGTGCATGCAGAACCCTGAGGTCAAAAGGGCACGTGTTGGTTCGTTGAGGTCATGAGGGCACGCATAGGTGGCCTGAGATCAAGACGTCACGTGTTGGTATCTCGCGTTCAAGAGGGCACGTGGCGGTGCCCTGAGATTAAGAGGCAGGTGTTATTAGTCAGGGATCAAGAGGGCAAAAGCTGTTGTTTTGAAGCCACGCAGGCGGGTATCGTTAACCTGAGGCGTCGTGGCTCGTGGCGCCGCGTCCAGGTCAAGAGAGCAAATGTCGTTAACCCGTGGGCAATGGCCAGAATGTCACCAGGGACAACAGGGCATGTGTTTTACCATTAGGTCGAGGCAACAGGGTCGAGGCAACAGGTCATGTTACCGAAGTCCAATGCCTGGAAACGTGAGGCGACCGGAACAGTACGGAAGACATTGCTACTATAAGTTCAACACGCAGATGTCCTTACCCCGAAGGTAAACACCAATGGTGTTTACCTTACAGGCAAAGACAAGTGTCGCATTGTAATGTCATGGTACCATCAGATAGGACTTCTACAGAACAAGCAATACAGTTCTGTGATAAAAGAAATGTCTGCGATCTGACTGGCTTATACAACAAAACGTCAGGTAGTTCTGTAACTCACTAAGATCTCCACGTCGGGGTAGCTCTGGAAGGCGGGCTGGGCGCCGGGTGGAGCCGTGAAGCGCAGGTTATACCTCAGCGAGCCGCCGTACGAGGTCACCTTGTCGCCGAGGAACCGGGCCGGCAGGCGCCAATACAGCGGCTGAAATGAGCGCCGGGTACATATCACTCGCTCAGAAATGGGCACGCCGGTGGAATGGGCTTTTCTGCCGGTTTGGGCTAAGACGCATACAAAACAGAAACGTCCGGCTGTGAGCATAAGTGGGCAAAGAACACCGACCTATGAAATTTCGGCAATCTGCTCTGTCCAGACAAAACAAGCTGAAAAGGTCGAAGGCAAGAGCTACAGCCTGCCGGTGGCGAAGTTGACAGTGATGCTCACCCTCCTGCCGAGCCGGCTCAGGTCCCTGTAGACCGCCTCCCGGGCGTCCGAGTTGACGAAGGCGCCGTCGAACGTCTGCTGCGCCCTCTCGTCGGTGAGCACGAAGTCCTGCACACTGCTGGTGAACACCGCAGACTCCTGTCGCCAGCAGCCAGGGGGCCGACCGTCAGCGCCCACGCGCAGGCTGCCCCAGCCACGCGCGGCCACCTCGCCACGTGCTCCAGCGTGCTCCGGCGTACTCCAGCGTACTCCGGCGTACTCCAGCGCACTCCAGCGTACTCCGGTGTGCTCCAGCAAACTCCGGTGTACTCCAGCGTACTCCCGCGTACTCCAGTGTACCCCAGCTTACTCCGGCGTACTCCAGCGTACTCCAGCGTACTCCGGCGTACTCCGGCATACTCCGGTGCACTCTAGCGTACTCCAGCGTACTCCAGCGTACTCCGGCGTACTCCAGCGTACTCCGGTGTGCTCCAGCATACTCCGGTGCACTCTAGCGTACTCCAGCGTACTCCAGCGTACTCCGGTGTACTCTAGCGTACTCCAGCGTATTCCGGTGTACTCCAGCGTACTCCAGCGTACTCCAGCGTACTTCGGTGTGCTCCAGCATACTCCGGTGTACTCTAGCGTACTCCGGTGTACTCCAGCGTACCCCAGCGTACTCCGGTGTACTCTAGCGTACTCAAGCGTACTTCAGCGTATTCCGGTGTACTCCAGCGTACTCCAGCGTTCTCCAGCGGGCGGAGCACGCTGCCGTTTCTAGACGCGTCAGCGAGCCGACCGCCGTCACGTTACAGATTATCGTTACACACGAGCATGGAGACCATCGGAGGTCTCACCCGACCGCGGCCTTGGCGGCGGGCATGGCACGACCAGGCGTCCGCCCAGCTTCGGGATCAAACGTGCCGCGTCCGCGAACGGAGCGGGGCTGGGGGAGGGGCACCCTTCCAGCTGAGCTCACCTGCTGGCGGTACCAGTTGGAGGAGCTGCACTGGTCAGTGACGCCCATGCAGAAGCAGTTGATGCAGCCGTGCAGATTCTTGTCGCTGAGGAAGAACGCCCGCGGCTTGCACTGGTCGCACTTAGCGCCGGTGGCGAATTCCTGCGCCACAGATGCCGCCAGGTTATCAGTGGCACACGCATGACGGGGACGACCGATGCTAACCAGCTGGTCATGGACGTTGGCAAGGCGTCTTGACGTCCTTTCACGCGAAAGACGTCAGCACGTCCGCGACGTCCAGCACGCCACGTCGTGTCGCCGATATTGTTTCGTCCGTGCTTCGACCGGCGACTTAAGGCCAACAACATGGCGTCGATTTTTCGGTGACAGCAGCATGGCGTCGTGGTCAGCGTGGTCAGATACAGCACGCGCACTGCGACGCTTCCCATTAGGTCGTCGCAGCTCGGCAGTTGGTGCTGATGTGCCGGTACGTAAAGAGAAGATACAGGTGGGAACCAGTGCGATCGATCGGGAACGATTACGCGGCGGCGATCTACGGGGTAAGCGGGTACACGCAGGCCGGTTCGAGAGGGAGGGTACAGCTGGCTAGAGACTCACCGCGTTGGTCCAGCGAGAGACAGAGAGGTGGTGCAGGGAGACAAGAAAACAAGCCAGAGTAAGACACGGTCAATCTCCCGAAATGAGAGCCAGCCGGGTTTCAGTGCAGAGATAAGTCTCCCCATAAGACATCCGAACAGAAATGCAAGTGTGTTTGCAGGTGGCCAATTCTGAAGAGGTAACACCGGGAGACGCTGTGCATCTGCTACGCTGTGAGTTTGCCCCGCGCTCGGGCCATGCTTGCAGTGCTGGCGATGTTTGCAGAAGAGAGACATGACCTCAGATGAATTTGTTTAACCTAGGCACACAGTCTGAATACAATCGTGACTACAGAGTGTCACCTGTGGTCGACTAATGATCATGGATATTTGAAGCCGCGCAGGGTCATTTGAAGCCGCGCAGGGTCCGCTCTCAGCATCAGAGCGCGCGGGCGGGCTGACTGCCTGCCTTGTATGCGGCAGTGCACCAGGGAACAGTAGCCGACCCTGACCTTCGTCAGCAGGTCAAGTCGCGGACGCCATGGCGCACCTAATCTACCGGGCGGAGCGAAGCGGGCTGGGTGGTATGTACAGGGCTCACGACACGTACGCACGTACACACACCACACACACACAGTGGCCGGCGCAAGCGTGGTCGCGAGCCAGGCCCCGGGCCGCCGGTGGGGGACCAGACCGCGGCGCCGCGCCACCTACCTTGCAGTCGCAGCGGCCTGTCCGCGGGTCGGGCGTGCTCTGGAGCGAGCCAGCCGGGTCACACTGGTCCCCTGCCGGAACGGCACCGAGCGCGCGTCAGCGCGACCTCGGCGCGTCGTCGCACTGCGAGGCTCGCGTCGCCCGCGGCTCAGTTGTCGACAACCAGATCGGTAATGGCACGGGCGGCCATGGCTGAATTGAGAAGTCGGGTCCTAAGTACCCGTAGATAAGTATCGGGGGGAAAACGCAAACGGGAGAGTCCCGGCAGGTAAGACTTTGCTGTAAAATGGCCTCGCAACCAACACTGCTTTCGATCCGGTCAGATGCTGAGAGAACTAACGAACCCCTTCAGATAAAACCAAACTCAGGAGAACAGCGCCACCCAGTGAGACGTCATTGCGAGACATAGCGGCATGGCGGGGACACTGCCCGCAGCGGCTTCACTGAGGCAGACCGGGTCGGTAGGGACCGGCCAGGGCGGCCTGCCGTACCGGGTGAGCAGGGGGTGCCGGCCAGCGGGTCGCCGCGGTAGCCGGCCGCGCAGCGCTCGCAGCGGCGACCGATGTAGCCCGCCGGACAGTCGCAGGTCACCTGATTGTCGGAGTCCAGTCGACACGTCTGGCCGAATCTGCCGACCGAGCGGGCGCCGGGTCAGGCTGTTGCACCGGCCAGGCGGGATTACGCCGGCTTGGTGCCCCATGACGACGGCAGAGGCGGGGGCTTATTACAGTCGAAGGCGATTACGACATCACCAACTTTGACCATCAAAACTACACAGCGGCGTTATACTGTACTGTTCTGCAACGACTACGAAGAGATCTACGACTATCGAACGTCGGGAACACCCATGATGGTCACTAATGATGACGTCTTTCGTACCGACTATGACGGAGTGCCTCCCAGTGCCGACTGTGCATTAGTGCTCCTTGATGATGACTGTGCGCTACTGCCCCTGGCCTTGACTATGCGCCACTGTCTCTGGCTTTGGCTAAGCCGTCGTGTTTCTGGTACCGACGGCACCGAAGCGCCCTTGTCAACCACGTGCGGGGAAGTCCCCCTCGCTGCTGAGCGCGCCGGAGTGCCGCCGCCACTCACTGGGCCGGAGTGCCGGGGCAGGAGCAGGGCCGGCACGCGATTCCGCGCCGCGGGTCACCATACTGTCCGGGGGCGCAGTCCTGCGGCTCCTGCACGCAGCGGCCCAGCCACTGGCCGGTCTGCTGGCGGATGTAACCTGGTGCGCACTCCTGCGGCGCGGACAGCAGACACCGATCAGCGCAGCCACCGCCGGAGGGGAGGGGGAGGAGCACACTCCTGCAGACACAACAGACAGCTCCAGGGGCGGCGTCAAGCCCGGCCCGCGCATCAAACTCGGAGGCGCCGCGAATATTCCTAACGGCCGCCGCACATCGCTGCTTTGAGTGCCCTCTGCGCAGGGGAGACTGGAAACTCTGCCCCGTGCTCGGGCGCCGCCTCACCTCGCACGACATGCCGGAGTAGCCCTGCGGACAGTTGCAGTCCTCCACCAGGTTGGTGGGGCCCTGGGAAGTCTGCGCCACCGTGGCCGACTCCATGCGCACTGCGGACAGCTCGCCCTGGAACCGGCCGTCCGAAGACCGCGGCACCCTGCCGTGTACATGAGGTCAGGTCAGGTCCGGCCGGGTCACATTAAGCCAGGGCAGGTCATCTCAGGCCAGAACAGGTCATGTGTCACGTCAGGTCACCTCACGTCTGCTCAATTCAGGTCAGCAACGGGAGAGCCAGATTGTGAAAATGAGGCTATGCTGTTTTTACTCAGCTCAAACTTTGTAAGCGACCGTGCAAGTAACTGACACTCTCTTGATGGACTGAGAGAGACAATGTTGACACCAACAGAGGAAGACCCGTACCCGATGAGGAAAAAGTCGATGTTCTCCAGCACCATCATGATGTCCTCGCGGGTGGCAGGCACCTGGTCGCGCCTGGCGCCCGTCTTGTAGAACACGCCCTCCGTGATGCGGATGCTGGTGCTGCCCGGCTGGCTGATGTCAGGGGTATACCAGATCACCAGTCCGTTACCCTGTCGGTGACGGCAGGCCGGTCAGAGCGTACGGCTGCACACAGGCCAGGGCAGGTCATGCGGTAGAACACAAACCCGGTCAGATTATACCAACGAGCAGAGACCCGGTCAGATCATCCGCCCAAACACAGACCCGGTCAGTTCGTATTGCTGAAGAAATACCTGACCGGATCATGGCAACGGGCACAGACCCGTTCGGATCACACGGCCGAACAAGATCTCAGCGAGATCACAAGACCGAACGTGATCTCAGCGAGATCACAAGACCGAACAGAGACACGGTCTGATGGCACGGCCGAAAACGCACCATGCCACACACTACGGCCGAATGCCTGCCCGTAATAGCACACTGCTGACTCGGCCACAGCACACTGATGACCGCCGACCCCGTCACAGCACACTGCTGACCCCGCCACAGCACACCGCTGCCGGCGACCCCGTCAAAGCGCACCGTTGTCGGCGACCTCGTCACACACGCGGCCGAACACAGATCGTTCCGGCGATGCCCCATGCCCTCTTCAGCACCGGCGCCCCAGCTGACGGCGCGGTCACCCCTCGCCCCTTATCAGCTGCTGGCCGACTCACGCTCAGAATGACGGCAGGCTGCCGCCGGTCGGCGCCGCCCGGCGGACTCAGCGTGTAGCGCAGGTAGCCGCCGTAGCTCTTCAGCTGGGGACCGGTGTGACTGGGCGGCATGGAGAAGTACAGGGAGCCGTCCACGAACGGCGGAGACACCACCTGCGGCAGGGCGGCGAGCGAACCGCTCAGACAGGCCCCCCTCGGCACGCTCGCCGCGCGCCCATGGTTGCCGCCCGCGGTACGCCCAGCATGCGTGACTTGATACACGACAGGCGCGACGTCCAGCGGAAAATGCGCGGTGCCGCAGATTTGCGCCTCAAAGAGCGATTATCGGACAGGCTTACACGACATGTTAGTGTTAGCGATTCCCTGAAGTGTGGAACAAAGCTGAGGCGACATAATAACACAGACCTATCAAGTTTTGAAAGAGGTTTGCCAGGACTAAGAACCATATATTTTTATGTGGTGCAAGATGCGGCATGAAAACCGTTACCAAAACTCAGAAAACACAACTTGCTACAGCTGGCTACCAGCCGAGCCTGCTGCCCTCCAGCAGGCGCCATGTCCGGACTGACCTGAACAGCGCCCCCCGGGCCGAACCTCAGGTAACGGCTCGAGTCGCCTGTCGCCGGCTCGATGATGAAGTCCGGAGAGTAGCTCGACACGGAGCGCAGTGAGATGTCGCTTGGGTTTGGCTCCGGCAGCTGCCGACAGCGGTGACGTCACAACAGTGTACTCGACACGGAGCGCGGCGAAGCGTCACTGGGATGAAGCAGCTGCCTACAGTGGTTGCGTCACAATAATTTAAGGCAACACAGCATGACATGACGTCGCTAAAGCTCGGCTCTAGCAGCTGTCATCAATGGTAGTGTCACAACAGTGTACGAAGCGCAGCGCGACGTCATTGGGGTTGCACAGCTACGACCAGCAGCAGCATTATACAGTGTCTCGGGCATTCCAGCCGCTTAGGCATTCCGCGCAGGAGGTTCTGCGGCAGCATGGTGATAATGGAGCCGCGCCGCGTTCCGGTCCCGCACAGCCAGCGCACAACCAAGCAGCAGCGCCCAGGAATCCAGGTTGGGCGCTTGCCAATGATAGACAGGCCGCACCTCAGCCCTGAGACGAACATGAACAAGGCCAGGGACGAGGACGAAAACAATACTACGCCCTGAACAATACTACGCCCTGGAGATAACGAGATGAATGCCTCAACTGCAAGAGAGGCAGGGGCAACACCGCACCTCGCGGGTGGACACGAACAAAACGAGCCTCGGGGGTGAAAAGAATCACGTTCGCGCCGGGAGACGGACTCGCACCTCCGAGATGGACAGCCCGGCGCTGAAGCAGTCGGTGGTGGCACCGAAGCAGAAGCAGCGCTGGCAGTCTGCGTTGGTGAGCGCGGCGCTGTTGAAGTCGGGCGGCTGGCAGATGCCGCCACTGCCCGACACCATGACGATCGTGTCCGGTACGGCGAACACCGAGCCCTTGATGTTAATGGCCTCGCACGAGTAGGCGCCCTGGTCCGAGACCTGGGCGTTCGGGCAGGTGAGTGTGCCCAGACCGCCCGAGCTGCGGCCACAGGTCGGCTGTTAGGTCTGACGCAACGCAGCGCCACGTGATGGACAGCAGCGGCAGCAGGGCAATATTTGTTATACATTAATCAGCACGGACACAGACAAAACGTCATAAAACAAGCACGGTGCAGAACGCGCTACTGAACTGAACGTGTGCTGTCATAAGAAGGAAAGTTATTAGGTTGATGATGTTTTATTACAGACATATCTATTTTCATAAAACACACATTTTGAATCATTACTCGCATTCAGCACACGAATGATCAACTTCAGCGCCCCCGTCGCTGGAGGGGACTAGCCAGAGGCAGGGTCTGCCGGCCTGGACCACGCGCGGCGCGCTGCCAGGTATTCACCTCTCCTGACGACATTTGAACGGCACGTGGCCCCAGTTGAGGCGCCACGAGATCTCGGGCACGGGCGTGCCGACGGCGCGGCACCGGATGACAAACACGTCCCCGGTCTGCACGTTCAGCATGGACGGCGGCGGCTCTCCGATCAGAGGAGCGGCTGCGAACACCAACGGCCCGGTCAGTCGGCACCACACTGGCCAGGCTGGTCCAGCGCGACACTGGCCACGCTGGTCCAGAGCGACACTGGCCACGCTGGTCCAGCGCCACACTGGCCACGCTGGTCCAGAGCGACACTGGCCACGCTGGTCCAGAGCGACACTGGCCACGCTGGTCCAGCGCCACACTGGCCATGCTGGTCCAGCGCCACACTGGCCACGCTGGTCCAGCGCCACACTGGCCACGCTGGTCCAGAACGACACTGGCCACGCTGGTCCAGAGCGACACTGGCCACGCTGGTCCAGCGCGACACTGGCCACGCTGGTCCAGCGCGACACTGGCCACGCTGGTCCAGAGCGACACTGGCCACGCTGGTCCAGCGCGACACTGGCCACGCTGGTCCAGAGCGACACAGGTCAGGCTGGTCAAGTGCGACACTGGCCACGCTGGTTCAGAATATGAGCCGGTCTGATTGACTGCTAGAGTTCACTTCAACAGCAGCGCACTTGACTCGCTACTCCTGGCTAGCATCCGGCAGATCCCTGCACCAGGTCCTCAGTCTGCAGCACCCGCATCAGTCCTCGTTGTACAAGTGCCGCGTGTTCCTGCCAGTGAGCCGTCTGCGGCCGCGGCCACCCGCTCCCTGATGGTGCTCTCCGTGCGGGCGACTCACAGCAGCCGATCTCGTCGCTGCGGTCCTGGCAGTCCACCTGGCCGTCGCAGTGGAAGGCGCGCGGGATGCACTGGGCGCTCGGCTGGCCGCCAGCCGCGCACTGGAACTCGTTGTAGTTGCACTGCGAGCCTGGCAAGACGAGGCGGCGCCGTCAGACGCCCGCGTGGCTGACGCGTCCGTAGGCGCACTTCGAGGCGACACAGCCAGAGCCCACCGGACAGACGTCTGCATCGCCACGTCCCGGGGCCGGCAAGCACATCAAGTTAGTGCCTCAGGGAGTGTAAAAAGAAGATTAGCATGCTCAGCGCGTTCTAAGAGAGCATGACACTTCCGTCAGCTGGAGATACCTTCCACATCTGGTGGATGGGGAAGAAGTTCAGCCTACTACGTGGGCTTTCAAGGGCTTGGGCCGACCGACGGGCTGTAGCGGGATTGTCCGGCCTGGTGACCTCTGACGCGACTGTGGACCTCTGTCCGGCCTGGTGACCTCTGACACGACTCCACCCACCTGGCGGGCTGGGCTCGCAGCCCTGCTCGTCCGATTCGTCTCCACAGTCGTTGTCTCCGTCGCAGCGCCACGTCTTCAGCACGCACTTCTGGTTGGCGCACTGGTACTCATTTGGCTGACAGCCGGACGGGTCTGGGGAGATCCGGACGCCGCGGTGAGCGCGCTCGCGGGCGCACCACAACCCAACGAATGCCGACGGTAACCACCGCTCGGTGGCATTAGTTCAGGACAGTGAGCGGCGTTCCAAAGCGTAATACCCCACGACAAAGAACGGCGCTAGAGATAATCTCATTCTGGAGTAGTGAAGAACGTCTCAAACTTCCGAATTAAGAGCGGCGGCCCCTGAAGATCATACTCGGGAGAGTGCACACTGCGCGGCGGCCCAAAACACCACCCAGACATAACAACACTGCCCCACCGCATTACTTGCCCCACCGCATTACTGATAGCCGGCGAAAAACAGCACTGGCCAATATCACTGTCTCATATACGGCCGGAAATTGCGCCATCAAACGGCTGCGCGAGATGCGCTCAGGCCGCTGGCTGCAGCGCCCACGCGACAACAGGGTGGCTGACGTCAAGGCCGGTTTCGTGTTTCGACGATCACCGCAGATGAATCGTTGCAAGCGCCAATGCCCACGAATCCACACATGTTGCAGACGGGGTGCGGTAACTCCTCTCCCTCTCTCTCTCTCTCTCCCTCAATCTAACACATCAACGTCGATTACGACGCAATGTGAAGCCGTCAGAAGTGCCTCGTAAAAACGCTACCAAGGTGGGGGAGCAACAGATCTGCAAAGCCCCCGCTCCCTTGTAAGTAAAAGTGTACCGCCTGGTGCAGTTAGGCACCATCATATACAATCAAAACGTACTAAGAAAAGGCGAATGTCTTACATTTCGCGCATAAAAAGATGCAAATTGCCGTTTTCTACCCGATGCGCGGGGCTGCGCTCGGGAATACAGTGTTGTGCGGCACAGCATAAAGTTCAGGGTTCGACGGAGCGTGGAGCCGGTTAGGCAGCCGATAGGAAGCCAAGCCCTACGTGTCGCAGCACGGCACACCAACAGGCGGCGGGCGCGCCCTGGCTCACTCCGCAGAAACTCCGCACTTCTGAAGCCCGTGTCGCGAGCGAAACGCGGAGAGACAGGTCGGGGAAACGGACGTTTCCTGCTGCAGTTTTATTTTGTGAGCTGCGTGAGTATTGCACCCGAAAGCAAAACCAATATGTTATGGTTCGCATTTTTAAAAAAAAAACTATCCCCACAAATTCCGTCTTTACTAATTCCTAAACATTTTTTAAAGGTCAGTTGTCAACATACACGCAGCAGCAGCAGCACGCACGCAGGCAGCAGGTCATGCAACGAAGCCGCGACTGCTCCGCAGCCAGCTTATGCGGGCAACAGCGCTGTACTCTGACACGTCAGAGCAGCCGGATTTTTTAATTTCGAAGACATTTCAAGCCGGGCTATTCCCAAATTCCCCTCAAATGTCCACACAAATGCAGTACGTTGTATAACGTTACGACCTACCGTGCGTTATGCTTCTTTTACAAGTGACTATAAGTCCACAGGTATATATTTTTTGGTGGGATGGGCCTCACCAGGAAATATTACATATACCATACATTCCCAGTAAATTTCCTTATCTTTCAGCAGAGCTACAATTGTTTCCACAAATGGCTTTCGCGGAAAATGTACGAAAAAATATTCGGCCAGATCAAATTGCATCTCAGTCTCCTGATGTGCGATCTTATCATTTGACGACGTCGAACAGTGAGGCGGCATCGTAGCATGCTACGGGAAACGCAATGATGAAGAACATATCTGTCCTGCAGTGTTTAGTGTTTTAGCTACGATTACTCTGCACAGACTGATGGACTTGGTGTGCCTTGGGAAGACAGTGATATAGGGATTGTGGTCCCATGCGTTTCCATGCGTCTTCTTAACATACAAATGCTTCTAGAAAATTATGACCAGAATATTTCTGCGACACCATATACAAAGTCCAATAGGAAACTGCCTACCCATTCGACGAGACAAAACACAAGACCTGTGGCTAAAAACGTCAGTAAGTCCCACACCGGCAGCCAGCCTCTTCCCCATCACCCAGCCGCTAGAGCCGACCCAGAGCACCGTACGAGCCTGGATTGGACGCCACATCAGTGGCCGTACTCGGCGAGCTTGGCTCGCTTCCACCCCCCGGCCAGAGGGAGCAGCGACAGCTGGGATAGCTGGGACAGTCCTCATGGGAACCATCTGCCCCCCCCCCCCCACACACACTATAGCTAGGACCCTGTCCTCTCCAGCTGGAACTTTTCGTTCCACCAGTCTGCGTGTCGTTGGGACTAAGCCACCCTTGTCTGGTGCGCATTCCCCGGGCTGCTTCGACAAACCACATTCTGCCTGACACACCCTGCCCTGAGAACCCTTCAAAGTCATCCAACTTGAGTCATCGATCCGGGAATCGCTGCCCACCTCCCTCCGCCCCGGAGCGTGCACTTCAGCGCCGCGCCGCGGGCATCCAGCTCCGGCCGTTGGCGATCCGACGGCTGGATAAACAGGCGGCGGATACGGCGTCTACCACTCTGCCGCCCTTCAGGCCGACCGCCGGCCATAAAAACCGGCGCCCGCGGCGGCGGCCGCCGCCTGCAGCGCCACCGCCGTCCGGCGGCCCGGCCACTGGGGTCACGTCACCGCCGCGCGCCGCCGGCCGACGCCAGCTGCAGAGTCAGCGGCCGCCGCTGCACGCCCCCGCCGAGGGCTGCTGCACGTGCGGGGGCGGCTGGTGCGCCGGGCGCGGCAGCACACGCCTCGGCTGATGACGGGCGGCGGGGCGGGGCGGCCGGCGCCGCGGCCCGGCCCGCACCGGCGCGCTGTTCGCGGCGTCGCGCTCCCGCCGGCTCGACTGTCCCCGATTCCAGCATCACACCGCCTGAGCAAATAAACAGGCGGCTGCTGGACCGGCGGCCCCGCCCCGATCGTGCCTCCCGGGCGGAACCACCCAGCTGGCCGACTACGCCGCTCCGCTGTCGGCATGCACATTGGTGAACGGCACAGAGCTGGCCGGGTTAAACATTTCGCTATTTTCCTTTTTAAATATGAATGCCTGAGCAGCTAAAAACACAACAAATGTCCTTCTAAGTAATCTGGACTCTGTGATCTGGCATCTGTTGGCGCAAAAGAAAACAAGTCTGCTCCACTTCTTTGCCCAGGACTGGCCTGGTGTCGCCGGTACGCTCCGGGTCGAATGCCAGAGGGTGTAAGCTGTACCCAGATCGTGACCAAACCCACACGGGAACACACTGGCACAATCAAGGTGTTCAATTTAACTGCCACTTGGCAATCTCGTGCGATCGCCGTACCCATGGCATGGCAACAAAGTTCACGGCCCCTGTTCCGGGTCAGAACCGCGCATGCCAACAGCCATGGACGCTGGTGCGAATATCATCTGTCCCGATTAAACATAAGCGATAAATAAACTTGAATTATATGCCTCGGTTCACATGAGGCCCAAATGCACACTTGCGGATGCCAATGTTTTGAAAAGAGTCATGTCCGATTATCCCTTGATTTGCAGCCACCAGATGCGCCGCGTCTCAATATTTACCCAACGCTGATATTTCCTGGTAGCGGTGGTCATGACTCAATCAAAAAGCTCGCGTCTGCAACAGCTCCCGAGGCGGTCAGTGTTGGCAGCCGCCTTCATGCCCTATGTGGACCTTCGTTGATATACAAAGATAAGCGGCCCTATATGGGCGGTGGGACAGCGGGGAGCGGCACATAAAGTCCCCGGGAGGCCTTCGGACCGCCCTGGGCCCATGGGGAGCGTAGGAGCGGTTTCGAGACGGTGTCGGGCAGGAGACACTTCATACACAGTAAGCTGTGTATGAAGAGGCGTGAGAAAACACAGCACAGCGGACAGTGCCTAAAGCTCATGTAGTCTGTGTGTGTGTGTGTGTGTGTGTGTGTGTGTGTGTGTGTGTGTGTGTGTGTGTGTGTGTGTGTGTGTGTGTGTGTGTGCGTGTGTGTGTGCTGTGTGTGTGTGTGTGTGGGTGTGTGTGTGTGTGTGTGTGTGTGTGTGTGGTGTGTGTGTGTGGTGTGTGTGTGTGTGGTGTGTGTGTGTGTGTGTGTGTGTGTGTGTGTGTGTGTGTGTGTGTGTGTGTGTGTGTGTGTGTGTGTGTGTGTGTGTGTGTGTGTGTGTGTGTGTGTGTCTTTGTGCGTGTGTGTAAGTGTGTGGAGAGGGGGGAGGGCATCACAAGTAATGTGCTTGAAATGGGGTGAATCCTGTCGAGAAAAGCTCCCCTTGATTCCCCCCCCCCCCTTAACTGGACGCAAAGCCCATGGCCAGTGCTGAACGGCAACAAACACCGACAGCAAGAGCAGTCCTGCAAACAGCAGGCAGAAAGCAACACGGTATATCAGCGTTGCTGCCAGGCGTCCGCCGGCCAGTGCAGGCAGGAGGCCGCCGCGACATCCCAGACACGGACCCCCCGGCCGGGGGGGTCGGTACATACAGCGGTGGTTCTTGTCCGAGCCGTCCGGACAGATCGGCACTCACTGCAGCGGTTCTCATCCGAGCCGTCCGGACAGATCGGTACTCACTGCAGCGGTTCTCGTCCGAGCCGTCCGGACAGATCGGTACTCACTGCAGCGGTTCTCGTCAGAGCCGTCCGGACAGATCGGTGCTCAGTGTAGCGGTTCTCATCCGAGCCGTCCGGACAGATCGGTACTCACTGCAGCGGTTCTCATCCGAGCCGGCCGGACAGATCGGTACTCACTGCAGCGGTTCTCATCCGAGCCGGCCGGACAGATCGGTACTCACTGCAGCGGTTCTCATACGAGCCGGCCGGATGAGAACCGCATCAGGTACTCACTACAGCGGTTCTCACCCGAGCCGGCCGGACAGATCGGTACTCACTGCGGCGGTTCTCATCCGAGCCGTCCGGACAGGTCGGTACACACTGCAGCGGTTCTCATCCGAGCCGTCCGGACAGACTGGTACTCACTGCAGCGGTTCTCATCCGAGCCGGCCAGACAGATCGGTACTCACTGCAGCGGTTCTCATCCGAGCCGTCCGGACAGTCCCGCTCGCCGTCACACACTCGTCCCTTGGGGATGCACGTGCCGTCGGCGCAGGTCGCCTCCAGGAGACCGCAGGCTGTCGACGGCGGTCGAACAGGGCGGTCATCTGCGGACAACGGCCGATAAGGTCAGGGAGAGTCATCTGAAGGTGATGGCAGGTCAGGCCAGGGCCGGTCAGTGAGGATAACAGCAAGCCAGGCCGGGTCAACAAGGGACGACGGCAGGTCGGGCCAATGCATCGGGAGAGAGACGGTAGGTCAGGTCAGGATGTGCCATCTGAAGGCGAGGCAGGTCAGGTTGAGGTCGGTCAGCTGGGGATCACGGCAGGTCGGGTGTCATCTGACGACGGTAGGTTAGATGAGTGCAGGTCATTTGATGATAATATTCCACGGCCGGTCATCTGGAGATAACGTGATGACAGATGACAGGCCAAACCCCACTACCCAGTGAAGATGGCAGGCCAGATCACACAACCTAGTGGCGATGGCGGATCAAGTTATTCATTTCGGATTGGCGTCATTCAAGTCAATTCATTTGGGGTCACGTCACTTTAGGACATCTGTGGACAACGATAGATCGGGCCAGATCACCTAGGCATGATGGCAGGTCATGTCAGATCACCTAACCATGATGGAAGATCATGTCAGATCGCGCATGTCGGGTCGGTCACCAAGACCAACAGCGGACAAATAAGGTTAGCAAAGGCCTTGGTGAACATCCAGGACCATCAGCCATCTAGTGAAAAATTGAGGCATCGAACAAGACACCGTAGCTTTTGTTGTCGACCGCACAGTGTATAGCTTGAGCATGTTCACACCCTGTTCCTCTCAGTATATGGAAGTGGACGGTATCCAACAACTACTGAGTGCAGGTGGTATGCGCGGCTTACAGCGAGACATTTTTGCTTTTCGTTTTGTATGCTCGATACCGAAAAGCTGCTAACATTGCGGGAAAATACGAGGTTTATTGACCGGCGCGAACAACTCCGACGCGTTTAACAGGGACTGGCGCTATCTTTTTCTTCGTTGCTATATATAAATCATCATATCTTGAATTGGCCTAGATTTGCCTAGCCTCACATAGCAAGTTCTCCGAAAAGCGGATGATGGAGCAACCAGCACTCCTCGACGGTACCCTTACCAATGCTCAGGTCATCCGTTGATACCCTGGAGCAAGTCATGTCCCGTTCCTGTCCCGCGCATCGCTGGCGTCCAAATGATCGGAGAACTGCGACCATTGGTCTAATGTAGTCTTAACTAAGCAACTTGGAGATGCGTGAGACGGAACCAAGAATATCACAGACGGCGTTCGGAAACAATAGAAATAGCTACAATGGTATCACAAAGGGACGATGACGGTTGGGTTTGGTCATTGTTTGGTGGGAGCACAGTGAACTGACGCGGAACATTTCACTTCAGCCACTGCTGCCTCCGCTCTTAGTCACATCAGGATGGCATCCTCCCCAACAGACGTCCCAGCAGGATGGTGTCCTCCCTAACAGACGTCCCAGCAGGATGGTGTCCTCCCCAGCAGACGTCCCAGCAGGATGGTGTCCTCCCTAACAGACGTCCCATCACGATGGTGTCCTCCCCAACAGACGTTCCAGCAGGCTTGATGTGATGCACAGCAATTACGTGAAAATGCGACGATCTGCATATATCGTGATCCAATTATGTTCGAAAGCGACGCACAGCCATGCCTGCAGTGGGCGACGTGCATTCTTTATGGGACCTATGACGTCGGGACGGGACGTATTCGGTGCATCGGGAATGGAGATTTGCTTCCTGCTATAGTGCTCACGATTATATTTATCTGCGCAGTCAAACACTGCAGCGCCTTATAATGCTCACATACTAAAATACCGTCAACGCGGCTCAAGCCTACGGTGTACCTTGCCCCAAAATATGCAACATAAGAAGCTTTGAAGACAAAAAGAGAACTGGATGGCAGCCGCGGATCGAGATAAGCAATCGCTTAACTTAGACTGACACTTTGCAAGGCCGACAATCGCAAACCTTCCCCAGATTGACCCTATCCCTATCCAGGTTGACCCTATCCAGGTTGACATCCCGTGTGCATGCTTTGACATCCCGTGTGCGTGTGCAATGACTAAGCGATATAAAGATGAAGACAACAACATTGACATTCAACAACGTTCCCATAAAAATATAAATTCCGCTAAAAAACACACGAGTCTCTGGCTACTTTACTGCATATCATGTTGATCCAAAATGAGCTTAACGTCTAATATCCGAATTAGTTTGGCAGAATTAGCACTCTTGGGGTCTTTGAGCTATATTTTTCATGCATCACTATTTGGTTGTCGCATAACATGCTGCACCGGAAATGTCGATTATGCTTTTGCGGGAAAAAGAACGCTGAGGCCAGTGATAGCCGCGATTAAAAGCCACTTCGAGTGTCATAGAGTTCAGGAATTCGAAACACGTGCCGCCCCTGATGACGTACGAAAGGCTTTGCATCCAGGAATACGCTTATTTATGTAGGATCCAGAGGTCTAGCCCACGGTAAACACGGGTAACGCATGGGTACAGAGCATGCACTGTACTTGTGTGACTTTTTACGATGTGAAGGGGTTCCGTTCGGGCTGCTTGGAGATACGCTATGTTATGTGGCCAAGAATTGGGCTAGCCATCGTATCATTTATTATCCACGTCTGTACTACCGTTTATGGCGAGGAAGCAGACGGCCACATCTCAGGGCAGTGGACGTTTCGAAACAAGACATTCCACCACCATTCTAGCAAAAACGACCACAGGACGTGTTCGAGTTTTTGTGCACACATCAAATTCAGTTGATGAGCGCGGTCAGAACATCAAAAGCCAGAGACAGGTCTTTGCATTCTCGTCTTGGACTAGTCAGAAAATATCATTTCTCTTGCAACCTTGCCTGGTGTAGAACATCTCTCCAGCCTGGGGTGGTTGTCTTTTGATATCGCTTTCCGCGACAAAGCCGTTGCCGCCGTCGGCCGAGCGATATATTGCGAGCTCCCAGGGCGCACGAGCGGACAGCACCAGGCCGCCGCGCGTTACAACCAGCGCCAAACGACCGCCTCCAGCGGTACCCGAGGGACGCCGACCGGAGCCAGCAGGCACCGCTTGGCGCGCAGCGCGTGGAAGAGCGAGAGGATGAAGAGAGAAAGAGCGGGAGACAGGGAGGACACACGGCGGACTGACGGCTACTCACCCCGACTCCTCTGAGCTCCCGCCAACCCGCTCAGCGCCAACACAGTCAGCCAGAAGGCGAACCTCATGGTTGTCGCGCGCGAGCGCGCCCTGTTGCTCGTAGGGCAGCCAGCGAGCGACGCCCCCTCCTCCCAGTGCCACCCCGCCCGGCGCCCGGCTCCTGCGGCTCCTGCAGGCCCGTACGCCCTCTGACGCGGCGCAGGCAGCGTGGACGTGGGCGGCAGCTGGCGCCGCTGCCAGAGGGTGTACCCACCGGACAAAAATAAACAGCTTTCGGCCGAAGGCAAGATCGGTTCGTAAGATGCAGTTGGAGAACTCACCGTTTCAGTGATCCATGGCAAAGCAGAAAGCGGGAAACGTACAAGTTAGTACAACGTTAGTGGGAGCACTTCGTGCGACTTCAGACCACGTGACAACCACCACAACCCATGGCCAGGACACACGCCAGGGCAGAGAGGCACAGGTGTGGGCTGGTGCTGCCGTTGGCAACACGCTCCCCGGGTGGGGAAATGGAGCCACACACCGACACGATCTGGCATGTCCCAACCAGCACTGAAGTTCGCAAGAGTCCTCTATCGGTGGCGAAGGGAAACGCACGATGATGCTGATACACAACCTGTGATGGCGGAGGTCCTGGGTGTCTCACCCAAGTCGCGGTTTTGATCATGAAATACACACCTTCCGTAGGTAACAGTGAGTCGTCAGGACGCGCATCCTGTCCCGGCCTTGCACGCGCCTGTTACCTGAATTGTTCGGGTCCTCTTCCTCTCTGCTATCGCTGGGCGAACATACAACTTGTCCACAACAGATCATTGTCTCCCTAAGAATGAAGCAACCTTCTACCAGTCGGAATCTTTGGTCCCTGATCCTCACCCTCTTCAAGATAGCCGTTACCCTATTCCAGACAACCAACGTTCTTGACTGATCGCGTTACCTGATTTGATCGTGCCGCTGGGCAAGGCGGACGGAGTGATGGGCGTTACCTGACTTGATCGTGCCGCTGGGCGGGGCGGACGGAGTGGTGCGCGTTACCTGACTTGATCGTGCCGCTGGGCGGGACGGACGGAGTGATGTGCGTTACCTGACTTGATCGTGCCGCTGGGCGGGGCTGACGGAGTGGTGCGCGTTACCTGACTTGATCGTGCCGCTGGGCGGGGCGGACGGAGTGATGTGCGTTACCTGACTTGATCGTGCCGCTGGGCGGGGCGGACGGAGTGATGTGCGTTGCCTGACTTGATCGTGCCGCTGGGCGGGGCGGACGGAGTGGAGCGCGTTACCTGACTTGATCGTGCCGTTGGGCGGGGCGGACGGAGTGATGTGCGTTACCTGACTTGATCGTGCCGCTGGGCGGGGCGGACGGAGTGATATGCGTTACCTGACTTGATCGTGCCGCTGGGCGGAGCTGACGGAGTGGTGCGCGTTACCTGACTTGATCGTGCCGCTGGCCAGAGCGGACGGAGTGATGTGCGTTACCTGACTTGGCCGTGTGGTTGTGCACGCGGCGGAACTTGCCGCCGTTGTAGCTCACAGACAGCAGGAAACTGGTGAGAGGGCCAGTCGGGTACTTGGAGCGCGTCTGGTCCAGCGCCTCCAGACCCGCTTGCCACTCGCCCGATACGCGGCTCAGCGACTCGAACGCCTTCTGGCGCTCCGGTGAGCCGAGCGCGAACGAGGCAGCTTGTAAAGAGGTCAGCGGTTGTAGGAGCGCGGGGGCGAGACCAGGCGGTGGGTCCCGAGCACCACGCGCGGGGGACACAGCCCGGCGGCTGGACAGAGTTAGTGAGTGCAGGCCAACATGTCGTTGATATTAGTATGGAATTTGTCACAGGTCAAAGCGTATTCGTGTTTCCAAGCCTCAGGCCAGGCTTTCATCAGGTCAGCGCACAGCACGTGCTGCTACATTAAGCGCCCTGGGAGCAGAAGCCGACTGGCCAAAGAATACCGAGGAGCAGACGATACTCCAGATGTCGCTGAGGGCTCCGCTCCAGTTCACAGCAGACGGCTGTCTCCCAAGCTGAGTCACTCGTCCTAACATGCGGTGGTCCAGTGAGGCTTCGAATGTCAGCCAGGTCCTTGCCCCTAATGGTTCGCGCTCGGCGCAAGGCAAAGCACAAGTCCGTTGACAGTCATCACATTTGCAGGACCCTGATATTGTTCTGTGCTGACGCAGCAGTACCGCTCCCCCTCCCTCACCTAAACACCTCCCACGCCCAGATCATGTCGCATGCACCCACTGCTGGCGGCACCACATGTGGCGCCCCAACTGCTGCCCTAATGTAAACCAAGACCATTGTGAAAGCGAAAAACGTCGTCTGGAAAGGAGCGACTAGCGCGGCCCACTCCCGACACACTAGACTGCTCAGAGTAAACACGCGCGGCAAAAAAGCGTGGGCGCCGCCGCGTGGCCGGCAGGAAGCGGCGGCCGCCGGCGCGCGCCGCTCCCAGCTTCAGAGCGCGCCGCCGATAAGCCCGGCCTTCGCCCGCTGTTGCTCGGAAGCCGGCCAAATCGCCCGCACAAACATTGAGATCATGACCGGAAAGGCCGTCGCCGTGCTGTTCGTTAAGAAAACAGAGGGCCCGCGGCTGGCGCGTCTCAGTCCCCCAGCAGATGTCAGCGACGCCCAGCGAGAGCACCACTCCGTCCAAGCTCAGTACTGCTGACGACGCGCTATGACGCGCCCAACTCCCGTCACCGACATTCCCTGGCCTGGCCGCGGACCGTGGCTCCGTCAGACATTCAGGCGAACACCACGCCGCGGCACATCCCACATCACTGACGCGCACCACAGCTCTTCCCACGAACCCCCCCCCCCCCCGCCCTCCCAAAGACCAGCCCTGACACCCACCCTCGACGCCGTCCCAGTATAGCCCCGATCGCTCCTGGCTTTCGGCTGTCGGCCTGTAACTCTACGGGCGCCTCCGGCTGGCAACCCACTCGACCACGCCTGTTTAACCGGGGCCCTTCATCTTCTGCATGGTAGATGACCTGCTCATCGTTGTATGTCAGGGCACGCGCGCTGAAGCCCAAACACCATAATTCGTCGGCGGTGCAGCTGGCACAACAGTGCTGCCACCGCTGCTGCGTGCCGCAGCCCGTCGAGTGCGCGGGCAGTGATGACGTCATCACAGGACCCAGCCGGCGGGCAACAGAGACGTCATCACGGGGGCCAGCCTTCAGACAAGGGTGACGTCGTCGCAGGGCATAGCCAGCGGACAGCGGAGATGGATGACGCCATCTCAGGGTCAGCCATCAGCCCGAGGTGACGTCATTTCAGGGTACAGTCATCAGCCAGAGGTGACGTCATCACGGACGGTGATAACATCGCCGGTGGGTACTCACAGGGCTCCACCTGGAGCAGGACGGTGGTAGAGGCGCCGGCGGTGCCCGGCGGGACACCCTCAGCCTCGCATAGGTACGTGCCGCCGTCGGCCACCTGTCGGCGTCCACGCGCACTAAGGTCAGCGGCTGTCTGCCCGCCAGACGCCCCCAGCCGGTCAGCGGCAGTCAGCAGATCAGCGCCGATCGGTCCATCCACACGACTCACGCGGCCTCGCCCAGGCGGCACAAACAATCAGGTGGGTACTAATCCCCCAATCAGCCTTATTCGCTGGAAGGACGCCAAACAATTAGCACTAAATATTCTTCAATGACACATGCCGTTTGCTATAACTTGACGATGTGCGTGCAGTCTAACACTCAATCAAAAGTGAAAATCAGCCACATCCTGCATCCTTAACTATCAATGTGAGTTGCCTTTCCACCATACTTGGAGACGCAGAGACGGCGTTCAGGATGGCACGAGATGTTTCCACGCTAACGCTGGAATACACCAATCGACAAGACACCAATACAGACTCCGTTCCGACCACCACCACCCCACCCCGCCCGTCCGGTTGTGTGATCACATGCCTGGGCATCGGGGATGGTGAGGCGGCCCTGCCGCTGGATGGAGCGCGCCGGCAGCGGGCGGTCGCCGCGGGACCAGCGCACCGGCATCCGGCGGGGGCCCTCGTCCCGGCACTGGAACACCACCTCGTTCCCTGCGGGCGACGGGCGGGTCAGTCGGACACAGGTGCTGGCTCCGCGGAGGACACTGCGCCGGTGGGAGGGCGACGGAACGGGGTCCCCGCTGGGCGAGTCGCCAAGACGCAGGCACCGAGCTGAGATAGGGCAGCAAAACTGAAAATATGGAATATCTAGCCGTTGTTAGAGAAATAAGGGATAAGTCACGCAAACGGTCGGCATCTTGCCGACTGCATGGAAATGGAAACTGAACGTGGAATGTGACGTCCAGAGTGCCGCTGTGAGTGGCGGACAGCGCGATTAGTATGCTGCATGGATCTGCACCACCGAATGTCGCGAACTCAGATGGAGCCGTCAAATGCACGGCGAATGCACTCAGTTGCGAATGCTTCTCATCGAGTTCAACTGAGCTGCAACGAAGGCGTGGAGGGGACGCTGGGGTATCCTCAGGCTTGTTAAAGCATCACGGTTCTTTTGAGCCCGCGTGACGGCCGCCATCTACTCTCATTCGAACCCAGCTACACTGATGCCCGGGAGTGGCTTACTTACCGGCGACGACTGTAAGACATGTGCACAAGGGATACAAGCGTCAGCTAAACGGCGACGAAACAAACAGGCGCTGGTGATGTCATCCGGGCATCAGTGATCCGCAGAAGACACAAGCGGTCGCTCCTACTCAGCTGTGTTTGCCGGATGACGCCGGCCAAAGTCAGCCTTGCGTCTAATGAATCATGCTTAACGTCCCAAAGCACCCTGTGGAATGCAAATAGTTTATGTTTCGTCTGCTCGTCGTCCGAACAGACATATACAAAACTACCACAAAACCGCTGCTATTGGTATCGTAAACATGTGATGTGCTTGCTGATGATGATGATGATAATCCTGCAAATTATTCACAAAGAAGTGGACTGAGCCTGACTCAAAGCAATCTAGATCGCTCTTATAGACATGTCAATCTAAGACTTTGGGCTCAATTACATCCGGTTCCATGACAATGCGTGTGCCACTGCATGCAAACCATAAACGTCGCCTTGAAATGTCAACAAAAAAGATAGAGGTGCATGACCTGCAAGTGCAATTATCGACCAACACTGTGTTCCACTGAGTTTTCCAAAAGCTGAGACGTACCAAATTCAAGCCTACCAGTAAATCGCAGTATGGGGACCACAATCTCGACCCCACCACGAGCCCCGATTCAAAACACAGAGCGATGGTCCTCAGACATCATGGGCCTTTACTTCCACAGCACCCTCGGCATTCCACAGCACCCTCATCTGTCTCCACCGCCCTTCCCCGCCCCCGCCCCCCGCCTAGCGGGCTGTGCGGACTCGAGACGCGACGCGGTGGTCCCGGTGGCGACTGCAGAGGCGGCCGTGGCGGGGAGGTCCGTCTGTCATCACGCAAATGTTCCGCCCCCGCATACCGCCCGCGGTTAGGTCACAAGATTGATGGTGCCCGCGCCCGGGTACGTGATCAGCTGCGGGGGGCCAGCGCGGCGCCGCGCGCTTCCGTGTACTGGGAGCCGCGCGTCGCGATGGCAAACTTAATATTTGCTTAGCTGTCCGCCGGCCGCATTGTGCAAGCTCAATATTGCTCCAGATGCACGCTAACGCGCGCAAAGCGGTGGCAAGCAGATCGTGGGATTACGGAGAGCTCATGCAACGGGACACTCAGCACATCTGAAAAGGAAAACGCCGCAAAATATTCAAATTCAGCCTATGGCCTGTTTCAATTTATGATCAACGTTGATCGTCGATCATTCCGCTGTCTGCTGTCTCATCAGAGGGGAGGTCTCTATAGCGAGGGATGCCGCTAGACAGGATACAGACGTGTGCACAATGTGACTCACTCGCTCTCACGGTCTGCTGGCCGGGGTAGGTCGCTAGTCGGATGTCTCCGGCGACAGGCACGGGCGGCCTCGGACTGACGGCTGAAACGGACAGGCTGGGTGTCACGTTCACGTGGTGAAGATGTTCCGTGCTGTGTGTCACTTGGTAAAGGTGTTCCGTGCTGTGTGTCACGTGGTGACGCCGCTCCGTGCTGTGTGTCACGTGGTGAAGGTACCTCGTGCTGTGTGTCACGTGCTAAAGGTGCTCCAAGCTGTGTGTCACGTAGTGAAGGTACCCTATGCCGTGTGTCATGGGGCGAAGGTACCCTGTGCTGTGTGTCACGTGGTGAAGGTACCCTGTGCCGTGTGTCACGTGGTGAAGGTGCTTCAAGCCGTGTGTCACGTAGTGAAGGCACTCTGTGCTGTGTGTCACGTGGTGAAGGCACTCCGTGCTGGGAGTCACGTGCTGAAGGTACACTGTGCTGTGTGTCACGTGGTGAAGGTGCTCCGTGCTGTGTATTACGTGGCGAAGGTACGCTGTGCTGTGTGTTACGCGGTGAAGGTGCTCCGTGCTGTGAATCACGTGGCGAAGGTGCTCTGTGCTGTGTGTCACGTGGTGAAGGTCCTCCCTGCTGTGTGTCACGTGATGAAGGTGCTCTGTGCTGTGTGTCACGTGGTGAAGGTACTCCATGCTGTGTGTCACGTGGTGAAGGTACCCTGTGCCGTGTGTCACGTGGTAAAGGTGCTTCAAGCTGTGTGTCACGTAGTGAAGGTACTCTGTGCTGTGTGTCACGTGGTGAAGGTAACCTGTGCTGTGTGTAACGTGACAGGGTACCCCGTGCTGTGTGTCACGTGGTGAAGGTACTCCGTGCTGTGTGTAACGTGCTGAAGGTACTCCGCGCTGTGTGCGGTAGGGTAGGATCTAGGTGCCGGAGAAGGTTTCACGAAGTCTTCGACTGCTGTTTCACGAAAGACAGGGCTGATAACATTTCCAAAACGTTATTCAGGTCCAAGTATTGCATGGTGTTTATCATCCACCCTCTCGATTTGGACAGCCAGTGCAAAGGAATGCGTTGTAAGGCGCCCACTGCTCTCGTCCGGATAATATACCGTACAGTCTCATCCAGCGATACGGCTCCCAACACGGCGTGACCCCTCTAAGCCCGGCGGGAAGGTGACATCCGCGGGGCCGCGTGACGCATGACGTCACGGTCCGTCCGGCGAAGAGGCCGGTGATCCACTGACCGCAGCCCTGCTCGTCGCTGGAGTCGGCGCACTCCACCGCGCCGTTACACACCCTCGACTCGGGAATGCAGCGGCTGCCGTCGGCGCATCGGAACTCGCCGGCCCGGCACTGCAGCTCTGCGACCGAGAACACGGGCTGTGAGGGGCACACGCCACCGGCACTGACCGCCTGCGGCTGGGCGCTCACTTCAGCAGGAGGCACCGAGAGGTCAATCAGGCCTGCTGCCGAAAACATCGCACGACGTTGATGTTAAAGGCATGTGGGCCTGACTCACCTAAGATTGAGATCATGTCTCCGCATGACGGGTTGTATTAAAGGAGGCCAGCACCAAGCAAATGTCACATCCACAGTGGTTCACGACGCAATGCCAACCAAACGAACCAGATGCAGTATGTACGGTCCGTCATGGCGGCAGCTAGCCGGTCCACGAAGAAAGTACTGCGTGTGATGAAACACACCCCAATGTGTGGTGAACAGCAGCGTGTTGGCTTCAGTCGGCCCGGGGCACAATTACATCTTCGTGGTTGAAATGAATACCCTAAGCAACTACAGTCAGTCCCCGGTGGCCAGCATAAGGCCAGTGGGCCTTGATCAGCTCCTTGTGCGGTTAGAATAACTCTGGCGAGCCTAAAAACGGCCCCCCGCGCCCCGGAATATTGCCAGTCCCATCTGGATGCAGCCTGTGGGGCCAAGTCGGCCCCTCGCCATTCAAGTGTCAGTTCCATACGGTTCGACTCGGCCCGAGTGTGCGCGAGTCCACCCGTGGTACTGAGGCGTCCCGGCGCTCGGTTGTCGTGTCCGGGTGCCGTTGAATGACCGTGTCGGGGGAGGGGGGGGGGGGCGAGGCTCCACTGACCGCAGTTACTCTCGTCACTTCTGTCGCGACAGTCTGGCGAGCCGTTACACACGGCGGAGTTGGGCACGCAGTTCTGGCCATCCGCACAACGGAACTCGTCCGCTCCGCACTCCAGCTCTGCAACGCACCGCAGAAACAATTATCGGAAGGCCGACCCAGGGGAGCACACCGTGGCATCATTAGCTGTAGGGCAAGATGTCGAGCATGAAGGTGTCATTAATACCTCCATCGAATCAAACAATCAAAACTGAGCATACACCCGAAGCATTACAGCACATGGCATCAGCGAGCACGTGATATGCCAATAATCCACAACGCCCCACTTGTCGAAAACGCCAAAAACCCTCAGGTCACCCCGAGGACGCCTTCGGAGCCGCGGCCGACGGTAGCTTGCCGCGGCGCGGCCGGCGCTCGGCGCTCGAGCTCGGGCTCACCACAGTCCCTCTCGTCGGAGCCGTCGCGGCAGTCAAAGCGGCGGTCGCAGCGTCGCGACAGCGGCACGCACTGCCCACTCTGGCATCGCCACTGGTCAGCTGTGCACGCTGCAGAGCGCGGAGACGGCCGATGAGAGAGAGAGCGGGGGGGGGGGGGGGCGGCCCGGTTCTCCCGCAGCCGCGCGCGGCAGCCACGAAACAGGAGCACCCACACGCACCGACGACTCCAGTAACGTATTCAAGCGCTTGGTGGTCAATGCTCCGCACAATAACGACCATCACTCCCACAAAAGTCAGCGTGATTTGACGGTGTTTCACTTCTGAACTAAGCGGCCCGGCGGCCCGGCGGCCAGGTCTGCCGTGTCGTGTGGGTAGGGGGGAGGGGGGGAGGGCACTCACCGCACTGGAGCTCGTCAGAGCCGTCCCTGCAGTCCGGGCGTCCGTCGCAGCGGCGACCCAGGTCCACGCACTCGCCCGTTTGACAGCGCCACTGGTCCGACCGGCACTCTGAAGCCAACAGGCGGCGGGTCACAGGGGTAGCAGGGTCCCGAGCAGTGGCGGCCCGCGGCATGCGACAGCGTGGCTGGTGGGGTGGCAGGTCGTGCAGTGCGGCACGCGGCTCGGAAAGCCACACCGTCGGGTCATGACAGCGTGGCTGGTGGGGTGGCGGGTAGTGCGGTGCGGCACGCCGTTCGGAGAGCCCCGCCGTTGGGTCATGACAGCGTGGCTGGTGGGGTGGCGGGTAGTGCGGTGCAGCACGCGGTTCGGAGAGCCACGCCGTCGGCTCACGCGACGCATCGACACCCGCCGGGAGCCAAGTCACGTCGGGCAGCAGCAGCCGGCGCGGCTCAGCTTAGTGGGAACCCCGGCCGCCAATCACGGAGTAATCCGGCAGCGGCACATCTGAACGCGGACTGGATAGTCTTAACATGGAGGCGAGTGTTGCGGCCCGGATCGAGGCGAGAGGGGACGAGACGTCGGCCGAGAGGGGACACGTACGGCAGTTGGCCTCGTCCGAGTAGTCCAGGCAGTCTGGCTGGCCGTCGCACTTCCTGGAGGCGGGCACGCAGCGGCCATCGCCGCACTGGTGCTCCTCCACCCGACACGAGGCTGAGGGGGTGGCAAGGCAGGCTCACAACAAACCACCGTCGGGGGCGTGAACGGGTGTGTCTGACCACGCACGCATAAGCTGATTCTCACTTTGTTTTTTCAGTTGAAGTTGGACAGTATGCATCTTTTTGCACAAGCATCTTCGACCTAGGATTTAACTTTGCTGTATCTCCCTTCTGGAGGTGACCAGGGGGTTCCCTCCACTGTCACAATGAAGAACACCATTCCATGGAACCAAGTTGGAAACCAGGTATACTATGCACAGCTGTTGGTTTGACAGATAAACTATTCAACTTTGCGGTGCATCTTACTAGTGCAGTATGCGATTGGGTTGACGCACACATAGTTTACCCCCCTGCGGACACGACAGTGGACCCTCCCAGCAGCCGGCGCAGTGCGCAGCGGGCGAACATACGTCTGCAGTTCTGCTCGTCACTGTAGTCCCTGCAGTCGTAAGAGAGGTCGCAGACGCGCGTGCGGGCAATGCACGAGCCGTCGCCGCACCGGAACTCGGTGTCGTCGCAGGCTGTCGGCCGAGGAACGCAGTGACACACTGCCGAGGTGACAGTCGGACGGAGCTTGGGGCGTCACAAGGGCGACACGTACCAGCCCCGGTCCACACAACGACTCCGCCAGGGCGCATGAATTCAGTCGGAAACATCGCGACATTCCCAAAGAGGATGCGACATGACTATTCTAAAGCTGCGGATCCGAACCAGGTTGACGCTGTTCGGCTTCACTGGCTGGTTATTAGTGTTGTTGGTTGTCTTTGGTTGGTTGTTAGTGTCCACATTATCGTGCTTCTGCTGGCTGCTGCAGGCAATTGTTGTTACGTCATTCGGCTCGGAAGCGAATCAGGCCGTAGTATCAGTCGTTGTCAACATCCACGGCCAGCGCAGCCTTCCTCCTCACTAGCTGCCGTGACCGCTCGGTGGGCCGCTATGCAGCGCAGTAAGCTGATGCGAACACCACTCAGCAGCCGAAGGACGTGCTTTCAACGCGGCGCCCTCCACTTGACAGATGACACAAACGCTCTTCTTGGAAATACCCTTCGTTCTTCTTTGCTCCGTCGTCAATCCAGTTATTCAAAAGAAGGCGGCAAACGGTTAGTGTTGCGTCAGAGGTGCTTCAAGCCACACGGCCGAGGGCGGATCTGGGTCCGGGGGCGGGGCGGTGCACGAGGCGAGAGGGGTCGACGCGGGATACCATGGGCGCCACCGACGTCGGCGGAGGCGAGGAGCCAGCCGCGTCACGGGACCCAGTGAGAGGGTTCGGGTGGAGACGGATCCGTCCAGCTGCGGGGACGGGAAGGACGTGGCCAGCGTTGGCAGGCCGTCCCCGGGAGCCGCGCTCACTCACGACAGTCTAGCTCGTCGCTGCCCTCCGGACAATCAACCTCGCCATTGCAGCGCTTGTCCGAGGCCACGCACGGGCCGCTCTCGCAGCGGAACTGCGGGGCCCTACAGATGCCTCCTGTTGACACGGCACAGCGTGTGACCAGAGCTGCCCGAGGACCCGGAGGTGGAGATGGATGGACGTTACGGACAGCTGACTGTGGTGCTCAGGGGCCACTGCATGGCGTCAACGTGGGCTTAAATATGTGAATTTCGTAGCCAACTCCATGGAACGTTTGGCTGAGCCTTGGCACCACAGACTACTCGCAACTGCATTGTAGTTATTAGAGCTGGAACTAAGGGCACGTTGAAAGAGCACAAAAAACAACACAATATTAACGTCTCCAGGTTGTCCGTTTATGTGATAACAATGACGGACCAATGAGAATCGAATGGATCCGCATGGCAAGAGCGAATCGGACATTTCAGAACGACGTCCAAACGCGAAAGAGAGGCCGGGATAGAGCAGCCAATGACAGCAGAGCTGCGAAGGACATGGCGGCGGGGGAGGAGCGGATCAGGCGCGGCGTCGCTCCGCCCGTACCGCAGCCTGTCTCGTCCGAGCCGTCCGCACAGTCCGGCACTCCGTCGCACAGCCGGCGGCTCGACACGCAGTGGCCCTCGCGACAGCGCCGCCGGCCGGGTCCGCAGGGCGACGCGGCCGTCGGCAGCAGCTGGTCGTCGTCGGTCGGGTCCGGCCCGTAGTCGCCGCCGTCAGGGTCGCTGTCCACGGGGCCTGAGTCGGGCAGCTCCGGCGCCGGCTCCGGCAGCCCGGAGCCGTCGACGTCGGACCCGGCTGGGCGAGCGGCGGGCAGGGGTCGGTCGGCATCGGCACCACAGGTCGCCACGGTCAGCCCGCGAAATAGCTACCCGCTTCTTTACGTGCTTCCCTTCTCATCGTGAAGAGAGCAAATCTGGTGCTGACATTTGCACGTTCTCCCTTTCCATCAAGCTGCAGCTGACGCTGCTGCCTATTCTCAGACATTTATCTTCATCAAACAGGCGACACTCTGCCTACCCAGCAGGAGTTCCTCCCTTTCCATCAGACAGATAGGCGGGGCCGCCACCTATCCCTATTGTAGGTGCCCCCTCGTACCACCTGTGGATGGGAGCGACACGCAGAGGCACAGCCAGAGTGTGAGGGGCGTCCCCCCCCCCCTCCTCTAAGGCCCGTAATTTGTTTTACTTTAGCATCATAGGCGGCTCCTTGGGTCGTCTTGTGATGAGTGCTGATTAGCTTCAGCACCCTGCTTTGGCCCAAATTTGGGCGAGCGAAACAGCACGTCGCACAAGCCCAGATGAGAAAAATAGGCACAACGCAATCAAAAACAGCGGCGCCCGCCTCACGCCGCCTTCATAACTTCAGCAAACTGGCCGAAGTGATATCGCGTAGCGGATTGGCGAAAACTCAAAATAAACACCGCGCGCATGCCATGATCTACGAGCCCGGTCAAAGTGCGCAACTGGTGGCGCGTTCGGCCAGCTGGCGCGAGCCGTGGAAGCGGCCAGCCAGCGTCCGTCCGTGTCGGGACCCGCCCTGGCGAGCGGACCCGCCACTCACCGCAGTCGCGCTCGTCCGAGCCGTCCGCGCAGTCCGGGATCTGGTCGCAGCGGCGTCGGGCGTCCAGGCAGGTGCCGTCGCCACAGCGGTGCTCATCGGCCGTGCATGCCACCGCTGGCAGCAGCACGCACGTCACACACGAGCACACCCACGCCCACACCCACACCCAAACACTGGGCAGCACGGCTACGTATAGGCTATACCGCCGCCCGTCAGCGCAAAACCCCTACATATATATATATATATATATATATATATATATATATATATATATATATATGCCCCCTCCCGCACTCTCAATTATGCACACACCTAGCCATGTACAAAATACTAGTCGGTTCTGGTGAGGAATTTCACGCTAGCAATAACGGTAAGCGACCATGCGGTGCCACCGAGCGGGACGCCACGAAAACTGACGCGCCAGTGACATGCCACCGTGATGTCTTAGAGCACATGGCTGGAAGCAAGGTTGGGGTGTCTGTTGTCAAATGACCTGTAATGATCCGCATGGCCCGTAATGACCCCGTGATCTGGATGATGAATGATCCTCATACTCCCCAACACTGCGTGCAGCAGCAAGGTTTTCCACTACTACAATGGCTTTGGAGCATGCTTACGCGGGCATCCCTCCTCGTCATCGTAGTCGGCGCAGTCAAAATTGCCGTCGCAGCGTCTGGCCGCACTCAGGCAGGTGCCGTCCAGACATCTGAACTGGCCCTCCGGGCACGCTGTAATATGGCAACCGGTGACGTCAGATGACAGCCGGTGACGTCAGACCTACGTCAGACCGCGATCGGTCACCGGCCTACTGCTGAGAAGATCGGGAACAACGGACGACGCAGAAGACGGGGTTTGGACGCTGGAACGGTAGATATCGCTTTAGGGAACGCGATAAGCCCCTCACTTTTGAGACAAGGACGTTGATTGAAATCAGGCATCAACGTGATTACTGAAGTGGAAATTGCAAATCCTACTTACCGCAACAGCAAGAATTTAATTGCCACGCGCTTAAACCATGATGTCTTGATCAATTATTCTCCAAATGGCGAACCTTGTTCACATCGTCGATACTTGCTGCGGATTACAGCCGAATTCAAAAGTGGACTCCATGCCTTAGGAATCCACTTGGTGTTATTATGAAATAAGGAGTCCACTTCGCGCTGAGTTATATTTGTGCAACGTTCGGCCGGAGCACCACAGCGCTACCTAAGCTCGGCCGGAGCACCACAACATTACCTAACCTCGGCCGGAGCACCACAGCACTACCTAAGCTCGGCCGGAGCACCACAGCACTACCTAAGCTCGGCCGGAGCACCACAACACTACATGACCTCGGCCGGAGCACCACAACACTACATAACCAGTTCGGAAGCCAGTTGGCGTCGTGCAACACTGCAAACGCATCACAGAGAGGACGAAACCATGCAAAGGAAGAAAGCAGCCACAAGAGAGTTATCGACAGTGTTGGATAGAGATCGCCATGCATTTGGACGTCGGAAACATGCTTCCATTCAACGACATGCGAGCCGGCAGCAGGGCTTAGCTCGAAATATACAGCGAACGACGCACCTCGCACTCAGTGCCAGGCATCATAGCAGCTTAAAGAGAGGTCATAGCAGCGCCAACGCACCAACCACCAGATCCATAGAGGAGGAGATATTGACCATGCAATGTCGAGAGGAGCCAAGACGGCACGCTTGAAGAAAGAAAGAAAGATATTCTCAACCCAAAAATCCGCGACAGACCAGCGGTCTCGCAGTAGGACATCAAGGCCATGCGGCGAGCATGCTGAGACGGCAGCGAAGTGGAAGAATCTCTGATTCTCTCCCAGAGGAGAGGCCGGAAACGCACCAGTGCAAGGAGCGTGCGGTCCAACCCAAAGGCGGCCGAGACGGCCGTGAGACGACTCAGAATGAGAGCAACCGTAAGAGTCATCCCTCTGAGCTGCAGGGGCAGGAGGAGGGGGAGGGGGAGCGGGGCAAGAGGACCGTACCGCAGTCGACCTCGTCGACGCCGTCGATACAGTCTCGGACGCCGTTGCAGCGGGCCGAGGCGGGCACGCAGGCGCCGTCTGAGCACGTGACGTCCTGGGGTTCGCAGGCCGGACGCGCTGCCGGTTAGCCGGCCGTCAGTGGTGTGTGTGCGGAGGGGAGGGAGGGCGGCCAGACGTTAATGGAGCCAGACATTTGGTCGGTGGCGGCGTTAATGGCCAACCAGCCATGAGCAGAATGTCCAGCCAGCTGGCCGGTAATGGGCGACAGGCTCCCGCTAACGCCACCCGAGCTCTCAAAAACAGCGCACAGACGCTGGACTTCCAGCCTGCGAGCGTGACGCAGGGCGTACGCCGCCGAAGTTGAAAGTATATGCCAGATGTGCTGCTGGGGGAGAGCGGCCCGAACCAGAAGGCCTGAGTTATTGCATACTGGAATGAGCCAAACAACACCCATCTTCGACGACCATCACCACAAACGAGCCACCAATGGGGTGAGCTCGACCAGCAAGGTCCATCGTCTCCCGGCCGTTGGCACCGAGGAGGCGCCGCCTGGCCGGCCAGACCACCGCGGGAGGGCGCCACAGCTGCGGTACGTACTGCAGTTGGCCTCGTCACTGTTGTCAGCGCAGTCAGGAAAGCCATCGCAGACGCGGGCTCTGTCCACGCACTCGTCGGTCGAGGTGCAGGTGAAATCCTCCCCGCAGGACGGCACTGAGCGGACAGGTTGGTCAGGCGACCTCCACGGTAGACGGTCCGGAGGTGTTCAGGGGCACCCAGTTAGCTGACGTATGCCGGGAGGTAGGCCCATACCAAACTCTGTGTGTAGCTCAGGTCACACAGAAAATGTCTCCCACCTAGCGGCACGTCCAGCAGCACGGCTTGTTAGTTGCCTACACCGAAAAAATGTTCCAAGAAGGCTCCGGATGGCAATGACGCCGTCTGGCGTGACTGGGCCCCAAGGTTGAGCTGTAGCCGCCAGCGACCGCCGTGAGGAAGCGGCGTTATCAACAGCCACACGCGGCCAGTTTACCGGCCGACATCATGGCCCTCCCAAAACGCTGGTCCCGGCTCGTCTGACGGCGGCGGGCAGCACGGGCGGCGTGGACGAAGGGGGCAGGTGGAGAGAGGACCCAGGGGGAGGGGGGGGGGGGGGCGGCGGACCGGACCACGTACTGCAGCCAGCCTCGTCCGACCCGTCCGGGCAGTCGTAGGCCGAGTCGCAGCGCCGCCTGCCGGGCACGCAGCTGCCGTCCGAGCAGCGGAAGTCATCGGCTTCGCACAGCGTCGGCGCCGGACCTTGGGGGCGGCGGCGGAGTGAGCGGCATCCGACACCGGGACACAGGGGGCTCCACTACGACCTGAATCTGGGACACCAGTGGGGAGCAACGCGGCGCCGGCCCAGCGGGGCAATTTCAAAATCTTGTCATATCGTTATCTTGCTTTTTGGATGACATGAATATGTGCATACAACTCAACTCTGTCACTACAGACAGTATGCCATAAATCATAATGCAATATAGGTGAAGGCAAAGTAATCAAAACGTTTTTGTCAAGTTGCAACTAACTGTATGTGTCATGAAAGGACCAGGATAACATCTGAAATATGCTCAACGGAGCGCAAGCGTCCCAGGATATATGACATTCATTGCAATTCACTTAAAAATAGCACGCTTAAAGATTCCACAATTCATCCTTCTGGCATAGCCACATCTTTGCTCTAAGGTTTGTGAGCATCAACGCGCATTGTACATTCCCCCAGCACCGTGACCAACAGTAACCACCGATCGCCATACACCTCAGGGTGTTTGCAGCAGGACATTGCAACAGAGGCCACTGCATCGACGTCCCCTGGAGGAGCCAAGCTCCGAAAGACTCACCACTTGGACAACGATTTCTATCCTCGTCAGAACCATCAATGCAATCCGGGAAGCCATCACAGGCTCGCGTGAAGGGAATACAGGAGCCGTCGCTGCAGCGAAACTCCTCCGCGCTGCAGCCAGCTGTCGGATCCAGACAAGACCGCGCCCAGGTCAGACAGGATAGACGGGACAAACGAGACAACGACCCGGTAAGACAGAACAGACAGAATGCATCCAGTTCGGACAGAAATGCCATGACCAAGTCCAGGTCACACAAGACAGATAAAACAACATCCCAGTCAGACAGAACAAATAACGCCGTATCCCGGTCAGGCATAGAAGACGGGACCACGTCCGACTCAGACAGGCCAGACAGAGCCACGTCCAGGTCAAACAGGACGGCACCAACCCACGTCCAGGTCAAACAGGACAACACCAAGCCACGTCAAGGTCGGACAGGAAAGAGAGGAACCATTCATGTTGGACAGGATTTCCAAACAGAACAGGACCTTGTCCTGGCTAGACTGGCCCGACAACAGACAGGGATGAACTCGTGTCAGATAGGCAGGTCAGGACAGAAAACAACCATGTGCAGAACGTACAGGGCAGGCAGAAGCGAACCAAGCATTACAGTGCATTTCTACATCAGTCGGGGCAAACGACTACATGTAAGACAGCCAGACGGATCCCAGGAAAAACGGGACACACGGCAACATATCACCAGATCAGGAAAACGGCGGGACCAAAGCCAGGTCAGGTAAGATATGACAAGACTCCGATCAAACGGAGCCCTATCTAGGCCGCTGCACTAGCATCAAATTCGAGTGGGACAAGCCTTTGGACGGGTTGGACAGCATAATGCGCGGGTTGGACTGAACAGTAACCCTCCTCACATTTGTATGTATGTAGGTTGACCAAGTTATTCGTCATGCTGAGATTCTCTCGGAACGACAAAATCTCCTCTCTGCCTTATAAATCAGCATTCTGTCATTGCTGTCGACCATTCTTCCAACCAGTAAAAACGCGCAAAGAGAGGCGGTTCTCGGTAACACCCATGCCAACTGGTCGATGTCCTCCATTGGGACCGTTCGGCTGTGAGCGAGGCAACCGAATGGAAGTCAAGTTCGAAACCACGATAGCTTGCTTTCACCATCCGGCCACGTCCATGCGGCGGCCGCGGCGCGGGCCTGTTACCAGACGCTGGAACTGTCGCGACAGCGGCGGTCTGGCGGCGGTGTTTCGAACCAGAGCTTCCGGCGCGACTCACCGCAGTTGTTTTCATCCTCACCGCCGGCGCACTCGGGCACGCCGTTACACTTCTGCGCGATACTGAGACAGGGCCCGTCATCGCAGGCGAACTGGTCCGGACGACAGCGTGGCGCTACAGGAGAGGGCGTCCCCAGCGTCACCGCCACCGTCACCGTCGCTCCGACACAGCGCAACAGCGGCAACCGGCACCGTCACATCACAGCCCCACAGCCCCACGGCACAGCAGCACCGGAACGCGGCAGCGACAGTAGACTGCACCATCTCAGCAGGACAGAGCCGAGAAATCTTGCCCAAGAAAGGCTCAAGGCGGGTTTTCTCTCCCGTTTTGTTCCATGCAATGGCTTAAGCGCAATGCTTAAGCCTCCCAAACGATGGATGGGGCGTTTCTGAGCCTATAATAAGGCAACAGTTCCCTCAAACGTGCACCAGCCTAACAGAATGGCACGGCAGGAGACAACACAGAGCAGCACATCAGGAAAGGACACAGCGAAGCAGGAGACAGCACAGAACGGCACAGCAGAAGACACAGAGCAGCACAGCAGGAGGGGGCACGGCGCAGCGGGAGACAGCACGGAACAGCACAGCAGGAGAGGACACAGAACAGCAGGAGACAGCACATAGCAGCCAGTATCGCCGCAGGTACACTCAGAACGCCGAGCAGCTGTGACGACACACTCAGAACGCCGAGCAGCTGTGACGACACAACATATAGTTACGACAATCCCTCGGACGTCACGGCGTCCCCGCCCATGTGCAAAACGAGGCCACGACGACAAAGTTCCACCTCGAATCACACTTGAGCATGGTAAGCACAGCAGAGGAAGCAAGAACCCGCTCCCGGAAGGACATTATTTGTTCTTCCCATTTACCGATTGTCAATGTGACAAACACGAAATTCATGCAACAGGACAGCACGCACTAAACGATGACGGATAGCGCACATGTGCTCATGCGCCTCGTCCCCGTCGGGTCGTCCCTTAGTGCACCCGTGATGCACGCCGGTTCAAACCAGTCGCAGTACACTGAGCGCTGAACGCGCGTCGGTCTCGTCTCATGGCGCGCGACGGACGCGGCGGGCGAGTAGGGGCACATCACCGCGCAGCATCACTCGGTCTCGTCTCATGGCGCGCGACGGACGCGGCGGGCGAGTAGGGGCACATCACCGCGCAGGCATCACTCGGTCTCGTCTCATGGCGCGCGACGGACGCGGCGGGCGAGTAGGGGCACATCACCGCGCAGCATCACTCGGGTCTCGTCTCATGGCGCGCGACGGACGCGGCGGGCGAGAAGGGGCACATCACCGCGCAGCATCACTCGGTCTCGTCTCATGGCGCGCGACGGACGCGGCGGGCGAGTAGGGGCACATCAACCGCGCAGCATCACTCGGTCTCGTCTCATGGCGCGCGACGGACGCGGCGGGCGAGTAGGGGCACATCACCGCGCAGCATCACTCGGTCTCGTCTCATGGCGCGCGACGGACGCGGCGGGCGAGTAGGGGCACATCACCGCGCAGCATCACTCGGTCTCGTCTCATGGCGCGCGACGGACGCGGCGGGCGAGAAGGGGCACATCACCGCGCAGCATCACTCGGTCTCGTCTCATGGCGCGCGACGGACGCGGCGGGCGAGTAGGGGCACATCACCGCGCAGCATCACTCGGTCTCGTCTCATGGCGCGCGACGGACGCGGCGGGCGAGTAGGGGCACATCACCGCGCAGCATCACTCGGTCTCGTCTCATGGCGCGCGACGGACGCGGCGGGCGAGTAGGGGCACATCACCGCGCAGCATCACTCGGTCTCGTCTCATGGCGCGCGACGGACGCGGCGGGCGAGAAGGGGCACATCACCGCGCAGCATCACTCGGTCTCGTCTCATGGCGCGCGACGGACGCGGCGGGCGAGTAGGGGCACATCACCGCGCAGCATCACTCGGTCTCGTCTCATGGCGCGCGACGGACGCGGCGGGCGAGAAGGGGCACATCACCGCGCAGCATCACTCGGTCTCGTCTCATGGCGCGCGACGGACGCGGCGGGCGAGTAGGGGCACATCACCGCGCAGCATCGCCTTCCGCTCGAGGCGCAGTGTTTCATTGATGATGATGATGGAAACCCCCGCCGCGCCCAGTTTTTTTTTGAAACGTGCTAGAAGGCCTGAATACTATTTGGCCGATGAGCTGGGACACGGTGACAGCATAGCGGGCCACTTAGGTGGCAGCGCCAGTGCTAACACAAGGCCTTGCTTGATGAGGACCTGGACGCTATCCCCATAAGCAATTGGTCTGGCTACGCTTCCTAAAACAAGTGCAGGCTTCTTGCAATGTACAAATGAGTTGAATAATTTGCCGAACGAATGAACCCAGTGAATGATATGAATGAGTTGTATGAATCGAACGAGTCAAATTGATGAATGACATGAATGAACTCGATGAATCAAATGAGCGAACTAAATGAATCGAATGCGTGAATTAAATGACTCGAACACATTAATCAAACGAGCCAGATCAACACAAATGCAAGAATAAATGATTGCATAACAAAGAATGCGTCATAGCATGAATGAACGGGGCAAATGAGAATAAACTGGTCTCCCTTTAGCTTGGTGGAGTCAGCACTGCGAAGCTCTGCTCTGATCGAAGTGAATCTGCATGCCCTCTAACATCCATTCTTTTACGTTTTCTGTGCGATGACACAAAGCAATTGTGTAGCTTGCATTTGCTGTTTTCGCAGATCTTGATACGTTGAAGGCGTTGAAGCCGACTCGATATTGAAATCGGTACCCAATGCCGTGTCATAACTTGTAACAGGCAAATTTAATCGTGCCATGTCAAATGTCGAGTTGTACACATGCTCATGTTATAACACAAGTCTTCCTCAACGTGAAAAGTCACCAACCACATACATTTGGCCACGGAAACCTTCGGTTCCGAGTGTACCTATCGCCTTATAACCTGAGAGTCACAGCTGGACAGCAGTCGGGAAGCAAGGAGCCCACCCTGTTCATGCTGTTAGGTGAGGGGTGCCAGCAGTAAGAAGAGAGAAGTACGCAGAACTCAACGGAACTGTAAACCAAGTAGCATGCGAGGGTGTCATACATCAACGGTGGGAAGAACGTCAACCACCACGAAACAAAGTGAGATGAATAGGTAAGAAAGATGTTAGCATAGAACCCCACATTAGACGTTATTGTTGGAAAGCTTCCGAGGTGTGCACCGAGAGTGGCGTGAGAGACACGGAGGTCACCAGCGTTGAGAAAAGCGGCAGCACCAAGGTCAGTTAAGGACTTACGGCAGCCGATTTCATCGGAGCTGTCGGGGCAGTGAATGGTGCCGTCACAGCGCAGGCCGGCGTTGATGCACGTGCCATCGGCGCAGGAGAACTCGCTCGTCGCGCATGTGGCCGCTACAACGCGACCGGAGTGCTCAGGGGTGGCACAAGTACGCCCCGACGCACTGGCACACGGGGTCCCTGCACATGTAACTAACACCAAACGGGAGGGGGGGGGGGGGGCAAGGGTAACGGACGGCAGCGGTGTGAAGACGGGGCGAGGGTAACACATGCAAGCTGGGCTAAACGAGTTATGAAACAATGCCGCGTAATTATGGTAAAATAAAAACAAAGTAGTGTAAAAAATCAGCAATCAAACCTGGAAGCTAAGCATGCCAGGAACGTGGCGCTGGCTTTGTTACACCGAGCTTTACGAAGCTCTGTCGGAATGCTTTTAAATCAGTGAGCAAAACGTCGTCATACCAGCCAAACACACATCACAAGCAAGCACAGACACTGAAGCAACAGGTAAGACATCCGAACGCCACACCGGCAGCCGCAGTAGCTGACATCGACAGTGCGTGTGCAGCACGGATGGGCTGACTGGCAGCGGTAGCCGTCAACCAGGCGGGGCCTCCAGGAACAGGCGGTGCCACGCGCGCAGAGGCTCGCAACAGTCGGCCGTGTGGGCCACGCGCAGGCAGCAGTACTACTGGGCCGGACCGCGTCGCAGACGAGTTTGGGAACCACGGGCAGCAGGCACCCGCCTGACCCGCGACACTGCCCTGGGACTTCGGCACCGAGGGCAGTGTCGTGACCGAACAACACCAGCGGACGTGGCATGGGGACGGAGAGCTGCCACCGTGGAGGCCCAGAGAGCGGCGGTGCGCCGGCGAGGAGTCCGCCGGGTGCCCGAGGCGGAGGAGAGCCAGTCACCGAGAGGCCAAACAGAGACCCCGAGTGAACCATCACCAGAGAAGGTCACCAGAGACCGCCACCGCAGAAACCGCCGGAGACCACCGCCGGAGATGGCGCGCGGAGACCGGCGGCTGCCGCATGCAGGCCATGCCGAACACGGCAGTCCGCAGCCCTGCGCTACGCTACACCGAGCCGGAGTGGGACGGCCGAGCGTCGGCAGTGCGCTCTAGCGGCCGGCGATTGAAGTGTTAGTTGGCTGTACGCCGACAGACTGCGTTAGAGTACGAAAATGGCCTTACGACAGTTCTGCTCGTCTGTGCCGTCCTGACAATTGCGAATTCCGTCACATTTGTACTTGAGTGTGATACAGTATCCATTGCCGCATTCAAATTGGTCTTCACGACATTCTACGGAAAAGGATCAACACCATACTGTCTGAAGCTGAGTGGCATTATCAGGCACCAGTCCACCAATTGCCAACCGAACTCAACTGATCTCGATGTCAGATACGCACGCAGCATGCAAAGTATACAAGAAGAGCACTGCGAGAGGTTGGCACACTAGTGACACGACGCTGCGCATTACTGGCAGAAGAAGACAAGGTTAGCAGCAAGACGTCTAATCAAATGTACCAAATCTAGGTCATGTTACAATACTCGCTACAATTAATGTTAAAAGAGGAAACTTAGAGTGTTCTAAGAGAAGCATGTGTGTTGATGACATCCACAGGTAGAACCAGCATCATCTACAAAAACTAGGGAGCAGCGAGCGCGAAAAGAAACTGTTTTCACAGCAAACTACGTACGAACGACAACAGAATGGTGCACGTAAATCGGTCCGGAGACGGGCAACGGCGACTGAGTGTGGCTGGCCCCCCCGGTGAGTGCCCCTGGACGGCGGAGCAGGCGAAGGGCCGCGGCCGGCGCCGGCAGTACGTACCACAGTCGAGCTCGTCCGAATCATCAGCGCAGTCCGAGCGGCCGTCGCACCAGACGGAGGCGCTCCGGCACTCGCCGCTGTTGCACCGCCGCTCGTCCTCCCGACACTCTGTCGACAAGCAGGGCTGACACTCAGACACTCGCCACGCCAGGTGGAGGCGCTCACCGCATCAGCAATCCCGCTGCCAAGACACTCCACTGACAGTCAGCCGCATGGGACAGCGGCCAGCACTCAGGCACCCATCGCCGTTGACACTCAGGGCCAGAACTTGACACTCTTCTCTTCCATAGCATGCATATACGCCTTCGGACAGAAGCATGGCTAGCCGAATATTGAACTTTGCTAGACCTTTCACACGTTTCACAACTATGCCGCTCCTTCCGTTTTGCATAGCATATCGAAAGTGTAGGCAAGCAGGCCCATGCCAACGTTCTGCGCGTAGTTCGCGGTGATCAGTGCGGACTCTCGTCCAATCGGTGGAGCGATGCCGCGCGGGAAGCAAGGGCGAAGGACGCTACGAAAATCACGAGACAGTGCGGTTGTGGTGCTACCGCCCCGAAGGAGAAAACATGGACGCCTCACTTTGACCAAAACGAGCTACTTGTATCGATCGATCCAGCCTGAAAGGCACATTCTATGATATACAATGTGAAGTCACGTACATCATACGCACGCGACTAGAACTGAAACAGCTTAAACTTGTATGAATACGCATGCTTGGCTCCTACGTGTGGTGTAATTAAGTATCAGTATCACGTTACACAATATTTAAACGGAGGTTTGGACCCACATGTCAGCTTTACTTCAGCAAACTCTTAGGCTCATAATCCTGGCAGCTTATGCGCTGTTGCTCTGTTTTTTTCGGACGTCAGCAGACGGAGCATGCAAGTGTGCGCTATCAGCTGTGCACTCCTAGATAAAGAGACGCTTTTGAAGTTAGTATGAACTGGTAGCAAGCGCAACAAGTTGAATGGGAAAAATCTTAGATGCACTTGTTATTTATGCTATGAATGCTATTCTCTGCAATACTTACACTAAAAGGAACGCTGAAAAATAAATATGCATCCGGATTGATGCACTGACAGGTTGTCCAGGATGTGGCACCAGCGATTATTTCTTGAAGGTCATTGGTTAGCATCGATCAGAAACAGGCAATGAACCGTAAGGAATAAAGTCGTATTAATATACCATTGCGTTTTGCAACTGATGATATGCTGGATGCTGTGAAGCGAGTTTTGGTAGACATTCTGCATAAAATTTCACGTAGAATCAATAATATGTGTGCATGGATGTTTGAGTGGATTTATTCTGTCAACTTTCCAGATTGTGTGGAGCTTAACACACATCTTACACGATGTACCGTCAGTGGCTGCACCTGGTTTCCGCGCCTCACATATGCTCCTCTGGCCACGAACACCATTCAGCTGAGTGTCGGCTTTAGCATCGTTTGAAAAACGCGCGCGCCAACAACACATGCCCTCCAAGTGTCGCCAGCAACACAATCTGAGATGGCATGATGGCTGTCACTTAGACGCAAGCTCCATACAGGCATGTGAGAGCACAACTAGGACAAAGCGAAGGTTGTACTAACGCTATATGTACGTTGTTTTTTTCGGAAACTTCTTTCAATACAGGAACTGCCAGATACAGATTTCCGTTTTCGTAGGCATCATGCCCTTCAAAACCAGCATTTCATTAAGTGTTTCTCATGATAGCCGGCTGCACGTTCAGTGTGTGAGAGACAGATGGTGTCGTTGCTGCGAACATACTGTGGACATTAGTGGGAAACCACCTGCACGTGGATTTTTATCGTGGATTTAACTAGGTGCCTTCTTTAAGCCCTTGAGCACGGACACCATGCTCCCCACAACGACAACCCGAAGGCTAGTTTCAGGTATATGATCGGAAGTGGACCTTTTTAATAAAAGTATCAGATCGTCCTACTGTCAACGGCACCCATTCAATCATTGCTTTCCACATTACACGATCTTCATTGGGGTAACAAGAAAAATACACCCCTGAAATTTGTCCATTTGTGGACCAGGTATATTCAATGTTAAACTGCGGTGACCAAGCGAGGGAGCGTGATGGCCAAGAAACTAACGTCTTCGGCTCCCACAAGGGGGAGGGGGGTCGGACCTCAACTGCGCCATGACCCTCGAGCGCTAATGTGCCTACGGGATTCGCTCGCGCTCCATAAAGAGATGCAGGAGGACATGACTCGCGCTCTCTGATAAAAGTAACCGAGCGAGTCCCTTCACTCTCGCACTTCGTCAAATGTTATGATTTCATGTTACACTTGCCATAGAAGTTGCTGCTCTAATGATCTTAATACGCGCCCAGGTGGCCGGTTGGATACCCTTCGCTCCGGTGGGGGGGGGGGGGGATCAGTTTGACCCACTGGGATCTCAGGAACTAAGAGAGCTAAAAACACCAAAATTTCCAGGGTATGTTGATCTGCACAAGAACTCACTCAAATCAAAGTTTGATATTCTTAGGTCATGACCTTTGGGTCAAATAAGGTCAAACAAGGTCAAATTCCAGGTTGGTCTTCAAAGGGTCCTTAGAATCTAGATAAACATTCTAAGCAACAGGTCACATGCTCATTTAAGGTCAGTGACATTGCTGACCTTTCGAAGGTCATGATGACCAAAATTATACAAGACTGCTTTGAGTTTTTCATTTGAATAAGCCACAAATATTACGCTAGCCAGTATGTTCCTAAAAAAAAAATATTGACCTGGTTCATTCAAGATTAGTGACCAATTCTGGACATTAAGAAGTTCATGGAAGGTGTCTTACGCAGTTCCTGTTATCAAAAAATTCAAAATGAACACCAGAAACTAACCCATACAGTAAACCCTGTAGTACTAAAACAGGTTAGTTTTGGCCTTGGTCTGACCTTTATACCTGAGCCTAGGTCAATTCATTTTGTTCACGCAATTACTGTGTTGCCTGAGAAGGTATCTCAGGGATGTATGACTTCGTCTAACATTCTGTTGTTGCATCAAATTGAACGATTCTTTAGAAATTGCCTTCGCTGAAACCATGGCTTTGCTTTGACTTGCCATAGGCCAGCTATCTTACAAGGTGCATCTAAATTTGTGAAGCAAGAATATCGGCTATTTAATTGGCCGCAGCTGCGCAAAATTTGGCGCGGCTTCGCTGCGCCGTTCAGAAGCCATTTTGGAAAAACATTCAGCGGTGTAATTTGACCCTCACCCGCGCGCGTGTTAACGCGACTGTTGCGACCGACCGCCGCTCCCGGTAATGATAATCACGCGAACAAACACAATACAGCCTGCCATGTATGAAAAAGAGACCATAGCTGCTAATTTGAAAATAGCAAATCTCAGAGCCCCTCGGAGTCATGTGTAACCACATGCCTCTCACCAAACGCCACACGTGTCATGCAGCAAGTGGACGCGGGTCAGTGCTCACATACCACGGACGGTGCGGCTTTTCCCGAATGCGACGGCCTCATCGTGTTAGCGACAAATCACTCGCATAACGTAATACGCAAGCAAACGACTGCGTGCGTTTTCTGCGTTAGCTACGTAAGACAACAGAAGGGTTATAGTGTAATATCAGACAAGCATCGGTGGAACCAGTCGGACCAGTGAGCCCTCACTAAAATGAACAGGAAAAATTACACTTCTTAAAAACATGTCTGAGAGGGGCAAAATGTTCATATCGGCGACGCCGATTAAAACTATGTCATGAAAATGTCAAATGCCCTACACTTTGGCTACAGGGTGCACTGATTCTCCCAGTCCTTCTCTCTGGTAAATTGCCGACTACGGACAAAGGCTGCGTGTGTCAGACTCTGCGGCGCGCCGATTAGCCGCGAGGAGGCACGCGTCAAAGCAGCTGAGGCGCGTCAAGGCAGCGCGGGGCAAAGCAGCGCGGCAGAGGCGACTCGACAGCCAAGCCAGGCGCCCTAGAGTGGCCTGAACGGCGACGCGTCAGCCAAGCCAGGCGCCCCAGAGTGGCCTGAACGGCGACACGTCAGCCAAGCCAGGCACCCCAGAGTGGCCTGAACGGCGACGCGACAGCCAAGCCAGGCGCCCCAGAGTGGCCTGAACGGCGACGAGTCAGCGAGGCCCGGGCATGGCGCAGCGACCCGTCTGCGGGCTGTGTTAGGGAGAGGGGAGGCGTACTGCAGTCCTGCTCGTCTGAACTGTCGGCGCAGTCTGCGCTGCCGTCGCAGCGACGCTCGGCTGGCAGACAGGCTCCCGAGCGGCAGCGCCACTGGTCCGCACCGCAGTCTGCGGCGGTAGGGCCGTCAGCCGGCGCGACACGGCGCCCTCACAACAGCATTACACAGGGGCGCCGCCACAGCGGTGGCGCACAGCAGCATTGCCGCGGAAGCACAGCGACAGCAACCCTTCACCCGAGCTCGGTAAAACTTCCGCGACTGTACGCCGCCACAGCAGCCACGCCGCAAGAGCGCTCACCGCAGCCGTGTGACACCGCCGCCACAGCAACAGCACATAGCGGCAGTACACAGCGGCAGCACCGCAATCAGCCCCCACCCACGCGCGGCCAAGAAGCACAGCAGCGCGTCAAACGCTCCTCGGCACCAGCCCCACCCACGCGCAGACCAGCAGCACGGCAGCGTCAAACACTCCTCGGCATGAGCCCGACGCCCAGCCAAGGTCGTCAACATGGCCCGCCCGCCACAGCAACGGGCAAGAGCAGGCCCGTAGACGGCACCGCAGCCGGAGCACCCCTTCATGGTGGTCGACCACTCAGCGGCGCCACCGAAGCAGGCTCGCGCGTCGTAGCAGTGCTTCCACCACAGCACCGCCCCAGGCAAGAGACGGAGGCGAGCTGACACGCCGTGACCCGGTGCACAGTGCTAGGGCACGATGTGTCAGCGTGCCGACTGTGACGACGGGGTCAAACATTGGCAGCTGCGTCAGTCGCGCTAACCACGCCGCGACGCCTACACACAGCGGCCCACGGCAGCAGGGCGTAGTATTGCGAGACACGAACGATCTGTCTGCAGGCCCGTTAATGTGTGATGGGTTTGTTATCCGCTACCAGCTTATGTACGTGCGGTCGGTTCGAGGAACAAGCCGCAGACCCTGGTCGGCGCTACTTGACCCGAGTTAATCTGTGCAAGCAGATCTCTTCACAGATTGGATAGATTGGCGAATCAGGGTTATCCATGGATTTGATAGACCGACCCTGCTAAGGTCGAGGGACGATCCAGCGGATGCTCCTATTTCAGATCATGATAGCTTTACGGAAGCTTTGCGGGGCAACATTTTAAACACACAAAAAAAACGCCTGACACCCACTTGGAACTCTTGCATTTTCGTTATTGAACTAAGTATTGCAGCTGGGACCCTCTGACTTCCCGGGAGAAGGCTGTTTGTAGTCAATTTAGGCCCCGTAAACGCTTGGCACTGTCCCCACTTTTTCCCAACACTACGCATGGCCCGCAAAGATATACTGTCTGTGATTTCTTTTCACTTTCTACAGTCTTCAAGTTCCCATGGAGTTGGCGGTTATTCCCCGTGGGGTCGGCGGGCAGTCCAGCAGTCTCGACCGACAGCCCCGTAGGTCAGCGTCGGTCCAGCGGCCTCTGCCAGCAGTGCCGGCGGCGTCGACGGGCAGCCCCCTGGTCTCGACGGACAGCCCCGTAGATCGGCGTCAGTCCCGCGGCCGCTGCCAACAGTGCCGGCGGCGTCGGCGGCCAGTCCAGCGCACACTTACCGCAGTCCTGCTCGTCGAAGCCGCCGGGGCAATCCCTGTAGCCGTCACACTTGCGGCGCAGGTCGACACAGCTGCCGTCCGAGCAGCGCAGCTGCAGTGGAGAGCAGGCTTCGGGAGCAGAGGAGTGCGGCGTTAGACAGCGCGGGCCAGACATCACACGCCAGACATCAGACGTCGGTCAGCGCCGCCAGCCGCCGACAGCCATCAGAGATCACGCCGCCGCTTGGAGCGGCGTTCAACTAAACGCAGACCAGCTTCCGACAGCAGCCGGGAATGGCGGCCGGTCGGAAGCGTATGCATGTGACCACGACCGCTGTCGGGCTGGAGAACGTACTCCGAGCATACACCGCTGCCAACGCGACATGGTACGACCCGGACCCCTGAAGCAGACGGTGGGGAGTGCCGGACTCTCCCGCGTCCGTCTGAGCTCTGGGCCGACTCAGGCCAATGTAGATCAGCTCTGTTCAGTCTGGAGCTGGTCCTGCTCACGGCAGTCTGAGCCTGTCCGGGTCTCAGTCCGATCTGGCTCACATCAGTCCGGTCTGGCTCACGTCAGGCTGGGTTAAATTCGTCGAGGTCAGTCTGCACCGATTCAAGTTAGTCTGAAGCCGTCCCAGTCCGTCTCGAGCAGCTCAGATTAGTGTGAACTTGGTCAAGTCGGTTGGGACTTACTCACATCGGCCTGAACCTGCTCAGGTCAACATGAACTTTCCCAAGTTAGTAAAAACCTGTTCTAGTCTGTCTAGATTTGGTGCGCATTTTGATTCTTCATGGCCATCTGATTCAGAGAACCCTCAGCAACTAAAAAAAGAAACCGCGCGCAAAAACCTTTTTTCTACGGCGCATTACTTAAGCTTTTGCGACACAATCTTATGTGAACAACGCGTGGTTAGGAAGGACGATTGTGCTTTTCAAACGACCCTATACGATGCGGGCAAATAATTGTTGGAGGTACCACACCTACCAGGGCACTCTTAACATACATGTGATCTCACGGAGTTACACCATGCAGGACATTGTCATTAATTGACGTAGTTGTGCTGGCCGTTGTATGCATTTAATGATTGCCGCTTCAAACGCCATTAACTACTTGCGCAGGGAAGCAGGCATAGAAAAGAGGCGGTAATATAAAGACCCCTATGACATATGAGTGGACATGCGCATAAGTTCATAATTTCCGAGCCAGACTGAGCAAGGAGAGGAAGAGAGGAGGGTGTGGAACAGGTATATATACATATATATATATATATATATATATATATATATATATATATATATATATATATATATATATATATATATATATATATATATATACATAGTGCGTGAGAAAAGACGAAAAGGAAACACAATCACCGGAGGACGTACTCGAAATCAGCCCATAAGCCACACGGAAAAGGAAATGCCACAAGAGAACGGAATTGGCTGCAGCGGCCAGCACACAAATGATCTCCAAGTGCCACTGGAAAATGCAGAACCCGCCAAAAATGACAGAACTGTTCTACAGACACCGTCTTTAATTGCAGCCCTGTAAAGCCGACTGCGAAGCGCCGGAAGCCGTCGCTTCAGTCCGGTCAACTGTACCGCGTCGTGCTGTCGAGCTAGCATTGACAGCGCGGACACAGAGCCGACGCGCGGCGCTGGGGTGGACGGCTGCGCTGACAATGAAGCTGCATAGCTGGTGGCGCCGCATGGCGATTTACTGCTACACTCGCGTTCAAGTGCAAGTCTGGCCAAATGGTGCCGGCCAGGCCGACGAGCGCCGCCGGTGTGCCTGACTACTAGTGCTCTCCCGATGGATGGCGCAGGTGATCTATACTGGACCACCGTCGTCCACCTGGTGCCAAGGCGGGTAAGCTGGTGCTCGGCTGATGGGCAGTGCAGGTGCGGTGATGCTCAGCTGGTGGTCAGGGTGCGGTTGTGCCACACCTGGCCGTCGGTGCTCAGCGGTGGGTGCAGACGAACTACAGCTAGCTACTGCCGCCGCGTGGCGTTGCCAGCCGGCCGGCCGACACGGCGGGCGGGGGAGGGCTCCGGGAGGTGCGAAAGCCTTGCTCGCTCTCTACGACTGGCGGCGGCGCCGGGCCGGGCTGGACCACTCACGGGCACGCTGACATTGCCTCGGGCTCTCATCCGAGTCATCCCCGGCGGGACAGTCGGCCACACCGTTGCACTTGAGGCTACTGTCGATACAGAGGCCCTCGTTGCACTGCCACTGGTCGGCCCGACACACTGTCGGCGGGCGGGCCGATTAGGCGCGGGCCCGACAGGCCCTCTGGACGTAACATGTGGGCCAGTGGGACTTGCGGGCGCGACGTGTCGGTTCAACAGGTCTCGCGGTCCTGCGGTCCCACAGGCCTCGCGGTCCTGCGGCCCCACAGACCTCGTGGACTCGACACATGGGTCGACTCGACTAGACAGTCGACCTAACACGCCCCCCCCTCTCCCACCCCCCTCCCACCCTCAGGACAGAATGTTGGCAGGTAGCAAGCAACGTGCGCAGCACTGTCTCAGCAAACTTGCACAGATATCGTGATATGATGTTATAATATATGATATGATATGTCATGATATATAAGTACCATCTTGAAAAGATGGTTCTTGAAAATAAGAGGGCGACTGCATGATGACTTTATACCGAGAGCAGACATCACGATACCTGAATACATAGGAAACCAGGCGGCGACGTTCGTCAGACTCACGAGAGCCTGTAGCCACTCACGTCAGTCAAGCTCGTCATCAGTCACTTACGACGTTCGACATTGGTGACTTACAGTAGTCACGTCATTATCTGTCACTCCTTGCAGTCACGCCCAAATAATCACCAGGGGCAGTCAAGCTTGGCGAAACCCATCATTATAGCAAGGCTCCTCTTTGGTGACGCACGACAACATCTCTGGTCCGGCGGCCAAGTTCGTCATCACAGCCTGCCCTCTGAAGGAGGCACCTTCACGGCCAGTCGCTTACGACGGACTCGCTCGTCATCAGCCAGTTACGACAGTCCTGCTAGTCGTCGGCCACGTACGACAGTTCCGTTCGCCGTTGATCACTTGCGACAGTCACGTGCGTCGGCGACCATCTACGACAGCCCCACCCGTTGTCGGCCACGTACAACAGTCCCGCCCGTCGTCGGTAACTTACGACAGTCCGGCCCGTCATCAGCCACTTACGACAGTCCCACCCGTCGTCGGCCACTTGCAACAGTCCCGCCCGTCGTCAGCCATTTACGACAGTCCCACCTGTCGTCGGCCACTTACGACAGTCCCGTCCGTCGTCAGCGACTGTCCCACCCGTCGTCGGCTACTTGCAACAGTCCCGTCCGTCGTCGGCCCCTTACGACAGCCCCAACTGTCATCGGCCGCTTGCGACAGTCCCGACCGTCGTCGGCCACTTACGACAGTCCCGCTCGTCGTCGGCGCGCGGACAGTCCTCAAAGCCGTCGCATCGCTGCGACATGGGGAGGCAGAGCTCCGAGTCGGCGCACGAGAACTCGGCACGCTCCACACATTTTGGGTTGGCTAGAACACAGCACGGGTGGTCACCAAAGAGTCAGCAGCGCTGAAACACCCCCACGGAACGTCCCAGGAAACCGAAGGCTTCTTCTGTCTCCTCTGCCGCAGAAAACTGCTTAGCTACGGGACATCAGGACGGATGCGGTGATGGCCGAGTCGTGGGACTGAGGGGTGGTAAATCCCCCAGCAATTTTGAGATGACGCGCTTAGTTTGTGTTGGCGGCCTACTGTGTGTATGCATCAGTTCTTTTGAACCTTCAGCACTGGCGGCGGAGCTTACAGCGGTCGTTATTGCAAACATGAGCCAACCGGATGTCATATTTGCACTCACAATCCACAAGTGTTGCTGCATATTATTGCTGAGAGGGCGTGTGACATATGTGCATGTTGCAGCACATTGGCATCTATTCTCACTCCACAACTCATTGTGCACCGCCAAAGGGAAGGAGGACAAAGCACGGAGCTACTGATAATAACACTCCTTGCAAGATGTGCATGCTCCGTTCTTTAGTGGTGGAAGAATTTAAACATTTGGCATGCAAATCAGCCGCCATGCAAAAGTTGAGCGAATTCTAGTGACGATGACTCAAGGAAATCACCATAACTGTTCTTTTTTCCAAACTCCGACGACCATTTGTCAGATCTGGAGGAAGGAGGCGGTGGCTGGCTCAATAAAAAGATTTGATGCCGGCACATCATCAGAACTGAAGCCAAACGTGGTCAAGAAACCGACCAGCACCTCACGAATCGGGCGGAATAGCTATCTTTCACTTTTGTTTGTCATTAGAGGGCTGCTTTAGACACGGCACGGGAGTTTAACCTCACGCGGCAAAGCCAATGGAGGGGTGCACAGAGGTTTTCCAGGGGGAAAGTGACAGTCGCTGTGGAGTTCAGCCGCACTGAAGACGATTGTGTTTCTCCTTTGGATAGGAGAAGTGGTTGCACTCAAGGGCACATCCTGACAAAGCACAGCGTAAGCCTTCACGGGATGTGATAGGCTGTGCGTGGGACGGACTGCGCGTGGTCATCCCGCAGAAAAACAAGATAGCATGAGCTGGGTGGTGCAAAGGTCCTTTATTCCGCAACCTGATTTATTCATTACACTATCGTTACTACGCAATGCAAACCAATTCAGTGGCGAAACCAGGTTACAACCAAGCGGCAAGATCAGGGTCTTGCGCCACAGAAGGCCTACAAGGTAATTTGATTTTAACCGTGATAGCCGTCGCTCAAGAAAACGTATGAGGACGTCATCATCGCCATGGAAGGGCCGGGTATCACAGTACTGAAGCCTATCCTCCCAGCCAGACATCTCAGAGCCGTGGTGGGAGAGACAACAGACCTGTCCACCGCGCTTGGGAAAGTGTGTCCATTGCCTTGATGAAGATTTCCACAACCGCCGCGGTGGAGGCAATGGACGCCTCCATCACACTAGGGGGAGCGGGTCCGTCTCCTAGACGGGAGTTTCGGCAGCCTCGGTGGTGGAGACAACAGACGTCTCCATCACGTCCGTGCCGACCGGGCCGTCTCCGGCCGGCCGGCCGCCGCAGCCCCTCCGCACAACACCAATCCATTAGACCAGCGATCTGTATAAAGCGGCGGAGAGGGGAGATTTATGGCGTGGCTGGCCATCTTCTGCTATATCCCAGCCCATTCAACATCGCCCCAGTCGGCAGTTACCGCTATCTGGGCGGCGGGCCGACGATTTGACGCAAAACCTTCGGCGCATAGAAAATAGCATCAAGGTGGATCGCGCTGCAGACTGAGCGGCCAGGCATTCAGTGCCGGCTGTGGGGCCGCCGGCTCGGCCCAGTGGCCAACAAGCGCCGGCGGGCCGAGATCGCAACACTGAACAACATCGGCCACCCGCTGGGAAATCGACGGCCGGCAGTGCCATCGCACTGCCGCCGTCCAATGATCCAATTTAGTCCTCCTGCAGATGCCACGCAGGGCGAGCGGCGGAAAAACACAGCCGGAGCGGACGTTTAATTCGTGCTGAGCTCTCCTCGATGCAGCCATGGAGACGTGGAGCGAGCCGGCCCCGCGGCCGGCGGCCCACAGATCTGGTCAGCGTTGCTCACTCAATCAGACCTCGTTGAGCCGACGGCGACGAGCGGCGGCGCGGCGGCGCGGCGGCGCGCCTGCCCGGCGGTCATGTTTGCCCCCGAAGCGTGATCTGTCAGCGGCTGTGTTGGCACAGCCGCTGACTGGGCGGGCGGCGCGGCCGTCGCTCCGCCGTTACGGCCCGCGCCGGCGCTGCCGGTCACGGCGACCACGGCGTAACGGCCGGCACGGGACACAGTCCGGCAGGTAACAGCCACAACACGGCAGACAGAGTCAGACGGCACACGGCGACGGCCATGGCTCGGCAACAGCAGAAACCGATCGGCATTCGATGGCTTCGGGCTGGAAAGCAGCATGGGACACAGCACGGCTTGGTATCGTCGACGTGCCGGCGGATAGTACTTCCCAGCATCCCGGCAGGCCTCACAGCCATAGCCCGGCAGGCCTCCCAGCCACAGCGCGGCAGGCCTCCCAGCCACAGCCCGAGGCCTCCCAGCCACAGCCCGGCAGGCTACCCAGCCACAGCCCGGCAGGCCTCCCAGCCACAGCCCGGCAGGCCTCCCAGCCACAGCCCAGCAGACCGCCCAGCCACAGCTCGGCAAGCCTCCCATCCAAAGCCCGGCGGGCCTCCCAGCTACAGCTCGGCGGCACCGGACTTGAGTCGCTGGCGGTAACAGGATCGCAACAGCGCCCAGAAATAGTTGGGGAATGTACTCTACCGTTTGCGCAATGCTGGAGGGCTGTCCTACTGCCTGGGCATTGCGGACGAGACTGTACCCCGCTGATATTGGCCATCGAGACTCGCATCCGCCTGCCTGAACATTATTAAGTTAAGGAATCCGCCGTATCAGCTGGCTGGTGTGAATGGGACATGGCTGGGCGTGCTGCCACGTCGCCCAGAAAGTGTTGGGTCCGGTCTTTTCATGAATGATGAAGCCGATTGTGCACGCAAGAAACCCGTTTGGGAACAGAACATGGATGTCTGGATGCAACAACAGGCAATATAACAACACTAGACACAACTGACAATATGTGCTTGCATGTGGATAGCTGCACGCTGGCAACGAATTTGCATGCGGATAATGCCTGAACGTGAGCGAATGGAGCCCATCGCCGGCGGAAACACACACCGATGGGACTTATCAATGCAATGGAATGTCCCACCTGCATGTGTTAAGCAGGCGGAGGGGCACTGGTGTTGGGCGCTCGTGCAGCATTAGCTGTCTGTGTTTGGAGCATTGGCTGGCTTCGTGCCTGGCTAACCGGATAATCCAAGTCGATGAGGCGAAAGAACTTGATAAGTGTACGTTTTTTTGTGACCAGGCCGATAGTGCTGAAAAAATGCAAAATTGAGCCGATAACAGTCACAATAACTGGGCTTTTCACCCAAGTATGTGTGGCTGTCACGGCTCGATCTGTCTCAGTTCAGGAGACACTGCATTGTATACACGGCCGACTTCAGAAAAGGCGACATTTTCGAGTTCCAGGTGTACTGCTCGTATACGTATGGGCCAAGTATGTAAAAATCGCCCTATGATTTGTAGACGTAACGTTCGCCTGCATACACACTTTCGCCACGTTGATTTTCCGTTTTCTTCCCGGGCAATATTAGCTAGCCCCCTGCTGATGCGACGCCTGGCTGTCCAAACCTGGTTCTGTTTCCGACCACCTGCTCTCAGACCTTTCGCGATTTGAAAATTACATGTTTATCGTGCCAATCGAATGGGGAAGTGAAATGGTGGTGACGTTGTAACGCTGCGGAGATGCCCTGCCTGATCAAGCAGCACAGCACTGACATTTCTAAAAGAATACTGCACCACAACGTTCAAGGATTGTGCTTCTTGTTGCTGAAACTCTCTTGGTAGTGCGGTTAGTGATTGCAAAAGTGTCAGCTCTTCAAAAGCGTGACTGGCCAGGCCGGGCCCGGCCAGTAAAGTCACAGAATTGTTGACCAAATCGATTAAATTTATCAAATTGTGACAGTAATGCTCACTCGATCTGCGACCTCACTCATAAAAGCCCCCTACAAAACAACGCTTAAATGTACGTCATGATGAAAGTAACTGCTCAACTAAAGCTACAGCTAACACGACTGGCGTTGTGGTCCAAGTGTAATGAAGCGAGAGTTCCGCTGCCCGCAGCTATTGTTTTATACATTTTCCGTAGTACCCCCTTCGGCGATTTTTTGTCAGGGCGGGTGGGCGGGTCACTGGGTGGGAGAGTTCATCGGGACTTTGAGCGGGTTTCCATATCCGGGCAGAACGTTCCTCACGTGCCAGGACGGAGGCACGCGGGCTGCCCCACAAACCCAGCCGCAGCGGGTATGGATTGTTGGGCCGGGCACAAGTCTGTGCTCCCATCTGTCCATGCCATAAGGACACTTCCTGTCACGCCACGGCTCTGAAAAGTGCGGAACAGCCAGCACTTGGGCTGCGTCAACATACGCCGCATAAACGCCATGATATGTGGCGATACCGCTTCGGTTCGGTGTTTGCCCGCCCACCACGCATTGGTACAAGTCCGCCGCCGGCCAAGGTCCTTCTCAGTGCAAACCCAGTCAATTTGGCTGAGGGACAGCGACAATGGAGGGGTGACTTGCACCGCCGAACCTCTCCACGCCCACTCGTCCGATGAGAATGTGAAATTGCGCGCCGCGCCAGGCGGCGAGATGCTGCAGGCCGCCGGCCATTCAGTCAGCTTGTGCATGCTGTGAGCTTGGCACGCAAGTAACCTGGGTGCAGATAGGCCTGGCGATATGAGGGCTCGCGATGCTAGTGACCAGAGGAATAGCGACGCACAGACGAGTCCAGGCGGCACGCCGTCCAGGAATGCGAGCTCATAGATAACGAGACCGGCCTACTAGGTCCCGTGCAAATGAGCTCGTCGCGTGTTGTCACTGTCGCCAGGCCGGTGGGAAAATCTCAGAGACAAATGACAGGCGC